TACAGCCAATTTATTACCATGAATGGGCCATAGAATTTAAACAACTAAAATACTGGGTTAAAATACTTAAAAGGGTACCATCAATCCCGTAATTCCCGCATTCAGGAGGCTGAGGCAGGAAGATTAGGCTATATAGCAAGACCTTATTTTAATAAATAAACTTAAGAGATAAGATAACATCAAGCATAGAAGAGGCTGGGAATTACTAGGAAGACTATGACAGCACAGACTAGATCACAGGAGGCCCACGGGGCTTCAGAGGTTACCAGTGACGTTCCAGTTTTCAAGGTAGATAGATACTTCATGAGTATTCCAATATTCTTTACATGTTTATTACATATACACATTTTGCATACTTACTTGTATCTGCTTCTTCTACCTGATGATCCTTTTTTTTTTAAATCACTGGCCCTACTTCAACGTCAGACCATCTCAGGACTTCAGTAAAAGGGGAGCAAAACTTGGCATCTCTCTCAAATAAATCTAAAGGTCCTTCCCCCAGTTGCATTCAGCCATTGCTGAAGATAATTTCATACTCCCACTAACTCCTGATCACTCTTTTATGATTAGTCTTCAAAATCTATACCTAAAACCGAATTCAAATCTCCACCTGTGGTGTAATGGACAGACTGTGTTAAAAGCCCTCTCTGGCTGTCACAAGTATGGTGGTATAGTCCATGAAGGTTTTTGCAACTATATCAAATGGCCTACTCATACTGAATTTACCTTATCTATGAAAGTTCCCAACAAGGTTCATATACAATGTTGACAATACACCTCTTTTTGACCTATCTAGACTAAAAAGAATGAACTTCGAAATTTTATCTCATTAGATCAGCCTTTTTAACTCGTTCAGATAGACAGGTACTTACTCTCAATGTCACTATTCTCTGAGAAGTCCTCTGTATTTTACATTCTTTATAAATTTCCAAGGCACTCAAGTCACTAAACAAGAGTTGAACAGTACTGGCCTGCAAAGAAAGACCTGAGCTCTATCACTAGAAGTCTTCAAAACACATCTGTATGCATTTATGTCTTATAGAATTCAACTGGTTATTAATCCTCACGTTTCCTCATTTTTCCATTAGTGTATTAACAGAAACCACTATAAAATGTACCACTAGACCATAAAAACAAAATTAGCAGCTCTCTTTGGTCTTTCATCCTGGAAAAAGTATTACGATAGCATTGCTCTGTTGCATTGGACCATCATGAGGACCTTCCCTGGAGATTGCAGTAGAAAGCAGAAAGCTGGTCTCCAGCTATTCTTTCTGGAGCAACCATTCCTGCCATGGGTTACCTACTGTGAGAATTCTTTTAACTGGGAGAAAAATAAACTATTTTGTATAAAGGCAAAAACAAGGGTACTACTTCAATAGACTAAATAGATCCTAAGACCAAGAACCCAAGCCTAGAGAGAATAAAGCACACCAAACCATAGGGTATTTTGTTTTCCAAACAAATTTAATTCTGTTCTAGCCCCAAAGAAGAGGAAGAACTTAAATCTTAAAAATAAAAAATTACTCAATAACAAAGCCATTGAAAAGTTAAGCCCACTCCCTTAGCAATAAATACTGAACTGATATATATACATATTAGACTCAGGAAGGAGACAAGAATAGCAATCTTGGGGACTCTGCCTCATGGCAAGATCCCAACACATCTACCAATTCCATGTTCTTCGCTTAAACAAGAGAGCAGTCAAGAGGCAGCAGAGATAAAGCAGGGGAGGTGTGGCTCTGGAGAGAGGTGGCACCTGACAAAAGAGGAGATACAAGGTATCTTACAGGACAGGGGCAGGGACAGTCTTCATTTAAAGCATCCTCTACCCTTCCCTCCAATTTCAGATGAGTCACTGTCGGTGGCTGGTCCAGGGGCTGAGTTCTTGAGCCTGTCTCCTCGCCTCTGCTTCCTTTTTAGAGTGCAAGCCAAGGAAGATCATTCACACTGTGGTCGTGATGCCACTGTGGCAGCAGCCTGGCTACTGGAGCCCTGAGGTTTCCCATTCACCACCAGCAGGAGGGGCGTCTCCACACGAACACTGGAAAAGGAGTAGTCCTAGAAAAGACAGATAGACAAAGGTTCGTTATAGACCATAGGTGCAAAAATCTTCAGCATGGGGATACACCACCTGCAACTTTCTTCCCCAGTCTTCCTGTCAAAGCTCTATCTCACTGAGCTATCAAAAGAGAGAAAATTTTCCCAGTTTTCAATCCTCAGAAGGAAAATCAAGGGAAAAGTAGGATACCAGTAGTATAACTATACGAATGGAACAGGTTAGCAGGGCTGGCTCCCACCTGTAATCCTAGCTACTCAGGATTACAGTTTGAAGTCAGCCCCAGGCAAATAGTCCAGGAGACCTTATCTCAAAAATACCCAACACAAAAAAAGGGTGGGAGTGGCTCAAGTAGCAGAGTACCTGCCTAGCAAGTGTGAGGCCCTGGTTCAAATCCCAGGGCTGCAAAAAAAAAAAAAAAAAGAATGGGACAAGTACAGTTCTCTAATTCAAAAAAGGCAATTTCCCCTCAGAGAATCTGCCTTTCCCATGGTGTTTCTTGACAATTAATTAGCAATAGAGAGCACCCAACCAGAGGAGACAGCTCTCCTTTGTAAAGCCCTAAATTAACCTGCCAAACACAGATTAAAGTTACTTCCCCTTTTTACATCAAGAGGAAGAAACAGATGAGGTGACAGAATGTAGACATTTTCCTAGTAACAGAAAAGATACCAGCTCACTTTACCAGTCCAAATGTATTTTAAGCTGTAAAATATGCTGCTAAAAAATCTTTACCCCAAAAATATTATTTCACTGATGGCATGAAGCAAGGTCCTTTAAGTCACAGTAAAAATAAAGAATTCTCATAAATTTTTTACAGAGTCCTAACAAGAATATGGGCAAGTAAGAAAAAAATAGCAATTTGTACAAGATAGTCAAAAAGCATGTAAAAAAGCTCAACCTCATAAAATCTCAACCTTGTGAAGAAAAAAAATTAAACATTTTGGTGCTATATTGTTCACATAAAATTAGCAAATATTTTTAAATGACAGTTTTATTGAAATAGTTATTATCTTTTGAATGGGTCTGACAATGTAGGAGATGAAGATAACAAGTAAGGCAACGGAGGCAGTAAAACTCTTAGCCATGTCTAGACCTCAGTTAAGTTTTCAGTTAACGTTAACTATTATTATCATCTCTACTATGTGTCAATTCAAAAGAATGCAATGGAATATGGAAAAGCATGAAAAATATTCACAAATTTTTGTATATACTATCCCATACATGATTTAAAATATACATATGAATGTATGTATGTATTTCTGAAAAAGAAAAATACTGATGATAAACACACCAAACTCAATAGCGGTAACATCTGAGTGACATTATTTCGGTCCTCTTTTTTTTTTTTCCGGTAAATGCCCTGCAACTTGAGCCACTCTACAAGTCCTTTTCTGTGATGGGTTATTTTTTCTTCTTTTTTTAAATAGGTTCTCACTTTTTGCCAGGCTGGCCTCAAACTGTGATGCTCCTGATCTCTGCCTCCCAAGTACCTATGGTTACAGACATGAGTCACCAGCTCCCGGCTCCATTTTTTTAATTTTTTTTTTTTTTTTGCTTACCAGTAGTTTCCCTTCATAGTTGAAAAAATATATATAAACATATACAGAGAGATATATGTACACACACACACACGCATGTGTGTGTATACATATAAGAATATACACACCCTCGAAAGTATATAGGTATTATACACAAACACTCATTCAGGCATGAATTACTGCTATGTCCAAAAGAATGTGCTCCAGGATACAACAGAGCCACCTGCACACCCATGTTTAGTGCAGCACTATTCACAGTAGCCAAGCTTTGGGAACAGCCCAGATGCCCCACCACAAATGAACGTATTAAGAAAATGTAACATATATTCACAATGGAGTTTTATTCAGCCATGAAGAAGAATGAAACTATGTTGTTTGAAGGTAAATGGATGGAACTGGAGAACTTCATGTTAAGTAAAGTAAGCCAAGGTCAAAAATCAAAGGTTGCATGTTTTCTCTCATATGGAAGCTAGACCTAGAAGTTAAATGTATATATGATCATATATCTAGATATAGATATAGATATAGATATAGATAGTGACAGAACAAAATTGTAGTAGTGAGTTTGTCTGAGGGGGGCTACAGGAGGTGGGAGAGAGAAATGTTAGAGAATGAAAAATACTGAAACACCCCATCTTATATATGAATATAACATAATGCACTGTAAACTATTGAATATTAGAAGAGCATGGTGACAGAGAATAAGTAAGTACTGGAGGGGAGGGGTTAATTTGATTAAACCACGATATATACAGACAGGAAGTACCAAGGTGAAACCCCCTTGGATAATAGACACGTAATTTTTTAAAAATGGAGAGCAGGAGGGAAAAATAAATCTTTTCTGAGGTGGGTACCAGTGGGAGGGGGTGGGCACAAGGAAAGAGGGAATGAGGGTGAATATGGTGGATGTGTTTTGTATCCATACATGATAATAGAAGAATAAAACCTGTTGGACCTTTGAAATTATTCTAAGGCGGGGGAGAAGAATGAGGAGGTACATATAAGATATGTTGTAAGCACATATGCAAATATCACAATGTATCCCCCTGGACAACTATTACATCCTAATAAAATCATAAACATAAAAAAGAACATACACACACTGGAAAGTGTATATGTATCATACACAAACACTCATACAGGCATGAATTATTTTTATGCTTATTTTTTCAAAAGAGGTAAGTTTGTTTCCACTTTCAGAGCCTCTGAGCTGCAAGAGAATCCTAGTCATTACTCACCTTTCCCTTGTGCTGAATTTGGTGAAGCCGAAGGTTGGGCTCAGGAATGGCTACAGAGTCCCCAATGAGTACTCCCCAGCTCTGCACCATATTATACACCATCACTGCATAACAAGGTCCATCCGAATCTACCAGGCCAAATGTGCTGCCAGGTTAAGATGGGTTAAGAGAGAAAGAAGGGGAAAAAAAAAAAAGGATGTGGACAGGAAAGAACCAGAAACAGTAGTTTTAAAATATTAGCAAAACAAACAAATGCTTTCTCTCTACTATGTACTCATTTATCTTAGGTTATTATAAATCTTTAGAAAATACTCACAGGACTCAGTAATCTGTCACTCTGCTAAAAGCTTACAATACACGCACACTGAGGCTATCTAACAAATACTAATGATCAACTAGTCCAAAACATTGCAGCTGAAACCTTCCTGGCCTGTCAGTTGAACTACCACTTTTAACCCAACCCTCCAGCCATCATCAGTGTCAGCCTAGCTTAACTCCACAGACTTCACTAAATACTATGTACGTGTCAACGGTGTGTAGCTGTATGATTCCAATCCAGCCATAAATGACCTGTAGTCTAGCAGAAGCCAGACAACAAAACCACCACTTGGGCTGAAGTGTAACTCAGTGACAGAGGGCTTGCCGTGCATGCAAAAAAGTCCTAAATTTGATCCCCAGCACTGCAAAAAAGAAAAATAATAATATCACTTATAGTACAGTGTGACAGGTACTCAAACAGCTTTTCCTTTGTACTACATTACATGAAACCACAATTGGGCTGTGGGCTCAGAAAAATGGAAAGACATCCTGGAGGAGGTAACCCTCAATGTAAATTTTTTTTTTCCTTGCAGTGTTACATTTGAATTCAGAGCCTTGTGCTTGCTAGGCAGGCACTCTACCACTTCTAAAGATGGAAAAAGTAGCTGGGTTTTCTGGGTATGACTGCACATGGCTGTAATACAAGTACTCAGGAAGCTGGGGCCTGGGCTAGAGATAAAAATTGTGAGCACACAGGAGGCAGCCAAAGCCCAGGGTTTACACAACATCACCAAGCAAGATGCCCTATAAATGCAATGGTGGAAAAACCAGAGCCAGGTCATCAACTGACACACCGGAACACCCAGGAAACAGTGCCATCAAGCATAGCTCTCCCTTGATGAATCCAGTCAAAGCCCCAGTAGCTTTCTACACACTGTATTAGACCACCATTGACAGGTGATTAAACTTGACAACTACACGCCCTCCTGGTATAGAGAGAGGAAAAGAACAAAAACAGTTCTGGGAACCCAACATTTAGATGTTGAGGAGAAAAAGAGAAACTAAGGAGTAGCAAAATATTTATTTGTTCTCAGGTTTCTCTAAAATCTACCAACGTCTATATTCCTTTTTATTCCTCTTGGCTCTAAGGTCTGCTCTATTAACTAAACTTTTCTCATTCATGTTCTTGCTCTTCAAATCAGCAAATACATGGACCTTTAGACACCTCCAGAGAACAGTGAGAGCTGTAAGAGGAATTGTGTATTAAGTCTGGATAAGCAGAAAGGATGTGAAAGGCAATCGGAAAAGGTAAGTCAGAATGTTACAGAGCCATGTAGTGGGAGCCACTGGATCAGATGCCTAGAAAGACACTGGTAATCCCAGAAAATAAACCAGTTCAGTAGAAAAAAAAGAAGAAAGTAACCAACCAAGAATCAGGAAGTGAGTGAAGGACCAAGAAGTGATGGCATTCACTAAACCCTAACTTTTCAAGACTTAAAAAATTTCTAAGTAAATATTCTTACTTCATTCCTCTGCTAGACTGTAAGCATCCTTTGCCAAGTCCTTTATATTTCATTTTTCCTTTTTTCTCACTCCCTATAATATATATACTAAATGCACAATAGGTATTTGTTGAATGACATCTGAGATAATTTCCACGACCAGGCCTTAAATTCAGCTTCAAAGCTTACCTTCCAGAATTGCCTAAGCACTCCTAAATCCAAACAGCAGTGACAATTTGTCCTCTTTCAATTCTATGATTATCAAAACACAAAAGAATAGGAGAATTTTAAGACGTCTGTATAATATAAAAACATGTCCTGGGTTGGGGATGTAGCTCAGTGGTAAAGCACTTACCTAACATGAACAAGGTCCTGGGTTCATCCCCAACACCACAAGAAAACAAACAAGAAAACCTTAGCCAGGCATAGTAGCACACAGCTGTAATCCCAACACTCAGGAGGCTGAAGATGGAGGACTGTGAATTCAAGGGCACCCTGGGCTACATAGCAAGTTCAAGGCCAGTGTGGGCTACATAGCAAGTTCAAGGCCAGTGTGGACTACATAGCAAGACCCTGTCTCAAAAAGAAAACTAACCTGCCAAATTTCAGCAATAGAACTGGTGGAGTGGCTCAAGTGGTAGAGCGCCTGCCTAACAGGTGTGAGACTTTTAACAAAAATATTGTCAAAAAAAAGCCCAAATTTCAGCAATGAATGTTGGAATCCATAAAGTACCAAACTCTAAGGAAAAAATAGGCAATGAAATAATCTACAAAGGCCTCTATCAAGAGATTGTTAGAATTACCTGGGTAACTTCTGCTTATGGAACAGTCAGAAAGCAATCAGAAGTCACTAGTGTGTTAACACTAATAATGTCCTAACTGCTTAGAGAAAGGCCAGAAACTGAGAGCAATTAGCTTAGAAGGGAAAAAAAAGAAAGGGCAAGAGAAACTCACAAGGGTACTTTCTCCTCTGTGGTCAAGCTGAACACCACTTTTCCCAGGACCACAACACCACTGTTCACACCAGGCTGCAGTGCGCTCAGTGGCCTGAGCTCCAGGGTCACCTTCTGCCCAGAGGCTGACTGATAGCGCCCATCGCCACAAGGGCCTAGGTGTGTTGGGCGCAAGCTTCCCAGCATGCTCTGCAGCTTTTTAGTCTTCATCTTTCCCTGAGAAAAAAAAAAAAAACAGAAATAGTTAAGAAGCTGGAAACTAGTGTTCTCTTTGAGAATCTAGTGCTTCCCTCCCCACTACTAGCTTCTGTGGCATCTCTGCACCTAAGCCTATTCTAAGAGCAGGCTTCAGCCCCTTTATACATCTTTACCTTGCTCTCCAGGAGGCTGGTTAATCTACTGAGGAATTCTAGGAGTTGTTGCTCTCGTTGCTGGGGCTCTGGCCAAGCAGGGTCCAGTGCTGCAGCCCGGGAGAAGCCCTCCAGGGCCTCCCCATAACTTTCTTCATATTTATGTAACTGTAAAAGAGTAAACCAAAACCTCCTGATTATACTCAAACTATGCAGAGGAAATGTCACAATGGGCTAAGAATCAATAGAAATACAACTGTGTTCTTTCCTAGTTATCTTCCTGTCCTACCATGAGCATTCTTTGTTCTGGCCACAGGAGTAACAATGCCACAAATGAAATCAAAGAAGGTAACTTCTGTTACATATACTGGATCACTCTATTTTTACACTTACACCTAACACCTCAGAAGTCTTCTAAACCATCTCCCCATTCTCCATGTACTCCTACCTCCTCAGTCCCTCCCCCTTCCTTCTAGTGACTCCATCCAACACTGAAGTCAAACTAAACTAGGGTAGCTCTTCCTAGAAATAATCTGGCTTCCTCCCACTTTGTATCTGGCCTTATCCCTATGTATACTCAGTCATGCTTGCAGGCTAAGATTAGATGTCTTTTTTATCTAACCTTCAGATAACTACTAACCCGTGGGTCTTACCGTTGCCCTGTTCAGATGAAGGTCAGGATTGTTCGAAGCTTTCCTGTCAACCTTCTCCTGTAATGGCATAAAAAGATCAGTGGATCATACTTCGACCTTAGGATGGCCAAGCCTAACACGTCTCTTTCCAGGGATTTCCTCTCCCTAGAAAACTCTGAGGCTCTTCCTTGTCAAATGTTGCCTGTACCCAGTGTTATTAGTCTAATAACTGTTTGTATGGTATATAACTCAGACTCTGAAACCTCAGGTGTTTGCATGTATGAAACTTTACAATACGGCTATAATTAATCCACAGTTATTATTAAAGGTAGAAGAAATATTTGAAAGCATTCTGATAAAAAATAAAGAAAACAAACTTAAATAGTGACATGCTGATGTAAAGAGGAAAGCCTAGGACAGCAATAAAGTCAGTTTTAATGCATCTCCTCTGACGTGAACATGGTTCCAGCCACAAGAGGAATCTTGTTTATATCTATACATCCTTAAAACACACATGTGAAGTCAAATTCTGATTCTCTAAAATAAATGGGACAGAAACCAGAGGACAGTGCACATATGTGTGAAGAAACTGACACGGTGATTATATTTTAGATTTGATTCATTGCCTGGAACATTGCAAAAGCAAAAACAACATGAATTTAAATGCCTTAAATGGCTGTTTGAGATTTTTTAAAAGTGCAGATTTAAGTAAAGAAATTTAAGTGTTAAAATTATTATTTGGTGAAACCAAATGTAAAATTTGGAAGTATACCCAGCAGCCCAGCAACTAAGAGAAATGATGGACAAATGGGACTTCATAAAATTAAAAAGCTTCTGCACAACAAAAGAAATGGTCTCTAAACTGAAGAGAACACCCACAGAGTGGGAGAAAATATTTGCCAGCTATACATCAGACAAAGGACTGATAACCAGAATATACAGGGAACTTAAGAAACTAAACTCTCCTAAAATCAATGAACCAATTAATAAATGGGCAACAGAACTAAACAGAACTTTCTCAAAAGAAGAAATTCAAATGGCAAAAAAGCACATAAAAAAATGCTCACCATCTCTGGCCATAAAGGAAATGCAAATCAAAACCACACTAAGATTCCACCTCACCCCTGTTAGAATAGCCATCATCAAAAACACCACCAACAACAAATGTTGGAGAGGATGTGAGGAAAAAGGAATCCTCTTACACTGCTGGTGGGAATGCAAACTAGTACAACCACTCTGGAAAAAAAGTGGAGGCTTCTTAAAAACCTAAACATAGACCTGTCACATGACCCAGCAATCCCACTCCTGGGGATATACCCAAAGGAATGCGACAGAGGTTACTCCAGAGGCACCTGCACACCCATGTTTATTGCAGCACTATTCACAACAGCCAAGATGCCCCACTACTGATGAATAGATCAAGAAAATGTGGTATTTATACACAATGGAATTTTACGCAGCCACAAAGAATGAAATTTTGTCTTTTGCAGGTAAATGGATGGAACTGGAGAACACCCTTCTGAGCGAGGTTAGCCAGGCTCAGAAGACCAAAAATTGTATGTTCTCCCTCATACGCAGACTTTAGATCTAGGGCAAATGCAGAAATGTGATTGGACTTGGATCACATGACATGGGGAGAACTCATACGGGAGATATAGGAATAGGTAGAAAACCCAAAACATGAAAGCGTTTGATGTCCCCATTCCAGAGCAATTAATACAGAAACCTTAAAACAACAGAGGTTAACATAAGAAGGGGATCAGGAACCAGTGTAAAGATCAGTTAGAGATGAATCAATATGGGTTGTAGCACATATGTACATGAAAGCAATGCTAGGAATCTCTCTGTATAGCTATCCTTAACTCAACTAACAAAAACGCTTTGTCTCCCTTATTATGCTTATGTCTTTTCTTCAACAAAATTAGGGATAAGGGCAGACAGGCTCTAGCCTGGAAGTGAAGGGGGGGAAGAAGGGCAGAGGGTGGGGGAGGAGGGCGGGGGGGAGAAGTGACCCAAACAATGTATGCACATGTGAATAAATGAATTAAAAAAAAAATTGGAATCCCCCCCAATAAGGAAAGGGTGTAGGAAGGTGACTATGTAATGGAAATATTATGTGCTCATGGGAAAAAAGGACTGTTGAAATCAATCCAGTAATGGGGGGAGGGGAATGATGTAGGGGGCGAATTCGACTATGATATATTGTAAGAATACAATATAAGAATACAATATATATTGTTGTACCCCCAGCACAACAATATGATAATTAAAAATAAATAAGTAAAACTGAAAAAAAAATTTTTGAAGTACATCGTATTATTCTTTAAAATGTAAACAATCATTGATGCCAGGAGCTCATGCCTGTAATCCTAGCTACTTGAGAGGCAATGATTGGGAGGACTGTAATGAAGCTAGCCTGGGCAAAATTTTACAAGACCCCATCTCAATCAACAGCTGGATATGGTGGAACATGCAGGAAGGATAGAAAGATCACAGTTCAGGCTGTATGAGGGAAAAAGTAAAACTCTAGTCTCAAAATTAACCAGAGCAGAAAGGGCCAGTGGTATGGTTCAAGAGGTAGAGCACCTGCCTAGCAAGTACAAAGCCTAGTTCAAACACCAGTATCGCAAAGAAAAATAAATAAATAAATAAAAGGAAACAGGCATGAAATGAAGAAATTAAGCTAAAAGCCACGCACGGTGGTTCATACCTGAACTGCCAGTACCTGGAAGGTACAGGCAAAAGGATAGTGAGCCTGGGTTACACAAGGAGACCATGTCTTAAAAAACAAAACCACAACTGAAAAAAGAAAAAAATTAGAATCAAATATAACTTATCCAAAAGTTCCCTGACTGAAAAAAGGACAGTCCTTAAACTGCAAATATGAATATACAATAGCCACTTCTTTATTCTGCCACATAAAGCAAAATAAGTAATGATAAGTTAAAAAGCATTCACTATGTCAAAGAAAGTCTGAAAGCAAAAAAAGATGAAGATGAGCACTCAGAGGGCTGACACAGCCTCACTCAAAGCCTGAAGGAAACAGGGAAAGTGGCTGTCGATATAAAAATGGCCCAGAAGACTAAACAAAGCATGGGCTTTATGAACTAATTCCTAGGAATTGATGCAGAATGGCTATGTGCTGTTTCTCTTTTAGCCCAGGGGAAATCCAGTCATACTATCTAAAAGTTAATTTGGGGATAGCTAATTTATACTTAAGTATTAGAGTTTTCATTTTTCTTTAAAATGAGTACATACAAATAATAAGCAATATTTTTAGATTAAATTGTTTTTTATTGCACAAAGTAATGGGTTTCATTATGACATTTTCACACATGTATACAACATACTTCAAACATATTCACTCCCTCATCATCCTCTCTTGTCTGCTCCCCCTCCCTACTGGTCCTACCTCCAAATGTTCCCCCTTTTACATTTCTGTAAACATATTTTAATAGGCTTTTTTCCCTGTTAAAAAAGATGGACATTTTGAGACAGGCTCTGTGACTCAGTTATGCATGCCTGTAAGAAATCTAGACCACTTAAGGAGCTGTCTGGCACTAAGATCATACTGCAAAAGATTCCTAAGCAGAATAAGCCACTTCTGCAGATGCAGCTTTTCAAACCACACCCAGGAGATACCAGCAAACATAGCCCACACTGCTTGCTAAAGGACCACAGGAAGACTGAACAGTGCTCCTGCTTCTGTTGCTGCCTCTCTTCATCTGACCTGAGTGATCTTAAGTACTTACTGCTTGAGCATAGGCACTGAGGGCTTGCTGGGAGATCTTAGGGCTCTGGCCAGTATTGAAATAAAGAGAAAGGTATGCATTCCCCAGAATATCTGAAAGAGAAACAGTGGCAGATCATCTCAAAGCCAAAGTCCAAGATACGACCTATTTGAAGACCCCACATTTGAACTTGGGAGACTAAGGCAGCAAGATACGGAGTTTGAGGCCAGACTGAGCTACACAGCAAGACCCTGTAGGAAAAGAGAAGGCGGGAGGGAGGGAGGTGACAGAAAGAAAGAGGATGGGGAAAGAAAGAGAGGAAAGAAGAAAGGGAAGGATGAAGGAGAGGAGGAGAGGGAGGGGAGGGGAAGGGGAAGAAGAAGAGGAAGGGAGAGGACGAAAGGGGAGGAGGAAAAGGAAGACCCCACATCTGAGCCAAATCAGGATGACACTATATTTGGTATACCCAAAATTCTACTAGGATAGAGAAATATGGACCCCCCCCCGCCCCTGCCGCAAGAAGAAACCTGAGCAGGAGTTATAAAAGCCCTGACTGTTTATGTGGAAACATAAGTCTTCTCTCTTGGATCCACAGACCTAAGAGTTCTAAGAACAGTGATTATCAAAATACCTTTTGGGCTTCTTTTAAACAAAGATGCCTCCAGAGTCAGACTCAATGGGTGGGCTCCAGATGATTCTGGGATTTAGCCTTGGTTAACAACCACTACTCTAGAAACTTGCTGGAGATCTTTTGAGAGCACTCACACCAGGATCGGCCATCAAGGACATCCATCTGCACAGCCAACTTGGCCTGTCGGACACTGTCCATGACATGGCGCGAGTGTTCATCTCCAGAGCCTGTCTGCAGTTGGCGAAGCACCATTGACAGGTTTTGCAGGGAGACTTTATTCTTGCACTGCAAATGTTAAAGACATACACTCAACCTTCCTGACTCTACCTTCCACTTCCAAATCTATTCAAACCTCCATTTTCCCCAAATCCTAATTTTTCATCTTAATTCTTGCTGCCATCTCCATTTTCGAAGCCTATATACAAGAACTGGTTTTGATGCCAACTTTGCCTCACTTCTCATCTACCCTGAACCTATCCCATCCTCTTTTTCTTTCTCAGCCCCATGTCCCTTATTTCTTCATCCAGGTCTGTTTCCCACCCACCCTCCCTTCTGATTCTCTTCTTGGAGCTAGTTCAAACTGCATTCTTATCTAGTATTCTTGTCCTAAGGAAATTTATCAACCAAAGAAAGGAATCTTCCTTCCTATCTGGATGCTCCAAGGGTATAATGGGCAGCTCACATGGGTGAGGGCTCCTGAGAAGCAGGTGTGAGCAGCTGCAACATCCCCTTTCTTCCAGTACACTTCACCCAGCTGATTCCAGGCTTCCACCAGCTCAGGTTCCAGCTTCACAGCTTTTGACAGAAGCTCTTCAGCCTTAGGGCTGTAATCAGGAGTCACATTCAGTGCCTTCCCTGTTAACATCAGAGCCTGTGCTTTGCCCTGGACAGAACCTAGGAGGAATGGAAAAATAAAAGAAAGTATAGGAGCAGGGTACTTTCTCTCAAGAAATAAGTAGATGCCAGCTCTAAGAATGGAAAAATCTATCAACAAACTATTTACTGAAAGTCTACTGTATAGAGAATAATGACAGTTAACTGGGTAGCAAAGAATGCATTGTTTGTACCATAGAGGGCAGCAATCTGGTGGAGAAGACAAAGCATATACATGGAAAATTAAAATAACAATGAAAAGAAGCATATGGCATGCATTCAATGACTGGATTTTTAAAAGTCAAAAGACCCTCCAAGCTAGAAAATGATATAAACAAAGACAAAGAGGCAGAAGTACATGTGACATGTTCATAGGAGAATGAGTGGTCCAACCTGGATGAAACAAGAAGTTACTTGATAAACAAGTGGTCAAAGATAAGGTTAGAAGAAAAAAAAAAAAAAGACAATTGAACTGAGCATGGTGGTGTACACCTATAATCCAAGAGTACTCAGGAGGCAGAGGCAAGAGGATCACAAGCTTCTGAGATCAACCTGGGCTACACAGCAAAACCTTGTTTCAATCAATCAATCAACCAATAAATGAGGGATGGAGGGAGGGAAAGACAATGGAGACTTGAATACCAGGTCAAGGGGTTAGACTTCAGCCAATCAATAGTCAATTCAAGGAATCTTGAAGACTCCTTGCAAAAAGGCAGATAAGAGGATAAGACTAAATGTATGAAGTAAGCATTTAGAAAGATAACTATGGCCAAGGTCAGAATGTAAATTAACTTGGAAGTAAAAGAAAGCACAGGCACAAAAATCAGTTAAGAGAATTGCTACAGTACTTCAAGCAACAAGTATGTTTCTTTATTTCATATCATTTGCTACAATCACACTTTAGGAAAAGTAGGTTAGGTGGCTATAGTCTGCACAGGGGTCCTTAAAAGAAACATTCTGTTCTACCAACCTATAGCAGCCACAAACAGGATACCAAAGAGTCTACAGAGAGAGAGAAACTCTATCACATTTCAGTGGAGAGCAGGGGGTGGCATACTCTTTAAGGTTCATACCCAAAACTTGCTCCATTTGATGGAGGGTCTTCTCCATCTCCTCCCGCACATCCTGTTGCTTCTGTCCAGCATCCTCAACGCTGTGTGTCTCAAAATAGCAGTCTCGAAATGAATAGAGCTGATCCACCAGTTTCTAGAAAGCAGAAGAATGGTCCAGTAAGTGGAGAGAGCACCTGACAAGGGAATTTCGAACTGACTAGCCATACTGTTCTTGGCCTAGAAATACTGATTCTCTTATCTCACCTAGGAATGCACAATAAGCAGACTGGACAGGTCTATCAAATGCCGCAGATCTTGAGGAAAGTGGCCAGTGTCCCAAGCCCAATCTCATGGTCCCAAGTTGTCCCATGCCCGTCAAGCACTACAATGACAATACTTTCTCCCAGCTCCAGCAGGGTTTCCAATAACTCTAAGCACTTCACATACCACAGTCAGGAACACTTCATAACTCGAGATAAACCAAAAGTTCACATCATTCTATCTGGTTCTGGTCCCAAAAAGAACCAGAAATTTACTCTTAAAACTGGAATTCCTAAGCTCAGTGGTACAGCAGTTGCCTAGCATGCATAAGGCCCGAGGTCTGTTCACCAGCACAGACAAAAAACAAAACAAAAAAATGGACTTCCTAACAGAAATAATTTTATCCCACATTTTTCATATGCTGAAATCTGAGAATACATAATCTGAGTATGAAAAGACGTTGTTTTTTGCCACGAACAGAACAATTTGAAATTGGTAACCTTGGGGTTTTGCAGGTTTTTTTTTTTTTCTTTAAATGTTTGTTAGATTTTTGCTTTGTTTCATCTTATTTATTTTTTGTCAGGTCATCTTCTGGATCTCTTGCATTTTTTCCAAGTCAATGTTCTCTTTCCATTCTTAAATAATTCTGAGTTTCCTTGTCTGGACTACTATAATAACCTTTTCTTGGTAGTACTGGGGCTTGAGCTCTCAGGGCCTTAGGTTTGTTAGGCAGGCACTCTACCACTTGAGCCACTCCACCACTTGCCAGGCCTGTTGTTCTGTATTGGGTTTTTTGAGATAAGGTCTCCAGGAACTATTTGCATCAGGCTGGCCTTGAACCACAATCCTCTTGATGTCTGCCTCCTGGATAGTTAGGATTACAGGCATGTGTCACCAGTGCCAGCTTTGCAATAGCTTCTTTATGGGTCCCCTTGTTTCTACTCTCTCATTTATTCTCTCCACTGTAGTCAATGAAGTTGTCAATCAAATCACAAGCCCACAAATAAGTTTTCAATTCCAGACAGAATAAAATACAAATCCTTACCATGGTCTGCAAGACTGTACGGCCGGACCTCCCACACCCACAACCCATCCTACCACATACTTCCTTCTTACTACCCATCCTCCTACAATACTCAAGCCACACTGGCCATCATTCAGTTCCTCAAACCCATCAAGCTGAATCCCACCCTGAAGCATTTACCATGCTTTTCCCTATGCCTAGATACTCTCTCCCCAGATCTCTGCCTAATTCCTCCTCATCATTTAGAGCTCAGCTCAAATACTAACTGCTCTCTCAAAAAGGCTGCCCCCAACCACCCAAACCAAAGTAATCTCTGCCTCCTAGCACCACTGCTAAGTCACACTCATTTTCCTTTGTAGTACCTTTGAAACTATGTGGCTTATTCACAGACTACTGTCTGACTTCACCACTGGAACATAAGCTCCACAATGGAAGGCACTTAATATGTTTCGTTTAGAGCTACATCTGAGCAGTAGAACAGGGACTGGCTTGTGATAGGCTCTCATTAAATATATTAATATATCATCCATCTCTAACAAATACAGATATGTCATAACTAATTGAAAATCCTACCCTAAATAGAGAAGACACTAGCACTAGCACCTTCTGCAAAGTGCCTTTAGTGTTTTTGTTTTTTGGTTTTTTTTTTTTTTTTTTTTTTTTTTTGGTTTTGGGGGTTTTTTGTGGAACTGACTTTGGAACTCAGGTCTTTGCATTTGCAAAGCAGGCACTCTACCACTTGAGCCACATCTCCAGTTCACTTTTGCTCTGGTTATATTGGAGATGGGGTCTCAAGAACTATTTGCCCAGGCTGGCCTTAACTGAGATCCTCCTGATCTCAGCCTCCCAAGTAGGTAGGATTACAGGTGTGAGCCACCAGTGCTGGCTCAAGTTTTCTTATGTGTATTATTTTCAAGCCCCAGACTGCAGAGATTCTAAATTTAGTATTTTAGCAGAATTCAAAATTTTGTGTTTTAAAAAGCACCCCAGGTGACTGAAATAAAAATGATCTGTGAAACTTTCAGAAATAGCCTTTTATAACTTGCTTCTACCCTAAAATATCTTTAACAATGAAATCAAAGCTTACTGCCATCTCCATGGATAAAAACATCACTAAATAACCCTTTCTCCCTTCTCTACTTCACTCTTACTCCATTCCTGCATTTATTCACTCACCCCCAAGATACCTCAAGTATTCTATTCTGTTCCAAGCCACTTAGGGCATCTACCAAAAATGAAAGCACAAAAGACAGTTCTCAGCAAAAATTACACCTTTTGTCCTGCAATCAGCCTGGCTGCAAACTAGTAAGAGTCTGAGGAATTGTGAAGCCAGGCACCGGTGGCTCATACTTCTAATCCTAGCTACTCAGGAGGCAGAGATCAGGAGGATGGCAGTTCAAAGCCAGCCCAGGCAAATAATTCATGAGACCCTACCTCAAAAATACCCATCATCAAGAAAGAGCTGGTGGAGTGGCTCAAAGGTGTAGGCACTGAGCTCAAACCCCAGTACCACCAAAAAAAAAAAAAGTCTGAGAGACTGTGAATGATTGTCTGTTTTTATAAAGCAAATATGCAAGAAATTGCTTGGTTTTGTAGTGTGGTTTTGTTTTGCTGGACTAAACATTTTATTCTCATGGCAATATCAATACATATAAAGTGTTTAAAATCAAATAGAAACATGTGAAAATAGGAAGTAAAAACTCATGATTACCCCAGCAGCCTCGGGGATAATGACCTCAGGTTTTTTACACATATACTAACATATTTACGCGATGTTTCTAACATGGAGCGAGGATTGAGGAAGTCTGATGCCAGTCACACTATGGAAAAGATGAAGTTAATTCAAGTCAGGTGGAAATGGGACGAAGACCACTCTAAAAGTGCTGTTCTTTTAACCTGCTCGAAGAACAAAGAAATCTCACCAATGTTTAAATTTTTGTGTCAGAGCTCTTTAAGCAAATTCCAAGCCCATCACCGGTTAATGTTTAATTCCAGGCCGTCTCAGAACACAAAGTGAGCTTCTGAGGAATAAGGAAAATCCTGGGTCCTTAAAACTTGGCAAATCCTTCCTACCAAGACACCTGCGGAGTCTGGACCCCTCTTCATGGTTCCCCAAATTGGGGACTCAAAACAAATCAAAGCCACTTAGTAGTAAGGGCCGCAACCAGGTGCAGGCCATTACTGCGGTCATTGCCAGTATCAAAGCAGCAAGGTGCTAAAGAAATGGCCGTGACGGAGATCCACACAACGTGATGGCAGTTCGTGCCCGTCCGCTGCCGTTCACCTGTGCGCGCTACTCGCGGTGCAGGAATCTGCAGGGACTTCCCAGGACGAGCAGGACGACCCTGCGGAGCTGCGAGCCGCGCCGGCGGCCGTCCCCACGCCCCGCCGTCCGCCCGCCCGCTGGGCTCGCTCGGCGCCCGCGGCCCGCGCCTCCGAGTTGTTATAGTAACCGCACCGACGCACGCAGCGCCCCCCGCCGCGGACTGGCGCGCGCTGCGGACGCTGGACCCCGGTTTTTTCCCTAGTAACAAAAGCACGTGGACGTTAATGTAGGGACTCACCTGCAATTTCTGCAAGACGTGCTTCGCTTCTTCCTCTTCATCAGCCATCATTCCTCAACTCCTCTCGGCTTCTCCGCCCCAACTTTACAACCACAGAGACGCAAACCCACGCCCATCGCCGGCCACGGCGACATCTAGCGCTCCGGAGGCTTACTGCAGCTGAAGGGCGCGGCTGTAGCTCAAAGATGCTCTATAATCACTTTTTCTTTCTTTTTTTTTTGTCAGCACTGGGGTTTGAATTCTGGGTTTCAGGCAGGCGCTCTCTACTTAGCTACGCCCCCTACAATCATTCAGGCTAATTCCATGCATATTTTTGTTAAGAGAGTGGATGGATGGCTATGTTGTTTGGAATTCTGAAGGGAATGTTTGGAATGTTTTCCAAACTTTGCAAATTTATAAGTCATGTTATCATTTTGAATGCACTATTCTAATAAATCTGCCATGCCTGGGACTACGGTGTTCCGTACACGAATACACACTCATTGACTATTTCCAGAAGGATACACAGGAAACAACGTCTCTGCAGAGGGAAAGAGCGAATGGGAGGGAGGTGTAGGTAAGCAAAGAAAATTCTTTTCACTGTATACTATTTTTTACTACATACATGTATTGCCTATTCGAAATTGAACCCAGTTTTAAGGAAAAAATTATTCGCTTTTACACAGACTATGTCTGGAAAGAGATACAGAATTTCCAAAGAACGGAATGAGGGCTAGGAGACAGAGGTAAATGGGAGAATTTCACTCTGCTTTTGTGTGTGTGTGACTGAGGTTTGAACTCAGGGCTTCACACTTGCAAAGCAGGTGCTCTACCACTGGAGCCACACCTCCAGTCCATTTTATTCTGGTTATTTTGGGAAATGCAGCCTTGTGACTATTTGTCCCAGCTGGCCTTGAACCACAATCCTCTCCATCTTGGTGTCTAGTGCTCGAGTACTCCTGATAGTTCTCGGCTTTTTAAATTTTACTTACAGCTCACTTGTATTTCAAACTGATTGTGTGAATCTAACAAAGAATCAAATGATCAAGACAGAAATCATAAATGTGCATAAAATCACTTCCTTAAATCATTTTCTAACAGGATTTACAACTGTGTAAGGAAATGCTTTGTACTGTAATCTATAAAATTTATCTGAAATAAGTATGGATGCTTTTAAAACTTTTTTTTTTTTTGCAGTACTGGGGGTTAAACTCAGGGCTGGCACTTGCTAAGCAGGAGCTCTTACCACTTGAACCACACCATCACTTTTTGCTGTTTGTTATTTCTGAGATAGGGTCTCTAGGGCCCTGCCTGGCCTGAACCAAGATCCTCCTATTTATGCTTATCCAGGTAACTGGGATGACAGGCATGCACCACCACAGCCAACTTTTTCACTGGTTATGATGGACTCTTGCAAACTTTTTGCCAAGGCTGGCCTCAAACCCTGATCCTCCAGATCTCCACCTCCTGAGTAGCTGGGATTACAGGCTTGAGCTTCCATGACCAATGAATGCTTTTGAAGCTTTTTTTTTTTTTGACCCTGAGTTCAAATCACAGAACTATCCAAACAAAAAAAGCTTCAAAAACATTCATTGGTCATGGAAGCTCAAAAACATTCAGGTCACAGTGGAGTGACTCAAGCAGTAACAGCACCCATCTAGCAAGCATGAGGCCCTGAGTTCAAACCCCAGTGCTGCCAAAAAATAAATAAATTTCTCCCTTAGGGCTGGTGGAGTGTATCAAGCAGTAGAGTGCCCACCTAACAAGCATGAGGCCAAGTTCAAAATCAGTGCCACCAAAAAAAAAAGTTACCAAGACCCTTGGCCCTGGACAAAAACATAAGACCCTATCCAAAAAATAACTGAAGCAAAAAAAAAACAAAAACCTGGGGCATAGCTCACATGGTAGAGGACCTGCCCAACAAGCTCCAGGCCCTGAGTTCAAACCCTAATAACACACCAAAAAAAGTTCACTCGGCTTCTGTCCCATCTGAGGACCCACCGAGCTTTCTTTTGCAGTGCCTATACTTTCCTTTTTCTTTCAATAAACTGTACTATGGCTTTGCAACAAAAAAAAAGAAAAAAGAACTCAATCTCACACACACACACAAAAAAAAAACATAATTAGATCCCAGATATTGCTTCCCCAATCAGTATGCTTTCAAGTTTTGCGTCTAACAGTTACTGAGTTTATCATTCAAATTCTCTCTTTGCTCTCCATGTTAAATACTTAAAGGTAGCAATTAAACATAATTTAATTTCCGTTAGTAGTCAGAAATGCTCACTATTTAATAAAGAGAAATAATGAAGGCTTAAAATTATTTTAATTAATAATCACTTGTGATAACATTGCTAAATTGCAGAAGTGAATTCCTAAATAAACACAAAGGTAAAGAAGCTTAAAACAAATGCCAAAAAATCAACTTCACAAAATAACTTTACCAATGTAAATTATTTTAAAATACAAGGAGTAAGTGAATACACATATATCAAATTATACTCTCATCCACTGGCATGAGCATGCCTCCCAACAAGTTAATATGAATGCAAATACGTAAATATATACAAATACCTACGCCCAGATAACAAGCCACAAATCAACCAACCATCATTTTCCAAGACCTAAATCTTCACATAAATATACTGGTAAATACAGCAAAATATCAGTGAACACACTTACATATACATATATACATAAATACCAGAATCCAAAGTGACACTTAGACGTGTAACACTGGTATTCACAGACATGTGCATAAATACACAGCTTGGTCAGAAACAGCAAGACCCAAACAGTGACCTACAAAACATTCTATCATGTTGCGACCTTTTCACCAGTGATAAAAATTCAATGGTAACAACAGAAACTGAGATTAGTAAAATGTTCATGCTTTAAGTAATAGAAACAAGGAAACAGACACTAAAGCCACCTATCCCACTGCCAGTGAATCTCTTATAAGTCGAACGTGTGAAGACAACTTCAGAGATTCAACAGCACAGGGAAGTTGGTTACTCCTATTAAGAATGAAGATTATATGATAAATGAAATCACTGAAGGCAGAGAAACAGTCTGTAAATTGAGCTAAATTCTTTTTACTTTGAAGGCTCTGCTAGAGATCTGCTGCTGCTCTAATTCATGACTTTGAGAAGCAAAACTAAAAAAGCTGTTGCTGGCTTCGGGTGCTGTGGGAGAACCCACAAAAAATGGTCTGAACTGAAAATCTTCATCTCCGCCACCCTGATTTCGAACTGGTATATTGTCCAAAGGAAACCTGGAGTTGTTCCCTAGGGGAAAAAAAATCAGGAAAGAACATAAGCATCTACTTCCTCATAGATTTTAGGAAGAAAAAAGACAAATACCATTCAATAAATAGTTTAGCAAAACTCAATTCCTGTAAGATGAATACAATACAGACCTGGTATCAGATACAGATAACTATAATGTCCCTCCACTCCCCATAACCTGAGAATATACGATACCTTCTTCAGTGACGCAGTTTCCAAGGATAGCCATGATCTCTTCACCAAAAGTAATTTAACACAATGAAATGTTTTTAGTAAAACTAGAATTACAATATCACAATTTTGTTCATTTGTTAGCTATTTAATCTACGTCAGAGCAATCATCAAACATTTTGTTCTGGCTTCTGCAAGAGTATTTTTTGTTTTGTTTGTTTGTTTATTTTGGTAGGTCTGGGGTTTGAACTCAGGGCTGCATACTTGCAAAGCAGGCAATCTACCACTTGAGCACCCCTCCAGTCCAAGAGTTACTTTTTAGACCTTGCAATATACTCTTTAGGAAATACATCACAACTATGAGATGTTGCCATATAGCCATGGCCCAGTATTTTCTTAGCGTAGGCTTAAAAAAAAAAAAATCATGACAACAGATCTGATTAAGCATTTAATTACTTCTATTGATCCCTTCCTTGGCTTTTACAGACTTTTATAAGAATGGGTAACCAAAGGAACATGCTGACTAACCCCGTTTCAAGCTAACATGCATAACAAGAAGTAAAAAGGTAAGTGTATACAGAAAGAACAGATAAATAGAAGAAAAAATAAATGTGGAAAGTGACAAGAAAAATATACAAGTATTTAAAATGTCCAATTAGAATAATATTTTGGTTGACTGAATTACAATATGTGAGCAACTAAAAGTTAAACAGCAACTTGTTTCTGTTTCAATTTTTATGTTTGATCTTCCTTATCATATCACCTCCTACCTTTTTCTAGATCATCTCCTCTCCCATTAGATCTTTTTCCTCAACATACAATAAGTAAAACATTTTTAAAAAGGGGAGTACTTATGAAATCCAGAAGAAGAGGATTCAACTTTTATATGCCAAAAGCAATTTATATTAATAGCACAGCAAAAAGATTCTCCTGCATCAAGAGTAGTATAAAGGGGAGAACGGGAAGAGATACAAGATTCATCTATCTGTGAGGCACCTAACAAACAGAAAGGAGCCTGTATCACCCTAGACTGTGAATTGCCAGAGAACAATAATCCTATCCAGATAATATGTATATCCTCCTTGTTCAGAATCATGCTTAACAGCCTGACACATGAAACATATTTGATGAATGGACAAATAAATATAAAAGAATGAACCATCAAACAGCAGACAGTAACCTTCACAACTATGTAACTGCATGTGGAAACGTCTGCCCTCATTCCTTTAAGGGTAGGAATGCATCCATAACATGCTACATTTAAAAAGGAGTCTCAGGACTGCCAACCTTACAGTAAAGGTTGAGTAGTAGTGTATTTCTCCTACATAAAACAAACAAAGACAGACATATAATAAAGGGAAATATGGGACTGCCTTAAAATCAGGGACAAAGAAAAGGGATGAATCACAAATGACATGTTGTTGTTTAAGGTGCCCATTATGCTCCCCTTTTGAGATGTAGGTGTGAAGAGTTCTGAGCCCTAGTTTGCGGGACACTCATTGATCTACTCAATCTCCAGAGATTTGTCCTTGATGCTCTTGTTCCATCTCTTTGAGGGAATCTGAATTTTAACTTATCAGTTGCATCTTTAATAAAGAAAAGAAAAATGATGAAATAAAGTATATCAGCAGGTTTTTTTTCCCTTTTGAAAAGTGATGCAAGCCGGGTACCGGTAGCTCATGCCTGCAATCCTAACTACTTAGGAGGCAGAGGCTGAGATCAGGAAGATCCGGTTCAAAGCCAGCCCAGACAAATTATTCAGTATCTCAAAAAAACCCATCACAAAAAAAATGGGGGCTGGCAGAGTGGCTCAAGTGGTAAGAGTGCCTACCTAGCAAGCGTGAGGCCGAGTTCAAACCCCAGTGTCATTCCCACCCCCCAAAAAAAGTGACGCAATGTATGATCCATGAATTTCTGTATTAATAAAATTAGTATTTTTAGAAAGTAAAAAAAATAATAACTATGGCATGTGAAAGAAATTGAAACACAGCCTTCCTGGCAAATGAAGGATGGTAAATGGTAAATGTACCTCAGCTTTCTCATCTGTAAAACAGAGATAATAATAGTACCTACCTCAGAGAGTTTTGCAAATCAATAAAAACATGTAATAGTGCTGTGCACTTAGTAAAGAATCAGCTAATATATTTATTACTACAACGAAATAGCTTTTAAAATATAATTTGTAAACTTTTATTTTGTATAGATTAACTGCTCAAATTAAAAGCATAAGTAAATATAGCAGATAAAAGCAGTGACATACTGGTTGAGACAATGAAGAATCCATAGCCTGGGCTGGTGAAATGGCTCAAGGGGCACAGAGTCTACCTAGCAAGCGTGAGGCCCTGAGTTCAAACCCAGCAACACACACACACACACACACACACACACACACAAAACCAATCCATAGTCTACCATGACTCTAAACCCTTAGGAGTCTCCACTGAATACAGGGTACAGTGTAAAAAAGTGAAAAATCACTGATTTAAAAGATACTGGATATCACATCCTCTCTTACCTACTGGGAAGCCAAAGACACCAGACTGTGCAATCATAGATGGTTCAAGGGTGCTGTCTTGGTTAGCAATAGTGATATTTCGTAGTCTAAGGCTATCATAGAGGCCTTGGAGCTTTTGATACTGGCGATTGCGCTCCATAAGTTTCTCAGAGATGTCACTGAACTTCTTCTTGTATTCTTCTAGCACTTTCTTCATGGAGGTGACCTCTCCTTTCATAGATGTCAATTCTACATCTTTGCTCTGTATTTGTTGAGTATATATTTTCTCCATCTGTTTCAGATGGCCCTCAGCCTTGCTGAAATTGTATTCTTGATAGAGACGTTCCTGATGCACCTGTCCCCAGAAAGAAAAGACAGATTTTTAAAGTAAGAGTATAAATGTGTATATTATAAAACTTCATATAAACACAAAAAGGAAAGATGCTTATATAGGGATGTTTTTTCTGCAATTTTTAGAACCAGGGTAAAAATCAACCAGTATAATAAGAGTACATAACTTATTATTATAAAAATAAGTTGTAGTACTAAATGCATAGAATGTATTTTCAAACCATTACCATTATACCACCAAAATAAGTATGTCTTAATTAACAAGTGACATGTATTCCAAAAGGTTTTTTAGAAATAGAATCCCATTTTTCCAGTGATTTAGAATGTGAAAGAATAAGATTCTAAAGTAACCCCCAATTATCTCTGCCTGCTAGTACTTAAACTCTTGTGTACCTCCCTCAGGAGGGAGGACCTGTGACTAGAAGTCAGCAAAGGTAACAGGATGTCACTTCATGAGTACATTATGTAAGACTGCGAGGTCTGTATTAGCAGCTTTTTCTTGCTGATTTTGAAGCAACCAACCACACTAGGAAGACCCAGAAAGCCACAAACTGCCCAATAGCCAGCAAAAGACTGAGGCTTCAATGAATCTAGACAGACAATGTATAACCTTCACAAAAATTAACTCTAAAGAAAGAAATGTAAAATGTAAAAACTCCTAGGAGACAACATAGGGGAAAATCTAGATGACCTTGGACTTGGCAATGACTTTTTAGAGAAAACACCAAAGATATGAAAAAAAGAACTAGTAAGACAGTATTTTAAAATGAAGCTTTCTGCTCTACAAAAGACATTGTTGAGAGCCAGACATAATAGAACACCTGTCATCCCAGTTACATGGGAGGCGGAGATGGGATCATCATGGTTTGAGGCCAACTCAGGTAAAAATAAGTTAGCAAGACTATCTTAAAAAAACAAGCAGGGTGTGGTATACATGCCTACAATCCCAGCTACACAAGAGACAGGTAAGAGGATTATGGTCCAAGGGTGGTCCCAGGTAACAAGCATGAGACTGTATCTGAAAAATAACTAAAGCAAAGAGGGCTGCAGTGTGGCTCAAGTGGTAGAGCAACTGCCTAGCAAGCACAAGGCCCCTAAACCCCAGCACCTAAAAAAAAAAAAAAAAAAAAAAGTAACAGTTGACTGGGAAGTGAATGCTGCCAACTATGTAAACTTGGAAGCCAATTCTCCCCCCGTCAAGGCTCAGATGAGTATAGCCATAGAAAACACCTTGACTGTAGCCTCCTGAGACCCAGAACCTCTGTTAGTCCTACCTGTATTCCTGAACTAGAAAAACTTGTAAGTTAATAAATGTGTACTGCCAAGCCAGACTTGGTGGTTGGTTCTTCCGGCACTTAAGAGGCAGAGTTGGATCATGAGTTTGAGGTAAGCCTGGGCAACACAAGAGCCTGCCATAAATTAAATAAATAAATAGTGTATTTCTCTAAGCCATTAAATTTGTTGTTCAAACCACTAAGCTTTTTACACAGCAAAAGGTAACTACCAGATAAGTATCAATTATACCAATTCTGGATTACTTGTCTTTTCTATGTGTTACCATAGAACTTTGTATTTCCCTAATCATTGTAGGCATTAAAAATGCGTTGTACTTACTTTATCACCCTGCTCCCTTATTCAATAGCTTACATTATTTTATATTCATTACATTACATTATACTTAATCATACATAGATGGGATGTTTCAAGATTTTTCATTCTCTAACATTCTCTTTCCCTTTTCCACATTCCAGTATCCCTGAGACAGACCCACTAATATAATCTTATTCTCTCAAAAAAAAAAATATATATATATATATGAAAGATCATATATGTATTTATGTGTACATTTAACTTATTGGTCTAACTTCCACATGAGGGAAAACATTCAACCTTTGACTTTTTGGCCTGGCTTACTTCATTTAATGGGGGAGGGTAATCTGATTAAAGCACAATATATGCATATCTAAAACATCAAGGCCAAGCCCTTTTATACTATTAATATACATTTTTAAAAAGAAAGGACAGGAGGGTAAAAACGATCTTTTCCTGGTGTGGGTACCAGTGGAACTGGTTGGGAGTATAGTTCAATGAACAAGGCATTTGGCTAGCATGTACTAGGCCCTGGGTTCCATCCCCAGCACCACAAAAAAGGTATTGAAAATGTCTATGTGTATTTTCTTTAGCACCAGTGAACTGTAGCCTCCTTGAGGTTCATGTCTTGTTCACTGTTGTATATCCAGGACCTAAGAAGGTGGTGAAATATATTTTCTAATACTCAAAAAATATGTGTAGAATGGCTAAATAGGAAAAAGGAAAGAGAGAGAAGGAGGGAAGAATGGAGAGAAGGAGGAAGGGAAGAAAGGAGGAGGGAAGGAAGGAAGCAAGGAAGGACGGAGAGAAGATTCATTCACTTCTGGTTACCTTTATTAAACCATTTGGTTTGTTATATCTGAAAAGGTGAAAATAACATATCCGTGTTCACCCGACACCACCCTCAATAGAAATCTGCTTTAAAACACAATTTTTATTCATTCAGTCTCTAAGTAGTTGTTGAGACCAGCAACTACAGTGATCACTGAGGACCTAAGGATATAAAGAAATAAAACTCTCCCTTATGCCCTGTCACTCCTTCCCCACCTTTTCCCCTTCTCCTCCTTCTTTCCAGAATGAGGTACCTGATTGGTGGGAGGGTACCTGTTGGTTCTTATCTCTCTTGTTGTATTAATCAAATTTATTAAAATGTTATGACCAATGGGGGAAAACAACTCTATCTTAAAGAACTCTCTTATCTAGAAGTGATGAACAAGTATGCAGATAATTACAACAGTATAATAAAGATAAGCATAAGAAAGCTGGGCTCATATGCAGATATGAATAATAAAAAAAATAAAAATTAAAAAAAAAAAAAAGAAAAAAGAAAGCTGGGCTCATAGCTGTAATCCTAGCTACTCAGGAGTCAGAGATCAGGAGGACAGAGGTTCAAAGCCAGCCCGGGCAAATAGTTCATGAGACCCTATCTCAAATACACTTATCAAAAAAAGGCTAGTGGAGTGGCTCAAGGTATAGGACCTGAGTTCAAACCCCAATACTACAAAAAAAATAAATAAATAAGCATAAGAGACAGTTCCAGGTGTGGTTGTGCACTTCTGTAATCCCAGCACTTGAGAGACTGTGGCAGGAGAACCCTGAGTTCAAGGCCAGTCTTAGCTACATTAACAAGACCCTGTCTCAAAAAAAAAAAAAAAAAAAAATCTGGGGATGTAGCTCAGTGGTAGAACAGTTGCTTAGCATGCGCAAGACTCTTGGTTCAATCCCAAACACTGCAAAGACAAACAGGAGCATCTTAGCATATAATGAAAATATGTACTTGGCAGGTGACAAGTGCCTTCAGGCAGCATTGTTACAAATGTCCATGTGAGATACAAGGTCATATTCAAGGACATAATGTCTCCATGGGGAAGTCTTACCAAAAGTAGCAGTCATGAAGAGAAAAGGTTTAAAGATATAAACTTGATGACACAAATGCTCAGCACACAATTTTTTTTAAGTAATTTGGAAGCAAATTATGATACCATGCAACCATTAAAATTGTGATTGCATCAAATATACAAAAACAAAAGTTCACTATGTCAAAAAAAAAATCAATGAAGACAAAAAGTGAAAAAAAAATTTCTTACAGTATTTGAGTTAGGTATAAATAAGATTTCTCCTACTGGGTTCAGATCCAGTAGAGGGGGAAAAAAAACCTACAGCACTGAAATAGGTAATTCATAAGAGAAATACATGAAAAAAATGGAAGATACGTTCATCTTAAAGTCATCCAAGAAATGCATATTTAAAAAGCAATGAAATTTTACTTTTATCTAGCTAGTGAGATATGAACTAAGCACCCTCATAATATTTCTTGGCAGCAAACAAATGGATATGCCTTACTAGAGGACAATGTTAAACTACTACAATTTTTTTATTTTTTGGCAGTACTGGGGGTTGAATTCAGAACTTCAAACTTGCCAATTAGGCACTTAAGTCATACCCCCTAACCAACTACAACTTTTAAAACCTTCAAAATGTATTTTTATCTGCTTTTAGGAATTTAATCTTAGCAAATAATAAAGGATGTGAATTTGATAAGAATGCTCATCATACCATAAATTATGGTGATATAATAAATTAGGAATTTATTAGGAATAAATTATGACAACGCAACCATCAGAGTTATAACTAATCTGAAAAATATCCATAACAGAGTGTCAACTTCATTTATTTATGCTTTTTTTTTTTTTTTTTTTGTGGTGCTGGGGAGCAAACCAAGATCTCATACACACTAGTCAAGTGCTCTACCAAGAACACCATCTCCAGGCCTGTCAATTTTAACTGGTCATAAAATCAGTCTGTGTGATATTGTCCTATTTTTGTATAGGAAAATTATGTGTGTGTATATATGTGCATATATATGTGTGTGTATATGTATATATAATATATATATAAAAGCAAAACAAAAATATCAACTGAGTGTTGGAACTATGTTTTTTATTTTTCTTTTATATTTTCACAATAAACATTATTTTTAGCAATTTGGAAACAATTACTAAAATTTTCCATACATTCATATAAAACAAACATAGCCGGGTATCGGTGGCTCACACCTGTAATCCTAGCTACTCAGGAGGCAGAGATCAAGAGGATCACAGTTCCAGGGCAGCCAGGGCAAATAGTTCTACAAGATCCTATCTCAAAAAAACCCTTCAGCAAAAAAGGGCTGGTGGAGTGGCTCAAGATGTAGGCCCTGAGTTCAAGCCCCAGTACCACAAAAACAAAACAAAACAAAACCATAAAATAGTGAAGAAAAACTATCAGGAACTCTCACATATGCCTCAAATTAACCTCTTGAAGAGAAACTAACCTAAACACTAACCTGGTATGTCCAGAAGGCCAGTGCTCGGGAGCTAATGTCCAATACAATCTCTGGTCGTAGCCCTGCCAATACCATAGCTTTATATTCCTCTGATGGACTGAGTTCTGTGCGGACAATATCTAGCTTTCCAGAAAGGGTACTGTTGCAGGCTGGGCAGACAGCTGGTGAGCGGCTGAACTCTCCACTGCCATGCTGATCACAGAAGATGTGAGAACAGGCAGTGACCCATGCATAACCAGAGAGCTTGCTGCGACACTTGCGATAATTACAAAGCAGCATATCTTCACACAGAGACATGGTGATGAGGTCTGCAGATGCTGAAGATCCTGTAAGAGTGACAAGGCAAATAAGTCAAATAGTAATGAAAATGAAATAAATAACAAGTAAAAAATAAAATAGGTGATTTTATTTTGGTAAAATGAACACTTTATTGTGTTTTAGTACTTATAATCAATGTATTTATTTCAGTGTCAACAATAGTGTGCTCTTTGTACAAAGGCCACGAAGAAAAATTTTTAAAAAGTTAAGGGCTGGTGGAATGGCTCAAGCAGTAAGAGTGCCTGCCTAGCAAGCATGAAGCAGAGTTCAAACCCAGTGCTACAAAAAAAAAAAAAAAAGACATAGCTCCTTATAAATGTGATGGATGTACTTTATATACACATGTGTGAAGATAAACAGAAAAGGGAGACCTGTTGAACTCATTTTAAGTAAGGGATGAAGGGGAGTGAGAGAGAATAATGATGGGGATGAACCTAAGCTACAGTGTAAGCGTATATGGAAATGTCATAATGAAACGCCCATACATGTAATATATGCTAATAAAAATGTTTGAAAGAAAAACAACTTAAATATACACACAGTGGTTCCAAATCTTACTAAGGTTCAAAAATATGTATGTGGAAAAAAGTTAAGGAACCCTTACAAGCAAGAAAAATTAAATCAGTACTTTTTATCATTCTTCAATACCTAAACAAAAATCAACATTTATTATTCACTCAAACTTTGCTAGACTATTTTAACACCACATCTTACACTTGGCAAACATTTAAAAGTCCAAGCATGATTTTGGCCATTTTTCTGTGAAAATTATTTTAAGCCGCACTTCTAGTTTTTCCATAATTGATTAAATTTTTTACCTGCTATCATTAGATAGAAACTAACCTAATTCATTCCAGTAATCAGCCATTATGAAACCAGAAAATCTACATAAAAGCTGGTTTTGTGTAATGTGCCATTAAATTATCTACTAATGTAAATGCTACTCTCTCCTGTGCCTTAACTTAAAACACTTGTAACAAATGCTCAATGAAACCCCTTTGCACAATTAATTTACGCTAATAATTTAATTCGCTAGATAATTCTATTTTTTCAATTGTGTACACTCTGCCATGAAGTTTTACTAACCCAAAAATAAGTCGTACACTGTATAAAACAATGGGCACAATTATACACCAAGGGGAAGGGTGCGCATTATCAAGTAACAAATTCTGTCACGGGGCCAACAGAGCCGCTCTGACCCTTTTTTTCTCAAGGGTCGTCTCTGGGTGAGTGTCCACAGATAAACGTCACCCGGCAACTGGAGGACAGTTCTGCCTCCCGCATGGTAATGGGCATGGGGACGCAGAGTCAGGACCCGCTTACAAGGGGGACCCTTCGCAGGCAGCCCAGCGGTGCAGCCAGTGCCGGAGGGGGCAGGAAGGAAAGAGCTGTTTAGTCGGCTGCACTAGTTGAAGGCCAAGTTTTTGGCCACTGGACTCACAGAAACTTCACTCTAGAATTTCCGACCTGCCTTCCATGCTCAACGGAGAAAATAGCAACGAAACAAATAAAACGTTTGACCTGAAGACCAAGGAAAAAGCGCGGTAAAACGCCACCACCTCCGAAACCTGAGTAAGCGCCAGAGAGCACAGACATACGTCAGGGTGCATGCGCTGCGTCGCCCGGGGCCTGATGGGTAGCGCCAGGGTCGAGCCGCAGGGGATGATGGGACCGCGAGGCACCAGCGCAGCCACGATGCAAACTTGGTGCACTTAGCGTCCAGTAAAGTGCCACATCCAAAGTAGGGCAGGGCACCTCCTGGTAGTGAAGGTTTGTCCTGGAAAAGTGTTGGGCTGCGGGCAGGCTTGATTGGACAGCTAGCACCTGTAAGCTGAGGTAGATGCTGCACTTTTATGCTTCCTGGAATAGATGGCTGTAGTTTTTACACAAGTTCTTTACACATTTAAAGTTACTTAGGGCTGATGGAGTGGCTCAAGTAGTAAGAGCGCCTGCCTGGCGAGCATGAGGCCCTGAGTTCAAACCCCAGTACCACCAGAAAAGAAAAAAAAAGGAAGTTACAACTTTTTCTTGAGACTTCATTACAAACATTCCCAGTTGCTTGAAATGAAGCAAGTCATATGACTGCTGGTACTCTTAAATGACTCCACCTGTTTTACTCTGATGCTGTTACTTGTCAGCAACTGTTGTGATTTTTTTCTGTTTACTATATGAACCTGTTAGAACTGAGAATTAAAATTAAACCAAGGAGGAGAACCAGAAGAATGGTAGGATGCAAAACCTTATTAGTGCCACCTTTTCAGAGGTGACCCTGATATGAATTAATAACATACACTCAGCCACACACTGGACACCAGATTCTGCAAACTACCTTCTGATACATGAGTCCAGAATATCAAACCTGTTTCCTTCAAACAAAACCTGCCCTAATTAAGCAACTGTTTGTTAGTAACTTAATACTTCAGGCATAAATTGGATTCAGGAAAAATTGTAAGCCCATATGTAAGCCCTCAGCTCCAAGCATGTACTTTGGCTAACTGAGCCTTTTGTGCATTTTCTGATTTTAACTATGTCAAATAGAGAAATTTAGAAGTACTAAAACTAAAGTTTAAAAAGATTTCGAAGCACTCAAATTTCAACCAACACCTGTGTTCCTAACCAAGTTAACTTTGTATTGCAATATTACCTCTTTCTAGGTCCAAGAAATACATACTTTGCATTAATTTAACAACCATATACTACAAATACACCAATTTGTTAATATATTCTTCTAATGGACAGTGGTTCTAGGTTTTTAATCATTAAAAACAATACTGCACTGAACCTTCTTCTGCACATGTCTCCTTGGTAAACATGCCAAGAATTCCTATAGAAAACACAGGGACTCAGCTCATGCATAAGCATCTTCAAATAGACTAGCTGTTGACAAATCACTCTCCAAAATGATCATAAATTTTGTTGACACCAGCAAAACGTATGAGAACCTATTGTTCCAGACAGAAACATGCAAAATTGTTTCCATTTTTGTTCATCTTATAACAGTGAAATCCATATTTCAAAAGGTGTTTCAGTGAGTAATTCTCTGATTACTTGTAAGGTTGAGTAACTTTTCATGTGAATGACTGACTACACAGGGATCTACATCTGTGAATTACTTGTTCATATCTTTTGATAATTTTCTTGATTTTCCAGTATCTCAGTCTTTGATGGAAATTATAGTTTATATTTCCAGCTTATATTTAACATGCAAGTGGCATAATTCATATCAAAATATTGAGAACAGTATATTTTTCATTTGCTTTTAAGATGCAATTTAATAGTTAATATTGACTAGACAAAACAAAACAACTGCCACATAGGCAAAACAACTCAGAACAGGGCTAAGAGAGCAACTTAATGGTAGGCAATGTGCACAGCATGCACAAGGCAATCCTCAACATGCACACACACCCATACACACACAAAAACCTACTCAGACTGATACAATTATAAATAAGAACAAGTTTTCATGAGACTCTGTTTACAAAAGCAATCTGGAAATACCACAATGAAGGAGAAGCCCTGGGTTTCAAGTGGTGAAATGATGGTTGTACTATAACACAGAAATCGCATCCTATTTATTGTGGTACTTTTTTTTTTTGGGAGTTGGGTTTGAATGCAGGGTTTACACTTGCTAGGCAGGCACTCTACCACTTGAGCCACACCACCAGCCCATATACTTTTTTTAATAACCAAAAATGAGAATTTTAACAGAAAAGTTTGGTACCTTGAAGTTTTGATCATGTTTGGAGTTTTTTAAATTTAAATGATTTAGTTGACCCAGTGCTTTAATATAAACTGCTGAATGTTCATGAGTTATATTATTCATACAGTGATTTCAAGGTTATTTGATTTCTGAACTCTCAAAGCACAATTAGTGCTTGCACATCATTTATATGTTTTTACATAGATTGTTCTATATAATAAATAATGATATATCTTTTCACCTTTCAAAAATGGTGCTTTTACTATAAAGACTGATTTTAATCTGGTGCAGAGAGTCTGAGTACCTAACCAGCGTTTACTATGAATATTTATATATCACATTTCTAAGGGCTTCAGAATAGTAATTTTCTGTCTTACTCTATTCTCTAAAACCCATGATATTTATATTTGTTTGAACAAAAGAATGTTTTTGTTTATTTTAAGAGGTTTTTCGGTTTTTGTTTTTTTAGCTTTTATTTTTTTTAAGACAATGTGTTGTGATATAGTCCAGGCTAGCTTCAAACTCATGCTCTTTCTGCCTCTACCTCCCAGGTGTTGGGACTATAGTCATATACTACCATGCCTGGAACATTTTGAATATACACTAAGCATTTCAGAAATACAACTGTAGTCATAGCGATGATGATCATACTTTGTTTTGTTTGAAAATTCCCTAAGTTATTTATCATTTTGGAAAATCATGCCACATCAGTAACTCTGTTTATGGTATTTGAATCACCATTTGGGTTGTCAGCTTTTTGTTACTATGTTTAACCTGAGATAATCAGTTTATAAGAAGATTTTGATATTTTGTCTTATTTTTAGATGGGATCAATATGTAGCCCAGGCTGGCTTTGAATTCATGATCCTATGCCAAGTGCTAGGATTATTGATGTTATCACCAGGCTGGTTTAATTAGTAAAAGAATCTTAATCTAAAGAATAGGTTTCATATTCTGGCCAACAGAAGTTATTATAGTTGCATTCCATTTTTGCGATTCTGGTATAAATGTGAGTATTAAATCTTATTCCAAAAACAGTGAAGTATACCAGGACTTCAATACTTTAATGTGTATTATACTCCATGCATGCTAAATATACAAAATACCACGTAGGACAGTATAATTTAGCCAAAACAATTGAGAATATTTCAATATGAAATATAAAGCAGAAATACAACTTTTTAACCACACCTAACGGTATGTGAAATGAGTCAGTGAGACATATTCAGTAACACTATGTATAAGATGTCCACAGAAGATATTTCCTACTAAATACAGGTATCTATTTCGCATATGTGTACTTTGTTTCAGTATCAAACATCCTAAGTTTTAAGTACTCATGGGTACTTAGTTTAATATACTCAGTTATTCCATGTAAATTCCTCACTGAAGTGCCAATAAAATGGTTGCCATTTCCAAAAATTTTCCTAAAAAATAAATGGAGATTTCAAGTCAACTCACTTCAAATACTTTTGAGTATCTATTCTGGATCACCTATAGGGACGAAGAAGGTATCCTGCTTTCGTGCAGTTTACAGTCTAGCAAAGGATCTAAGAATAAAAGAAAATAGTATTTTACTCTTTCCTTTCCCTCCACTTACATTTTTACAAGTTAATTCTATAAAACTATTTCAGATGAGGAGTCAGCTTTCATAAGATGGGGCTTGTGACTTAGCTTGCCTAGCATGAGGTCCTAGTTTCAATTTTCCAGCACCACAAAAGCATCTACCTTCATTCTGTAAAGAAGGGATTTTTTTGGGGGGGAGTCTTGGGGAAGAAGTGGAACTGGGCTTTGAACTCAGGGTTTCATGCTTGCAAAGCAAGCGCTCTACTTACTGCTTGAGCCACACCTCCAGTCTGAAGAAGGTATTATTTAACTACCTTGAAATGTGTGAGAAGAACTACTTTAGAAAACTGAGTAAAGCATTTAAAATTTAATTAAACATGAATGACGTCAGAGTATTAATGTTTCAGTAACACCCAAATCAATTGACTACAGCTCTTTCATAGCCCTAAACCTGAGCTATTCAAATATAACACAATGAGTTCTCTATAAACTATGTTACTATGTTTTGAACATAGGCTTCTGTTTTTTAAGTCATGGGTAAATTTTTTAAATCTAGAATCACCACCTGTTTTTTAATTGTTTGACTCCGCAAAAATCAGAAGGCACTAACGGACAGCCAGCCCATCCTCATGGTGCCCTGAGTGAAGAAAGCCAGTTCTGTATATGATGGACCAAAATCCCACTGCCTGGGCTCCAAGCAGTGAGAGGAACAGCCATCAAAGTTCATCTCCAACCACATCAACATTACATCTAAGTAAGAACTAGAAGAGACTATTAAAGATTAATTCACTTGGCTAGACAAAATAACAAGCAAGTTAGTGCCAAAACCAAGATCAACCAACAAAATGTTATCCAAACTATTTAGGGATACATAATACAGTCCCATTACCATACTGTGCCTAATTTTAGAACTAAATTAGGCTTAAATACCAGGGATGAAAGTAACAAGGGGTAAGGCCAATTGGCAGAAAGACACATAATCAATAAAAAACAAAGAATCTCCAACAATCTATTATGTAGATGACAGAAATTTCCAGGGGGTACAAAATCTAAGATAAATATATATATGAACTGATAATAAAATGCCTAACATCTACACAGCATTACCATATGCTTTCTGTGTTTTACACATATTCTAATTTAATCTTCACAGTAACTTGAGTGGATACTATTATTATCACAGGGGAAGATATAAAAAAATTAAGATACTGAGATGTCAGGAAACTTGCCACCGTTATATAACTGGTTACATGATAGAGCATGGGTTCAAATCAAGTCTGACTCCAGACACCTATATATAAATTGCTATTCGATCTCTCAACATCTTTAATTGACCTTTTAAAAAAATAAAATTTATAGAACATTAGCAGCTTGCCATGAACTTAACAAAACAGAATTTTCACAGATTCACATATATGTCAAAGTTTCTCAATGTCAACATAAGGCTTACCATACATGAAAAATGCAGTCCTCATCTACTGTATATCCAGGATTTTAAGCACTGAAGAGGTCCAGAATGAGAATATGAGACTCAAATTTTGTTCATCTAGTTCTGATTTCTTCTGCAAAAGATAACCAAAAGCCAAAAAAAAATTATTTCAAGTGCTGGTGTGGCTTTGAACTATTTATATTTCTTATAAATAATGAGGTACCTTGACGTGTACCTCATTCTGTGCTAAAAATGCAGACATAAGAACAAATATAAGCTTTGGCCAGGGGATGTAGCTCAGTGGTAGAGCACTTGTCTAGCACACTTAAGGCCATGAGTTCAATCCCCAGTGCCACAAAAATAAATAAATAAATATATTTACATACACCTGTCTTAAGTTGTTTAAAATAACTTTAAATTATACAAAAACAAAATAAAGCTAGAAAACACAAGTTTACAAAATAAGACTCACCCACAGAACCCAATTAGAGACAATACCCCTAGTATTTGAGTGTGTATATATGTAAATGTATGGCTGTGTGTGTGTGTGTACGTATATATATGTGTATGTATACACATGTAACCTTTCAGGTGATCTCCCATAAAAACATAAGCACATAAAAATGTTTAAGCAGAGGTGCAATGGATAGCACATTGGACTTCCAAAAATGTTTAAACATTGCTCTATAACCTGTTTTTAACTTCATGTGCCATGAAACCCTTCCATTTCAATACACAAAAACCTATATCAAACCTTTTAGCTGACTGTGGACTGCTACACTATATAGGTCACAAAGAATTGTAATCTTAAATAGACTAATAAAATACAGATTAGTTTAAAACTGTCAGCCTAAGGGGCCAATAGAATTATACCGGTTACCAGTACTTTTTTCTGTAGTGTTTGAATTTTTAGATTAAGGATTTCTGACCCTGGTTCTGTCTCAAAGAAATTATCACAAAGATCAAAGCACAATAAAATGTTGGTCATAGTACCAAATTCATAATTTAAAGATCACAGACTAAATCCCAGTAAGAATTCCAACAAGCAGAATTCAATTTCAGGTGTTTGCCCCTAGCTTTAGTCTGCTCAGAGCATGTGTCTAATCAGGGTGATCAGCTGAAACACGGACTTAACATGCATTTCATCATGGCAAACTAAAAGTGCCTGGTAAAGGCAAACCACCGCCAGCTCCTTGTCCCTAAATCAGGAAAAACCAATTAAGGTTGGAACTGGGGTAATTCAGCTATCAGTAACACTGAGCTCCATTATCTTTTAATGCAAAAATAAAGATTTTTTTTCTCTTACATTTTCTCTCTACTATCAAATGAATCCAGCGTCAATCTAGGAATCGAGTTGCACAGGATCTGTCAATTACCTAGCATCTTCTCTGGAAAAATAAAAAATTATAAGTAAATACACAAAGATTATGATTACATAGTAACTCACACTAGCATGCTCTCCATACGCAGTCATGAGAGTAAATGATCTTTATTTAAATCTCTATTCAATAATATAAACTACTGGGACTGAGAATGTCATCAAATGCCCAAGCTCAACATCACATTAGGGCAGGACCTCTAAGCAATCACAACTTCGTTCAAGTTTGGATAGAACTGTACAGTAAGTCTAACCAGCCTCTAAAAGGACATACAAGTCAATAGCCTCAGAAAAACAGGTATGCAAAAAGGAGTCTAGAATTCATAAGGTTCAAATAGATTAGAAGGTAACCCCAAATAAATTTTTCAAAGTATATTTTAATTTATTGAGACAATACTGATTGTGTTTAACCTTTACTCTTGGAAATACTGTCACAATTTAAAAAAGAAAATTTGGGGCAGTACTTAAGCTATGTCCCAGCCCTGTTTTGCTTTAACTATTTTTCCAGTAAGGTCTTGTGTTTTCACCCAGGATGGGCCTCAGACCACAATTCTCCTATCTATGCCTTCCAATGTATTTAGGATTTCAGACATGTACCCCATGACTGACTTATTTGTTGAGTTGGGGTCTTATCACTTTTTGCCTCAGCTGGCCTCACACCATGATCCTCCCAATCTCTGACTCTTGAGTAGCTGTGATTACAGGCATGAGCCCCTACACCTGGCTTAACATAAGAAAATTTTAACTAGCATCATTGTCTACCACAAGATGCCAATATAAGAATTAGGCTTTAATTTTCTCTTCTAGACCCCTATGTGTAATATTAACTTGGAGGTGAAATACAGATTAGACATGCAGTTCCTTACTGCATGCAACCTTCAAATTGTTCCTTAGTCTTCACCTAATTACTAGCTAGAAAATCTTTTGTATTGTATGTAATGATCATTTCAATTTATTAGGTACAAATATCACAATTATGCTTTTATTAAGAGTACTTGCCTAGCAAGCATTAGACCCTGAATTCAAACCCCAGTGCTGCCCAAAAAAAACAAATTACACTTTTACCATGTTTCCTATCATGAATCAATGCAGAAATTTAAAAAAATTCAAATGCAATCAACCCGAAAGAGAAGTCATGAAAATTATCCTACTAACAAATAAGTGGTAGTAGATTGGTTGTAAGCACCAAATAAATGGTAGAAACCAAGTAAGGTTAAAAAAAAAAGGAAAAACATGCTAGGCAGAGTGGTACACATGTATAATCCCAGCACTTGGCTGGCTGAGACAAAAGTTTGAGTTTGAGGCCAGCCTGGGCTACAGAGCAAGACCTTGCCTGAAACAAACAATAAAAGTGCTGGGTGCTGGTGGCTCACACCTGTAATCCTGTCTGCTTTGAAGGCTAAGATGGAGAGCACTGAGGCTCAAGGCCAGTCCCCGCAAACAGTTCACAAGACCCATCTCCAAAATAACCAGGGCAAAACAGACTGAAGTGTGGCTCAAGTGGTAGAGAGCCTGCTTTGTAAGCACAAAGCCCTGAGATCAAAGTACAGTCCCACCAAAAAAAGAAGAAAAAAAATCACTTGTGGGCTTCATGAAGAAAAAAAAGTGGGTGTTGAGTGAACCTTAAATATGCATGCCAAACCAGTAATCACTCACTACATATGGCTACTTAATTAAAATTAAAAATTACATTTCTCAGTCATACTAGTCATATATTAATTGCTAAATAGACATGCATTACCATACTGGACAGTATAAATAGAGAACATTTCCATCATCACAGTAAGTTCTAGAGAACCTCAGTGCCACAAAGGATTACCATGACTAGAAAACGCTGACAGAAAGGAAGCAATGGCTATCGTTCATCTGTGAAGCACTATAAAAATTATTTAACTTAACCTTCACGACCCAGTATTTACAGAAAAAAATCAGCCTTAGAAGTTATATAAATTTCCTAAGAGCTGAAATGTAAATTCAATTCTGTCAAAGCTCCACTCTATCGATGTTCTTCCTCCATGAAATAAGCAGAGCCACAGACAATGGTTTCCTTTAGGGTGCAATAAAAATGACACACTGGCTCAGTTAGTCAGAAAGCAACAGGTGGCTTTAAGTACCTCAGAGATACAATCAAAAGGCTATTCTCCTTTGGTGTCCTGTACTTGAAAGCTTCAACTATATAAAACATCTTCAGGTCAGCAGCATGCAAGATTAAATAAGGGAACACATACAGGAAGTAAGATACAGTGTCAGAGGTTTCTACATTGTAACAATATCTCAAAACTCCTTGATGAAAATTTACAAAACGGTGGGTGTTAAGTACACAGCATGTCAACTCACCACCTTTCAGACACAATAGCTTTCATAGGTTATTTTGAAAACTATTTAATAATCATATACCAAAAACTAGATTTTTAAAACTTGTTTATAACTTAGTTGCACCTAAAAGAGAAATAAGTATGAACTGCATGCATCCTACAACTTAAAAATGCGAAAAGCTTTTTTACATAAAAGCCGTAAGGGATTCAAAATTGAACTTTTCCAAAGCTTATTTCTGTTGCTTTAAATGAAGAGCTTTTAACATGGTAACAGATAGCTATAAAAAAAAATTAACAACCATTGAAATTTACTTCATTGTTTTAATTCCTTGAGGCTATGATATAAATCATCTCCAAAACTGACTACTATTGAGAAGATGTTGAATATAAAGGCATTAGTTTGGGAATTTTTTAAATATGCAAAAATGAATATTGACTGAACTGTATATTACCATAAAGTACCCAACAATGCAATTATAAAATAAAAATTAGTCACAATCAAACAAAAAAACCTCCTTGATGCAAGTACTTTTTACAGAAAAATAATTATGTTTGAAAGGGACAACCACTCTTGACTTCATCTGACAAACCCCAGATTTCAAAGGGCCTGGTCTTTGTGTCCTTGACACATAGCACATAAATATGTTTTGCCCATTCCCGATATGTGATGTCTAGTCATGTTCAGCAGGCACCATTCTACCACACAAAAGCCAGTTCATGTTACCTAAATACTTTATAAATTCTTCATAATCAATAACCAGCTCATTTTGTTAATTGTGGACAGTAAGTGCTTCAAAATACTGTTGTTCGATTGCCAACACCAAAAAACAAACAAAACACTTAGCTATTTCAAAGTACTGCTATTCATGGCCAAAAAGTACACTTTATGTGTGAGTAGATGCTTGCATTTTAAGATTACATTATTACCCAATTTTACACACTTTCATTCTAATTCATTGTGTTTACTATGAGCCTAATTATGAAATATGAACCACTAATCTTTTTAGATAGAAAAAAAAAAACAAATACAGGCAGGTAGTTTGGTCCAGCTATTCCAGAGGGTAAAGCAGGAGGATCATGTGTTTGTTTAAGACCAGCTTGTACAACTTAGCAAGATCCAGTCTTAAGATAAAGATTTTAAAAAGAGCTGGGGTTGTAACTCAGTGACAGAACACTTGCCTAGCATATGGAACACCCTGGATTCAATCCCTAGTACCAGGAAAAGACAGATTTTATATACATAATATAAAATACAGAATTTCTTAGTCACAATTCAAGTACCTGCTTTTATAGTCCTGTCAGCCTTTAACTCTTCCTATTGGGAATGTCCAAATCCAAGAACACTTCATTTTTACAGGGTCTACAGATGTTATGGAAGCCTTCATGGGACCACTTCTGGTCTGGCACACAGAGTGCAGAAGACCCAAGTTTTCCCTCTTCAGTCTTCCCTTCTCAGTGGATTTCATCTTCAACCTGAAACCAAAGGAAAACAAAAGGAAGTACAGTTTTCATTTAGAGATAGTTCTATAAAGCACTGCTATCAGAACAGTCTCCAAGTTTATTTATTTCCCACTATCAGCTGTTTTGGCTAACAATACTCATTTTAATATCTGAGTGCAAGAAGAATCCACTTGGAGCATTTATAAAATAAAAGTGGTGAGATCAGGTACTTAGACCAACCACACAGCTCATCCCAAACTCATCCCACCTAGTCCCAGTCCCATGGCTAACAAAACAAATAAAAAATGAAATGAAAATATAGTGCCCGAGGGCTTTGCATTTTATTCTTTCCCAGTTTTATTAAGGTATAACTGGCAAATAAAAATGATTTAAACTAAAGGTGTGCAGTGTTTTGCTGTTTATGCATAATACGTCCATCACTTCACTCAACATTTGTGGTGGGAGAGAAAATTGCTACTCTGCTAGCAACGTTCTAGTATACAGAAAATGTATTAACTGTAGTCACCACAATGGACCACAGACTGCCAGTTTATTCCTCCCTTGAAGCCAAAACTTTTTTACCCTCTGACCAACATCTTTCCAATCCTACTCTCCCCTCTCCTGCCCCTGGCAACCACCATTTTACTTTCTGCTCCTATGGGTTCAATTTTTTTTTTAAGATTTCACATACAAGCTATCATGCAGTTTGTCTTTCTGTGGTTGTCTTCTTTCACTTAGTTTTGCACAAAATCACAGAATTTCCTTCTGTTTTAAGGCTGAATACTATTCTACATATAGCATATTTTTTCCTCTATTCATCTGTTGATGGAAATTTAGGTTGATTTTATATCTTGGTCATAATGAACATAGGAGTGCAGATATCTCTCCAACATACTGGTATTATTTCCTTTGGATATATACCCAGAAGTGGGATTGCTGGGTCATGTTACTTTTTAATTTTCTTCTGAGGAATTTCCATGTGGTTTTTTATAATGATTACACTAATCTGCATTCCCTAAGATAGCGGATTTTGAAGGCAAAGTGAATTTGAATCCATATATATATATATATATATATATATATATATATGCTTTGATATATGTATTCCTTGGGCAAGGAATAACCCTTTGCTTATGTCTCTGTGGTACTTAAAACCACTTTATTTTCTTTGACCCTGTGTCATTCTCATTGGATACTAAAGAAAATACCATCTATGGCTCTGCTTCTTATATCATGTAGATTAAGGATGGAGTGTGTGGAGCTTTGACAGAATTGGATTTAAATCCCAGTTCTTACTAGTTAGGGACCTTAGGAAATTCAGGTGACTTCTGAGGCTGAATATTCCTGAAAATTTGGATCATGAAGGTTGGATAAAATTTCTGCAGTGCTTGACAATAACTATTTTAAAAATGATAGCCACTACTTCCTCAGCTTATGTCTTTTTTTCTTAAAAGACACAGTATCTTGGAGTTTAAAGGGCCATTATGAGTATATTTGTGATTTTTTTGGCTTCAGAATTATTGTGGGTTTTTTTGTACAGAATATCTGTATTCCTATTCATTAGTTGGTTGATTTTTCACAGGTAATAGAAACAACATATCAAACATTTCACTCTGCCAGCTACTGTATAAAGTACATACTACCTTATTTAATCTTTAGAGAAACTAAGCGGTAGGTGGCATCTGTCTTCATTTTACAGAGGGGCAAATGAAATACTGAAAGCATGCCCCTCCTGCCCTTGTGAATACAAGCAGCATGAAGTTTTTCTAGGTCACTGCTTTCTGTTTTTGCTTGTTTTTAGTGGTAGAACGGAGCGGGGGGGGGGGGGGTGCCCAGGAGAGAGAACGGGTTTGAACTCAGGGCCTTGTTCTTGCTAGGTTGGCTCACCATGTAAGCCAGCGCCCCTCCCTCCAGCCCTGGGTCACTGCTTTCACTCCTTCCCAGTATTAAATATGTGCCCAGAACAAGATAAAACATTTCCTACTCAAGCCAAAGTGGTCAGACATGGTCATATAAAAGCCATCAACATGGTTTTTTGCCTTTGGTTTTTGGCCCACCATGTTAGGACCATACTTCCCCCACCCCTTGTGGGAAGCTTACTGGAACTATCTCACCACTTACTGGAAAAATCACACTTGGCCCCAAAGAATCATAGAAATCCACCTTAGTCCATTGTAATGGGCTGACCTAATCAACACTTATCTGCCTTAGCTACCCCCAGCAACAAGCCAATTACAAAAACTTGCCTGGCATACCTGGTTTCACACCACTTTCCCACTAACCTGCTATAACTACCCCCAATCTGTAAGTGACAGAGAACTTCAGTGTCTACTGGAAACCCCTTCCACAGGTTGCTTTCTCCCCAATAAAGCCTGTACTGATACCGAGCCATCTCCTTCCTATTCTTCCATGCCTTTTTTCAGTCTAATTACCACTTCTAATCATCACTAGGTGCACAAAATATATATAAGTAACAGAAAGTGCTGAAAAAGTATCTCGAGTCCTTTTAAACAAGCATACCAAAACTCAACTCAAATGCCACATGTGCCACCTGACTCACACAAATTACTAACTTTACAAGAAATATGATGGTCATAAACTACCTACTGTCTACCAATAAAAGCTAAGTGAATAAATCATGGCACGTACATATATTAGAATACTTTGTGACCATTATAAAGAATGTGGTGGGGTAGGGAAGGGGTTGAGGGAGAGAGAGGAGGCAATGTAAATAATGTGCAATATAAGTCTAATCAGAACTGTCACTATGAATCCCCCCCATAACGAATTATCCTAATAAAAAATTTATTAAAAAAAAAAGAATGTGGACACTGTTTATTTACTCATATGGAACCGTTAAGTGGGAAAAGTCAGGTATATGGTACGGTATATACACATATTTGCTTATGTGAGCATATTGTTATCTTAAGGCTACACAAATATCTCATAATACTTATTAGGGAGGGGAACTGGGTGGTTTGTACACTTTGATACCAAATGTTTTTATCAAGACATAAAATTAAAAATAAAGTCTGACAATAAGGATTATTTAATATTAATCTTTCTTATACTTTCTGCCCACTGTAATAACCAACACACACACATTCAACTCAAACTAAGGTATATCAAAGAGAAAAATAGGAATATGGTGAAATTACATGGAAGGTCACTACAAAAATCTTTATGAGAAAAAAATATCCATATGCGTATTTCTTACATCTACAAGGTACTTAACATATATTATGCACTAACTAGTGCCTGGCCTTTGTGTTTTATTTGATCTTGGCAAGCTGAACCCAGCACAGATCATGGAGCCTCCCAAGGTCACCAGAGCCGTAAAACTGTGGGTGCTATAATTTGAATATAGGCTGGCACTAAGCTAAGGTCCTTGGTCTTTTTCAATATACACTCTCCACAAGGTTAACATTTAAACTAAGAGCTCACTGAAGTCATCTGCCATTAGCCTCACCAAGAAAGCAGGAATGCTTTGAGCAATAATCAGAGCAAAGACACTGCCAGCAGAAACTCCACAAACCGGCTAAGGGCCTGGGCCCCACAGACATTCATCAGAGAATTAAAATTATGGGGCTGAACTCACCCTGCCAAGATCTTCCCTCAGCCAAGGAGATATAAAACAAAACAGCATTGCCATGATAACGGTAACTCTTTCCCTCCAGGCAAAAATGAAGCCGGCATTTTCCACAAGTACAGCATAGTGACTTCAAGCAGCATCTATTGTTTCTGGGTCACCAGTTCTTGGGGAAAGAAAGCAAACTATACTACCGCAGAAGCCCACGTGGAAACAACCCAAGCACCACATTTCACTGCCTGCCCCAAACTCACCCAGCCTAAATTAATCCCCTTGCAACTCGCACACACGCCAGCGCTGAGTTGGAATAAAGGCCTGCCGCTGGGGTAAACAGCTCAAATAAAAGAGAAATGCAAAATAATCAGAGAGCAGAATTAAGTGCTACTCACCAGCCCACCAAAACCTAGGAAAGAAAGTGGAGAGACGGGAAGTGGCCTTAGTAAGTGGCCTCCGAACCTGATTGGCTAATGAGTTCAAGGAGGATTCCGTCCTCCTTTTACCTTAAAAGGTCCTGACAGGATGCACCGCTCCCCTTCACCCTTTTCTTTATGGACTAGGGATGCTTCCTGTAGTATTCTTAGATGGAATTTCTTAAACCAAGTTTCCTTACGATTAATGTACTTAGCACAAGCAAACACAGCTGATTATACCCGTTCTTGTTTAGCTAGTCCTTATTTTCATGTTTTTAATACAACTTCCTATCCTTTCTGACCACAACATGGTTAATGTATGCAAAGTAACAGGTCCCATTATAAACACCCAGATCCATCCAAGTTAGAACTTATTTTCAAGGTAATCTCTGAGCTAACAGACTTAGTGACTAAAACATGAGTGGTTAATTCTTTATATCCTGTTTCTTCACCTCAACTGTTAAAAAAGAAAAAATGATGACATCTTCCCCCTATGATTGTTCTGAGGATTAAGTAAAATAATTCATATATAATGTACCCAATACAGTATCTGCTGCAACATACTCAAGAACAGGTTAGATAGTATTGTTGTTATACAATTTCTTGTTAGATTTATCTCCTTAAGTAGATATAAACAACTAAAGGGCAAGTATGTATTTTATACATCTCTGAGAACATAACCACTTAATAGATTGTCTGGACTCCTCACGATGCCCCCGTTTAACTACATGTTCATCTTACTCTGTTAGGATGGGATCGCTCCTTAAGCCCTAAGGTAGGAGATTCACTGCACAGTACTCATCATGACTCAAAGAATACTAAAGTGTAACACGGAACACATAAAAAAAAACCTGTAATGCACACACATTAGAATTATAAATATTCAAGGTATTTTAATACAAAGATACAACTCTAACTCCTACTAATTCTCACTTTTTAATAATTTCATCCTATCCACTCTGCTTCCACCTTACCAGAAATTATTGCCCATTCCAATCTACTTAAGAGCTTGAATGCCCCGAAATTTCCCAACATTCAGCATCAAATGCTAGTTAGTTGTTTCATAATTGAATCATGTAATTATAATTTCTGGAATCAAAATTATTTCATTTACTGAATGTTTACATTAAGCTACGAATGGTGTTAAGAAATTTGTATTTACTATTTAATCTCCACAATAATCTCAGAATGTAGATACATACATTCATTCTAACTATTGATAGAGAGGAAACAGTTCTAGAGTCTAAGGAAATTGTCTATTAAGTAAGTGGTAAAGGTGAGATTCGAACACCAGTCTTGATGGTTAATTTTGAATCTCAACTTGATTGGATTGAGAGATGCCTAGGAGACCAGTAAAGCACATGTGTGAGTGTGCCTGTGTTTCCAGAAATGATTAGATCATGACAGCTCTGATGTAATGAATGGTTTTCTCCACTAATGGATTCAAAATTTTAATAGACTGTTGGGAGGTGGTGGAACTGAGGAAGGTGGGGCTTACTTGGAGGAAGTAGGTTGCTGGGAGCATACCTTTGCAGGGTATAACTTGGTCCTTGCGCCTTCCTGTTACATATTTGCTTCCTGACTGCTGCAACGTAAATAGTTTCTTCCACTATACCCTTATTCCATGATGTTTCTGCCTGGTCATGGCTAAAGGCAATGAATCAGCCAACCATGAACTGAAACCTCTGAAACTGGGAGCCAAAATAAATCTTTCTTCCATAAATTGTTTCTTTCAGGTTTTTATCATGGTGATGAAGATATCTAACACACCAGTCATTCACTTCAAGTCCCATACTCCAGCTACATCACACTACCTTCTAGTATATGATTTCAGAAAATCCTAGCAAGCACGACATTCATCTTTTTCAACTCCATCAAATAGTTGGGGATGTAGCTCAATGGTAGAGTGCTTGCTTAGTTCTGATTTCAATCCCCACCACTCAGTCAATCAATGAATTCCATCAACTGTTAACTCATTCATAATATTCTGGGGTTTTGTTTTGTTTTCTTTTGTTTTGTTTTGACAGTACTGGGGTTTGAACTCAGGGCCTTGCATCTGATAGGCAGGTGCTCTATCACTTGAGACACACTTCCAGCCCCAACCAGGTTTTAATACTTATGATATTCCATTATGAGATTCTCCCCAGCTGATAGCACAAAATTTTATGCACAGGGCTGGGAGTTATGGCTCAAGTGGCAGAACACCTGCCTAGCAAGCTCGAGGTCCTAAGTTCAAACCCAAGTACTGCCAAAAAAATAATAAATACTTTGTACATAATAAAATAACTTTGAAATTGTTTAAAGGTAGATTCCTGGAACCCACTCTCAGAAATTCTAACTCGGTGCAATAAATATTTTACTAAACACCATTAAGTACTTCTGACAAATATAATTGAGTCTAGGAGACCCTTCAAGGAAAGAACACTGACTTAATTACTGTTGCTTAAGGGTATTATCACTGCTAAAATGGCTAAGCTCCTGGAAAAGGTAACACACTTAGGAAGCTTTTCTATATAATTTGTTGAAAATGAAGAATCTGAGAATAGCTATTTATCCATAGTTAAAATTAAACATATAGCCCAGCATTGCTCAGGAGGCAGAGATCAGGAAGATCATGGTTTGAAGCCAGTTTGAGCAAATAGTTCCTGAACACTGCAAAAAAAAAAAAAAAAAATACAAACCAGGTGCTAATGGCTCACACCTGTAATCCTAGCTACCTGGGAGGTGAGATTGGGTAGATCAAGGTTTTAGGCCAGCCCAGGCAAATAGTGTGAAAGATCCCATCTCCAAAATAACCAGGGCAAAATGGACTGGAGGTATGGCTCAAGAGGTAGAGCACCTGCTTTGAAAGCAGGAAGCCCTGAGTTCAAACTCCAGTCCCACCAAAAAAAAAAAAAAAAACAGCATACCCTTTGCAAATTCATATCTGATTACTGACCTTGGAGAACTATTGTGCTCAAAGAGGCATGTACAAGTACAGATGTTCAATGCAGCACTGGTTGTAATGGTAAAACAATTAAAAGCATTCATATCTATCCAAAAGGAAATTGTTGAGTCATGGCACAAACGACTCAATGGAATATTGGCCAGTGGTTAAAAAGAACAAAGTAAACATGCATACGCTGATATGGAAAGGTCTTCAACACATATTAACAAAGCCAAATTGCAGAATAATTTATGCAATAAGCTCAAATTTAATATAATAAAAGGTGAAATATTTAAAAAAGGTGAACTAAAACATTCTATGCATTGCATGCCCATCTTTATATATAAGTGGGAAAAATGTTCTAAAAGGGAGACTCATCAAAATGGTAACAGTGGTTATTTCTAGGAAAAGGAGCAGGATGGAGGAAATGAAGGGTGAAATATTCTGTCTTTTGTTTTTGAATACTCAACCTTCTGATCTGGAGTCAGTTGCACTACTGTTGCACCATGAGACCTGCTCTGTCTTTTGTTTCTGAATGGTTATTTTCTTGGTGGGATTGGGTTTTGAACTCAGGGCTTGGCAATTGCAAAGCAGGTGTTCTACCACTTGAGCCATACCTGGACCCAGAATAGCTGAAATGTTTTACAAGGAGAATATATTCGTGTTTAAATAATGAAATAGAGTCACTTTCCAAAATAAGGATAGAGATCCGAGAATAGGTTTCATTATAGGAATGAGAAGAGAAAACTGGGAGACCCAAGTCCCCTAATGCAGAAAAAGATAGGCCTCAAAGGCTAAATGAACGCGACACTGAATGACTGTCACCTAAACTGAGTCTAGGACTTCAGAGATTGGACCTTCTACTTGTTCACCTCCTCCCACCCCAATTGTGAGCTACAGGTTTACCTATTTATTCAGGCTTTAGAGCTCTCCATTTAAAGCCTCTATTGAGAATCCTCTCCTCCCAGAATTGTGGCCACGAAGAAAGTGATGTTGAAGGACTGTCCTTGCTTCTCCTGAAGACATGCACACAAACTTCCTTAAGTGGTATTCCTAATATATGGCTTTGCTAATCATTTGGAAACTAACAGCTTCATTTATAAAAATATAAAACAGCTCAGAGGTAGAGTGTTTGCCCACCATACATGAGGCTCTGGCTTAAATTTCCGGCACCTAATTAGTTGGTTGATTGATTGATTTAAAAACCAACCACACATACGAGATTGGAAAACTTTAGAATCTTATTAGGCACATTTGAGCACTGATCTTTCAGATTCTGAGTTTCTTTTTTTTTTTTTTTTTTTTTCTTTTTGCAGTACTTGGGTTTGACCTCAGCGGCTACATGCTTGTTAGGTAGGCATTCTACCACTTGAGCCACTCTGGCAGCCCTGTTTTGTGATGGGTATTTTTGAGATAGGGTTCAAGCCAGCCAGGACTACTCGTGATCCTCCTGAGTAGCTAGGATTATAGGCTTAAACAAACTATCGGCACCCAGCTTTATCTAGTACCTCATTCAACCAACATCATTGAAAGTTAGATACATTTCCAACATTGGCTTTACATCAGTCAATAAAACACACAAAGTCCTTGTTCACTTGGTACTTACAATCTAGTGGAGGGAGTCAGATGCTCTAAAAGTTCAACAAATGTGTCAAGTTGTAACTGGTACTATAAAAAAACCTTAAGGCTGCAGAGTAGTGGTGAGATGGGGCTATATGGACTGGTCAAGGAAGGTCAATTCTACTGGGAAGATGACAACTGAGCAACACTGGAGGAGTCAGGCTGACTGGAAAGCAGGCCATGAAGAAAGAACAAATCTGAAGGCAGAGGTGCCTGGTATGTTTGAGATAGTGGAAAGGGGCCAATGAGGCTAATGGAAGGAAACAAAGAGATTGTAAGTGAAAGTCAGTTGTGGGGTAAGAGACAGATCGAATGGGCCTTGTAGGCCATAGCTGAGATGGAGCGACCCAAAACAGAAGCATGACGTGATCTATCTTCCATTTTAAAGGGTCATTCCTACTGCTATAGGCATGAGAAAAATTCCTCTTTGCCTGGAAATTTTCCCAGTGTTAGCAGTGAACATACCACATCCTGAGAAAAGTAGGAGCAAAACAAATGTTTGTCACTCTGAAAAAACAGAGATGAGGTAAGAGAACATTTCTCTAGTGAAAAATCAAGACACACAGTCTTATAAATGTGTGTGTATTTATAAAGACCAAAGCTGAGCAGGGTAGTGCACGTCTCTAATCCCAGCACTTAGGAGGCTGAGACAGGAGGATTGTGACTTCAAAGCAAATCTGGGCTAAGAACCAAATCTGTCTTAAAAAACAAAAAGCAAACAGACAATGGGACCAACATTTTAGAACAGTCTTGATCATTTCAATTTCTTTTTTTGGTTGTATGTGTGGTATTGGAGTTTGAATTCTGGGCCTTGTGCTTGTTAGGGAAATACTCTACCACTTGAGCCACACTCCAGCCAAAAAATTCAATTTCTAAAGTCAATCTCAGCCAATGATAGGTTAAAGGAAATGCTACCCCAAAATATGGTGTCTCAGAAATTTTAAGAACATAAGAAACTGGGAAGTTGCTGTGACCTTCTCTTGTCCTTTCTCCAAGGAAGCAGGGCATAGAAATTAGAATTCTGGTTGCCCCTTCCTCTCTGAAGAAGGTCATAAAACCTAACCCCCCCCCAAAAAAAAATCATTCTCTGACCTTTTCTGTCCCGTCTCCCCTAAAGACAGGTGGCAGATGTCTGGTATCCCCAGGGAAGGAATGTCACATAAGAATGTCCAAAAGAAATGGAGAAAACATGCCTTGCTAAGTTCTCCTCTACCACCAGTTCACTATTATTAGACCATACTCCAATCATACTTTTGCACAACTGTCCATAAAAATAAACAAATCTCCCCATTTCTTTGAGTTTCATTTCTGAAGACTCTAGTACTGTGTAAACTGTTACTAATTCGATTTGTATGCTTTTCTCTTATTAATCTGTCTTTTGTTATGGGGGGGGTCTGAGCATGAGTTTAATGATGAATGAGGAAAAAAACCTTTTCCCTTTACATTCATATAGGAATAGTCCTTTTTGGGAACATTTCCTTTTACATTTACAATATCTAACATGAATAATGCTTCCTTTTTGCCGGGTGTTTTTTCCTTGAAAAACCAGAATAATTTCTCCTTTCATGTTCTAAAATTAGAGGGCTTGACACCATTCCCTTCTCTCTTGTCCACCTTAGCTAAAAAGAATGATAAAATAGCTCCCCCCCCCAAAGGCCACATGACCTTTTTGCTATTTCTAAGTGGAAAGGAGGCCGAACAATAATGACATTCTGCTTGTGGAAATATGAAACATTCATTTCCTACCTTGAGCTCAGTTTGTTGAGAGAGTATTTGAGAGCAGTTTGCAAACTTCGTGTATGGGTAGTTGAGATATTTCTGAAGCCTGGTGGTGCTACCTCCATTTATGTGTTATTTCTAAAATAACTGCGTATGTATTTTAAAGGGGAGACAAACTATCTTAATCTCAATTTTTTTTCTGGCAGTAGTTGGATTTGAACTCAGGGCCTCACACTTGTTAGACAGGGAAGTTATCAATTGAGTCACACCCCAATAGGGTCTTGAGTTTTTGCCTAGGGCCAACCTCAGACTTTGATCCTCTTATCTAGGCCTCCCCATAGCTTGGGTTTACAGGTGTACACCACCACATCTGGCCCCTATAATCTCATTTTTGTTTGAAATTCTTTGTACAGCACTGGGGTTTGAACTCAGGGCCTCATGCTTGTTAGGCATGTGCTCTTACCACTTGAGCCACTCTGTCAGCCTTATGATGTCATATTTTACTGATCTATAAATATGTCTTAAAAAATCAACATTTGAGAAATCACTTTGAACTCATGTTCAACAGACACTTGACTGTGCTTTCAAGAAAAAAAAAGGTATGTTCCTGTAGGATCTTAAAGCCCTTATCTAAGCTAATTTCATTTCACAGGACAATAAAGAAACTAAAATACATTTAATTTGCTACAGTTTCTTATACTAGTTTCTTATAGTAGCTAGCCCTAATGAAAAGGACTCCTTTTTCATCAACAATAAGAGACACATTCAATCACATTCTAAAAACTCTTTGGTGCATTCTGGACCTTAATTTTTATGAGTCATTCTAAGGGAAGATCTAAATTCCATCCCATGGTCATACTTTGTTCAATGTGAAAGCATGGTATTTACTGCCGTGAAAGTGAAGAATGTGTCAACTGGATAAATAAGAACATCATTTGGAGTCAACCAGATTTGAGGCTGCCTCTTAAGAATTACATATTACGGACTGAATTTTGTCCCTACTCCTAAATGTATATGTTGAACATCTAACACCAGTACTTCATAATTTGAACGTATTTATTAAAGAGGTAATTAAAGTACATTAAAAGGATGGAGGTGTGGCTAAAGCGGTAGAGCACCTGCTTACCAACAGCGAAGTCCTGAGTTCAAACTCATACATTCATGTTATACACACACGTTCTAGATTCCAAGTATGAGATAAAACGTGATATATGTCTTTCTGAACCTGGCTTATTTTTCTTTATTTTTCTTAACATGGTGATCTTTGTGGATGAATTATACATATATATGTATATATCTTATTTTCTTTATCCATTCATCCGCTGACGGGTACCTAGGCTGATTCCATAGCTTGACTTCTTATGAATAGTGCTGCAGTAAACATAGGTTGTAGGTTTCATATGTAGTTCTATTTTTAGTTTTTTAAGAACCCTCCATACCGGCTGCATTTTCATAAAGGTTCACTTGTTTTCCGATAAGGGCTTGTGCTTTTTGCCTCCCTCTTAGTCCAGATTGCACCCGGCCTTCCGCACACTTCTAGTTCTCCGGTGCCTTCTCTCCTCTCCATTACTAGAGTCCTCAAAAGAGGGCGGGGGAGAGTAGTCTGAATTGGGTTATGAGGCCCCAGCGGGTGCCTCACCTCAGCCATTGAACTCACGCGGCCGGCCGTGAGTCTGTTCCAAGCCCCTGCGAAGGAGGCATCCGCCGGGCCCGTGGGCACGCGCTTCTCCTGCCCGGTCTGCCCTCGCGCGGAGCCCTGCTCTCTGGGAACTCACCTCCCCGCGGCTCAGGGAGAGCCCTGTTAGGGCCGCTATTGGCCCTAGTCTCAGACCTTCCCAAGGGACAAGGGACGGAGTGACGCGACGCACTCAGCACGTGGCCCCACCGATGAGCTTCCCTCCGCCCTATGGGGGAAAGTGGGCTGGAGCAGGGTTTATAAAGCTCCCAAGCCTTAAGACATTTTTTAATCACGGTGATTTCCCACAACACATAGCGTCATGCAAATATAATGGAGTGTGGGGCCCTGCGCCTTTCGCACCAGAGCGCACGCGCGCGTCTTCAGGCCTGTGACAACGAGCGGTAGATCGCCTGGTGCAGGTTGATGACGTCAGCGCTTGAACTCCATGGCAGCGCGGCGGCGAGGGACCAGCGGCTACGGAAATCGAGGTTTGGGACGCGTTGTCCGGGTGGAGGCGGAATGCGGGGATCCGGAAATCGGAGAAAGGAACCGTGCTCTTATTCCTCTGGCCCCTCCCCTTCCCGGCTCCCTGTAACCTGCCTTTGACTCCCAAACCAACTTTGGTTCCGGACTTTTTAAGTTTTGTCTTTCATATTCCATTTCTGTAATCCGAACAGCTGTGTTTACCTGTGACAGCAAACGTAGTGCCACGTAGCTGTTAATACCGAATGCCATTCAGTTAAAAATTGAACTGATTAATGGTGAACTTCATTATCCTTCACTGAAAAAGCTTAAACGTTTCCAGTTAAATTATGATTCACTATTTATTTGTCATCTATTGTTAGATGCACCCAATATCAGAGGGAGTAAAATTCGAGTCTTAGAATTATTGGATATAGTACTCTGTGTTCTTATATTCGGAAATCCTCCCTACAAATTAGATACCTTCGTTGTCTTTGGAGCAACTGATGTACAAAGATCAAATTGCTTCTCTAAGGTTCTGAAACTAAACACACCCAAGAGAGAGAGAAGAGATTAGCAAGCTAGGAGACGTATGCCTCATACCCTGTAACTATTTTATTTTATTTTTTAATTTGGCTAGAGTAACAATATAGGAAGTATTACTGAGACTGTTCTCTAGAGTAGTGGTGTGGCCCTTGCTGTTTTCTTGTAAACAATTACACAAAATCATCTTAGGTTTTTTTTTTTCAATATAGGATTATATTCATTGTATACTCATTCTTTCTTCTTTTTGTTCGTTGTTCTTGACCTTAGCTTCTGGAGCATTAAATGAAACCAAGAGAGTTAATAATGGCAGCACAGCAACAGAAGACTCTCCTCCTGCCAAGAAAAATCGCACATGTCCAAAACCCGAAGTGGAAAAGGAGCCTGTAGCTGGAGGAAAGGGTCATAAGCAAGGTAGGGTCATAACCAGAGAAGACATGGGGATGAGGGTCTCTGGAAGGGGTGGGAGTGATACCTTTCTTTCAACTTATTTCTTCCTCCCTTGGCAATATAATTAATTTCTCAGTCCCTTGCACATGCTACAGTACCAATCAACTTTTTTGAATCTTCATTTTCATGATGTATTTGATATGCACTGATACTTGGACAGATGACTAGGACTGCTTGGGAAGGGCAAAGTTATTATGACAGCTTTCTAAGCAAGACAGCTACTTTTGACCCCATATGTGTAATTGTAGTATGTATTTATCTTTCCTCAGAATCTGTGAAAGCTTTGCTGCTAAAGGGCAAAGCTCCTGTGGACCCAGAGTGTACAGCCAAGGTGGGAAAGGTGAGCGGCTCTAGAACTGATTCTCAGTCCATTGATTTCCCAGAGAGCAGTGTTCTTTTTTTTGTTAGGATTTCTGTCTAGATTGTTGCTAGTTTTCATTTTGGGAATACTCTAAAAATTTCACGAGTGATTAATTTTCTACAAAGCGGATAGGTGGGCATAGTACTGTTTGGAGTTAATACTCAGTGTGTCAACATGGTTACTCTTAGGGGTTGCCATCAGCCTTCTACACCTCATTCTCTTTTTTTTTTTCTTTTTTCCTTTTATTTTATTTTACATTTACTTACATGTACATACACTGTTTGTGCCACCTCCCCCAACCCCCACCCTCATTCTCTTTTCAATCAGAAAATGGTATCATTAAGGGAGAACTGTCTACTCATTCTGATAAGAAACTACCCTGGAATGGCTTGAATTACTAATGCAAAGAGGATTTGAAGAATACAGAAGAAAAGCTGCTTCTGGAGCAAGTTTCTTTTGAGTTTAGAATCTTTTGTGTTTCTGTAATTAGAAAAAGGCAGTATGTTTTCATTATAATAATGACAGGCTGTGCCTAGAACATACATTTTCATTTCTTTCCCTAATGCTAGAGAATGAAACTTGAGGCATAAGAAAATTTAGAACTCACTTTGTATCTCAAAACTAAAAGTACTAATAATGTCATTTTTTTTCTCTCTTTCTAGGCTCATGTGTACTGTGAAGGAAATGATGTTTATAATGTCATGCTAAATCAAGTAAGAGAAAGAGCCATCTGTTGTAGGAATTTATGCTTGATAATTGTTGATGTTAGCATCTGAAGGTCCAAATCTTTAACTCTGAAGTTCCTTATATCAGCCATTAATGGTTAAACTTCTAAGTACTCACCCTTACTTAGCATACTGTATCTGACAGGGAAGTCCTCTATGAGAAGGAGATCTTTTAGCAAACTTTATGTCTTGAATCTGTCTATTATCTGTTCACATTGTTTTGCATATTTTTAATATTTTTTGCACATTTTTAGTCTTTTTTTTTTACCTGCTTCAAGGAACTTTATATAATGCGAAAAGATAGTTTTTTGTTTATAATACAAAATGCCCCTATGTTGTCCAAATTTATCATTTGCATTTTGATTTTCCTTATGATATACTTTTTGGCCATACTGAAGTTTTAAACTTACATGTAAAGTTATTATTTTTTTCTTTTTAATTAAACATTTTCTTTATTTTTGTTGTTTTGAATAGAAATATATTTGCTTATTACTTATTTACTATCACAGCATATTTGAAATTATAGATCTAACATGCTAACTAGTATTTCTTTGTTAACATTTAGCTAACTAGTATTTCTTTATTAACAGCTAACTAGTATTTCTTTGTTACTACTTCTACTTAAAATATTATAAGCAGATAGAAAATATCTTAAGACCTCTTTTTGTTCTAACATTCAGTGACCAGATATCAGCAGGTAGGAGACAGCGGTAGGAAGCAGCTGTGCCTTGATAACCAGGGTCAGCCCTCCGGCACTAGCTGCTATGCTTTATCATGGACCACTCTCGCTTTCTCTTCACTCTGAGTGAGTTACTTACAGATACCTCTTGTAAAAAAGTAATGATATTTTCTTAATGTCTCCACGACACGTCAGGTTAGGGGTGGGACAGATGTGACTGTGGTTCTGCTTTTTCTTTGTCCCCTTCTAACACATCCTGCTCATTGTGAAATTTTTGTAGCTGACAAACCAAAGCTCTGTTAAGTAGAACTATCAAAGAGTAAGAAGTCATCTCAACAAATAAACATAATAGCTATGGACCTATTGCACAGAAAAATTGCTTTAGTTTGGGAAGTAATTATTGGGATAGAGTAGGAGTTGGAAAATAGCAATAATCTAGAAAATATCTATAGAGGGAGCTGAAGCATGAGGAGCCAATCAATATAGGATATTGAGGTTGTGTTTGGGGTTTTAGGAAGTTTCCAGGCTCTGACTTTGATTCCTAGTATTCCAAAGTTCAAAATATAAACCCCATTCTTTATTATAAGCTTACTCTGACAGGAATCTAACTTCTTTTACACCATGCTAACTTCTTCTTTATTGAAATTACTGGTAATTGTAACCAAGGAAGAGTCATTGATTTATGTGACTTTCATTTGCGAAACTATCTCCTTTTATGTTCATTATTCTCTCACTCATCATAGACCAATCTCCAATTCAACAACAACAAGTACTATCTTATTCAACTGTTAGAAGATGATGCCCAGAGGAACTTCAGTGTTTGGATGAGATGGGGCCGAGGTAATGACTTATGAGGGATTTTATGAGTTGTGATTTAGAAAGCCAGAAGCAGTGTAGTAAGTGGGTGGGTTTAATAAACTGGGTGAACAGGCTCTGAAGTCTGGGAAGGGCTCAGGAATCAAGTTTCTGCCCTTGAAGTTGGGGATTGGCAGGCATCCTCAGTGGGAAGCTCACACTGGAAAGACTAAGAGCAGCCCATTGAGGTTGAAACTGTCCTGCGATTGTTGATAGGCTGAGGCATTTAGCAGGGAACTTGCATTGACATGATCAGTTCCCTAAACCCTTTCACCTTTCCCTTCTTCCTTTTCTACCCATTAATCAGGTGGTAAGCAGAGTCCTTAGAGATCTCCTTATTACTATTAGAGAACTGTCCTTAGGGTACAGTACACGCAATAATCTAATGTGTGGCATTTACTTTGCAGTTGGGAAAATGGGGCAGCACAGCTTGGTGGCTTGTTCGGGAGACCTCACCAAGGCCAAGGAAATCTTTCAGAAGAAGTGAGTGCCAAGAAACGAGTACAAAAAAATGCCCTTTTTTTGGATCTAACTTGTTAAAAAAATTTATTTGGCCTCTAAGTCAATTTCTTTCCACTCTGACAGTCCTGTGATTAGAACATCAAATTGCATCTTTAGTTAGTGATTATTAAATCAACCTACAACCTTGAAATTTATCGAAACCAGAAGAATCTAATATATTTAAAACAACAACAAATTTAGGAAATTTGGGGAAAGTGGAGAGCATCCAGCTAGTTTTAAAACTTTTACTGTGCAGTGGATGAAGAACTTTCTGGAATCACTGGAAACATGTTTCCTTTAGGGAAAGGCATTGAATACATGCTTTTTATTTTAAATCTCAATGTTCTTTCTAGTGTTTGGGGATCTTTGGGAAGCCAGAGAATCTTCCTTTTTCCTGTTTTTTTTGGTGAGACTGGGGTTTGAACTCAGGTTTTGCACTTGCAAAGCAGGTGCTCTACTGCGTGATCCACACCTCCAGTCCATTTTGCTCTAGTTATTTTAGAGATGGAGTCTCACAAACTGTTTTCTTGGGATGGCCTCAGACTTGGATCCTGTGGATCTCAGCCTTCCAAGTAGCTAGGATTACAGGTGTGAGCCACCAGTGCATGGCTAGTTTTGGTTTATTTCTAATTCCTTTGTTCTAGGGTTTTTCTGTCCTTCCAGTGTCCTAATTAGAACTCATATTTATGAAAGGTAGATGTGTATGTGCACTAGCTCTGTGAGGGAATAAACATTGGGAGGTTTTCTAAGAGGGTTGTAAGCCCCTCTGAAGGTAGACTTTTATTTGTAAGACTTGTCACCACCTTGGGCTCCACAGATTTCTTGACAAAACAAAGAACAACTGGGAAGATCGTGAGACGTTTGAGAAAGTGCCTGGGAAATATGATATGGTGCAGATGGACTATGCCGCCAACACTCAGGTAAACTCCACTACACCTTTTATTGAGGGTAAAGTCCAAGACCAGAACTGACCTTGATATCTTCAGTCATTGCCATTTCCCACTGTGGAGAAACTCTCATTCATCTCTAGTTTCTAAGAGACAGCAAGAATGAGGTGAGCATGTTCCTTTCTAGTCTCCTCTCTGTTATTTACTGGGATTCTTACGAAATCTGAGGCCCTACTTTCAGAAGTTCAGTGTCATGAACCAAAAGAGGAGTGATCAGTAAACTGAGAAAACTGCATTTAAAGTTGTCTTTACTCTGCTTTTATACCATAGTAAAGAGATTAAGGAAGCTGGGCATGGTGGTGAATGCCTGTAATCCTACCACATGGGAAGCTTAGGGCAGGAGGATCGTGAGGCTACATGGTAAGACCCTGTCTCAAAAGAAAAACTGAGCCAGGTGCTGGTGGCTCACACCTGTAATCTTACCTACTCAAAAGGCAGATATCAGGTGGATCCCAGTTCAAAGCCAGCCTAGGCAAACAGTTTACAAGACCCTATCTTGGAAAAAAACCATCACAAAAAAAGGGCTGGTGGAGTGAAAGTGACTCAAGGTGTAGGCATAGAGTTGAAACCCCAGTACTGCAAAAAAGAAAACAAATCACAAAAGGGATAACAGAGTTATGTAAGCGGTAAGGGCGCCTGCCTAATAAGCAGGAGACCCTGAGTTTAAGCCCCAGTGCCACCAAAAAAAGAAAAAACAGAAAGAAAAGTTAAGGGTTGGATGTGTAGCTCAGTGGCAGAGCTAGCATGTGTAAGACCCTGGGTTTGGTTCCCTGAACTGAAAAAAAAAAAAAACCTAGTTAAACTGAGATGCTCCAAAGGCACTGAAAACTCACATATCTGAAAATAGAAAATTTTTAGTGTTATTAAGATCAGAAGATATGAGATATAATAGCTATCTTTATGTACTTAACACTATTAGAAGGGCCTTTTAGACTTTGCTCTTGAGTGTTTCACTGTGGGAGGCAGAACTAGTATTCAGAGGTAGAGGCCACATTGGTGCCCTACTAGGTTACTAGTAAAATGTACCTGTGTTCAGACTGATTGAGGATCACTCTGTACACCACTCCTTGGAGTCTTAAAATAGATCTTTCAGATTTTATGGGCCTTGTATGTTTTGCTGTAGGATGAAGATGAAACAAAACAAGAGGAATCTCTTAAAGGCCCCTTGAAACCAGAGTCACAACTAGATCTTCGGGTACAAGAGCTGATAAAGTTGATTTGTAATGTCCAGACTATGGAAGAAATGATGATTGAAATGAAGTATGACACAAAGAAAGCCCCGCTTGGTAGGACCTCAGATTCTGTCTGACATACCTTCTTCATATTTTCTAATGCCTTTAATGGGATACTTCTTTACCTATGATTTAAAGCTTGCTGAAAGTACTGAATGAAGAAAACAGGATTTGATGTGAGATGGGGGAGGAGAAACTATTTTGAGAGTTGAAAAGTGAGAGTTGTTCTTGGACAAGATAGAAGTACAATTTATAGGATGTTATCCTAGTTTGGAGTCTGATTTCTGCTGGGCCTCCAGGGAAGCTGACAGTGGCACAAATCAAGGCAGGTTACCAGTCTCTCAAGAAAATCGAGGACTGTATTCGGGCTGGCCAGCATGGACGAGCTCTCCTAGAAGCATGCAATGAGTTCTATACCAGGATCCCACATGACTTTGGGTAAGACCTGTGCTGTTACTTCACTTGGGTTCTTTCCACCCATATTCCCTGTATCAATCAATAGCTGTAATCCTTATAATCTTTTGTTCCTAAGGAAATTATCATCTTACATAGATACAGAGCCAGTATTATTTATAGATACCCCATTTATTCAGCTTGAAAATATAGGATGCAATAGAATATAGGATGCAGTCTTCTGGCCTGACCAAGTGGAAGTTAATCAACTTGAGAGGATAGGTCTAGCTATCCAACTGCTAAGCAAAACACCTTCAGTAGACCATAACCACACTACTATTTCTGTGAACTCAAATGATACTAGATATATAAAACACATTTTTATCTTGTGTTTTGTTTGTTTGATTTGGTTTGGTTTGCTTTTTTGTTGTGCTGGGGATCAAACCCAGAGCCTTATATGCTAGGCAAGCACTCTACCACTAATCTACATTCCCATCCTTGTTGTTTGTTTTTTCTGGTTTTCATTCTATTTCTATTCCTTCTCTTACTTTATAGAACCCCATGGCCTAGAAATAACCCTGAGTAGTCAACAGGTTTGCCTCTTCTCGTACATTGTGTCCAGTCTATCCCTTATTGATGTTGATGTCACTTATTTTTAAAGAAGATTCCTTAAAAAAAAGAATTTCAGCTGTAGTTCCAAATGTGAAAATCTATGTAGTTTGTTTTATCCTACTCAGACTATATATTTAATATCCCTTTGAATATTTGGAAGTTAAGTCTTTACAGATCTCTCTCCTCAAATGGAAAACCCCAATTTCTCATGTCTATTTTTTAAAGGATGTGTTTTTAGTTTGTTACTTTTAGTCATGTGGCTTTTAGCCACAAATTAGCTCTTTTTGGTTGTATCTCTGCCCTTAGACTTCGTACTCCTCCATTAATCCGAACAGAGAAAGAACTGTCAGACAAAGTACAGCTGCTAGAGGTAAGCTCTATATGGATTGGGAAATATTAAATCTCTTATCCTAGGTTCCCTCACATTGATTCTAAATCTCATCATCTTAGGCTTTGGGAGACATTGAAATTGCCATTAAGCTGGTGAAGACAGAACTCAAAAGACCAGAACACCCATTGGACCAGCACTACAGAAACTTACATTGTGCCTTACATCCTCTAGACCACGAAAGTCATGAGTTCAAAGTAAGAAAAATGGTGATTAATTTTCATATTCTTGTGCTTGTAAAACTCATTCTCCCCCCATCTCACTACTTTCTTGACAACTTCTGGTTAAAAGCAAACTGTCAAATGGGGCAGAATTTCCATTTAGAATGAATTTCTGGAGGTAGCTCTCTTTCTACCTGTCTTATGATACTATTTAGGAGCAGAAATTTCTGCCAAGCTAGCACCAGCAGTCCTGAGTACTTCAGTTTAGCCCAGTCTCTTTTTGAGTCCACACTAGCCATTTCTTCCATAGGTGATTTCTCAATACCTGCAGTCTACCCATGCTCCCACGCACAGTGACTATACCATGACCTTGCTGGATGTTTTTGAAGTGGAGAAGGAGGGTGAGAAAGAAGCCTTCAGAGAGGACCTTCACAACAGGTCTGAGTCTAGCTTGGGTTTTGGGAAGACTTTTCCTTGCCTGGAGTACAGTTAAGGAACTTGGATGGTGACAGAGGCAGCTGTTGGCTTTTTTATGTGTATGGCCTATCTTTGCTGGACAGCAAGTACAATAATAGCTTTTTTCTTAGGATGCTGCTATGGCATGGTTCCAGGCTGAGTAACTGGGTGGGAATCCTGAGCCAAGGGCTTCGGATTGCCCCACCTGAGGCTCCCATAACAGGTTATATGGTGAGTAAAAATTGAACTCTGGAAGGAGCATAAGGGAACAAGGATACAATAATGTTCCCAGTCCTTTTTGTCCCCCTTAGTGTAGGACTAGATGGTACTCCTCCACAAGAATTAAACCAGGTCACTATAATTCTATAATCTCTTTACTGTGTCCCTTTTCCCTTAAATTTGGAAAGATGTCTATCCATTCCCCCAAAAGGCAGACATTCGCAGAAGTTCAGATGTTTCTACCCTCTCTGAAACAGAATTACTAAAAGTAATAGAGAATATTGTGCTTATGAGAATGGAAAACCAGGAAATTGTTAAAGGTAACAGAGAAGAGTCTATATTGTGTTTACAAGAATGGAAAATCGGGGTCAATGCTATGAGCATTCCTTCTAATATTAGGGTTAAGGCACTGAGCCTGGTCTTTGTTTGATTATTTCAGTTTGGAAAAGGAATCTACTTTGCTGATATGTCTTCCAAAAGTGCCAATTACTGCTTTGCCTCTCGCCTAAAGAATACAGGACTGCTGCTTTTATCAGAGGTAAGGCAGGAACACATCTGTGATTGCTAGTTTATTATTCACTCCTATTTTTTTTTCCAATGAGAAAAGTTTGACCTCAGAACCAAAAGATTTACCTGGGATGACTTGAAGGAGCCAAGTGGAATTTCCATTACACTAGATTCCTATGCTAGAGTAAGGGAAGAAAATACAAATGGGAAGCTGGGCACCAGTGGCTCACACGTATAATCCTAGCTACTCAGCAGGCAGAGATCAGGAGGATCGCATTTTGAAGCCAGCCTGGGCAAATAGTTTGAGAGAGCCTATCTCAAAAAAACCCATCACAAAAAAAGGCTGATGGAGTGGCTCAAGGTGTGGGCCCTGAGTTCAAACCCCCAGTACTGCAAAAAAAGAAAATACAAATGGGAATATTCTGGTTGGCTTTGGAGCCACTTCATTCTCAACACGATATGGCATTCAAAGATCTTTTGCTTTGCAGGTAGCTTTAGGTCAGTGTAATGAGCTACTAGAGGCTAATCCCAAGGCAGAAGGGTTACTTCAGGGCAAACACAGCACCAAGGGGCTAGGCAAGATGGCTCCCAGTCCTGCCCACTTCGTCATTCTGTAAGTATTCAGAGCCAAGAGAACTAGAAGACTTTTTTTTGGATGGGTAACACTATTCCATTCCAACTTCTGAACCAAAGGCTGATGTTCACATATTTTCTTCCATTTTGTAGGAATGGGAGTACTGTGCCCTTAGGACCAGCAAGTGACACAGGAATTCTAAATCGAGAAGGTTATACCCTCAACTACAATGAGTTTATTGTCTATAACCCCAACCAGGTCCGTATGCGATACCTTCTAAAGGTTCAGTTTAATTTCCTACAGTTGTGGTGAATGTTGATATTAAACAAACCAGAGAAGCAACAAGCACTGTCATACTTTTTAAATTTTTGTATTTTGTGTAATAAAAATGGTATCTAGCACTGGCTTCTTTGGGCCTTACTTCTCCATGCGTTTTTTTCCTTCTTAACATCATCAGTATATTTTCATTTCCAGGACAGAAAGTACCCACAGGTTACTTAGGATCCTGTTCCCTCACAGCATAATAGCCTCTGTGCATTAAGGCACATTAATGGGAGCTAATGCTGTTCCCTGTTGAAGTCAGTTTTTTTGCCAAGAAGAAGATGATTTCGTGAATGAGTAAGGGGAGAAATGTCCTATGATACCACAGTCCACTGGGTTTAACTGTGGAACTTATCTAAGCACTGGGAGACACTGAAATTCTGTGTAATGATAAAACCCAAAGACCATTTAATGTAAAACACAACTGAATTTTCCCTTCAACTTCTTTCAGTACCTACAGTGGTCCCCTTATGGAGGAGGATATATTCCAAGACTCAAGTGGATGCCTGAAACCACAGATGGTACCAAACCCTACATATACTATGTTTTTTTTTTTAATACAGACATACCTATGATAAGGTTTAGTTTACAAATTAGCACAGCAAGAAAAACAAAAACATAATAGGACAATTAAAACAATATACTGTAGTAAGTTGTGTGACTTTGACCTCTCTTCCAAAACATTATACTGTACTCACCCTTCTTGTGATGATGAGATGAGATGATACAATGCCTTCGTAATAAGATGAAGCAAGGTGAATGGTAGGCTGTGATGTAGTGTTATACTATGAAGTACTGAATACAAGCATTGTAAAATACCATGGCAGTTGATTTAAGTAACTAAGTGGAAGAAGGGATAATTCATGTGCTGGGTGAGATGGAGTAGAACAGAGCAACATTTCATCATGATACTCAGAACAGCATGCAGCTAAAAACATGAAGTGCTTATTTCTGCAATTCTCCATTTAATATTTTTGCAGCAAAAGTCAAAAGAATGAAACCACTGACTTAATTTTTTTTATTATCATTACTTTTTTTTTTTTCTGCAGTGCCAAGGGCTGAACCCTATCAGTTGATGTCTTTATCCTCTGGCTGGGGGAAATTATAGAGCATTGGTAGAAAAGGCAAAGTCCCTCAGGTGATTCTTCCATGCAAAACCTGGAACAGGCAAAGTGAGCACAAAATGCAATACATCTAAACGCCCCCAATCTTTAAAAGTCTTCTGTATTCCACAAGGAGTGCTATTTCTCTCAGAGGAGCTTAACAACCCAAGACAAAATCCCTGGCATAGTCCTGGCTTGTCTTCTAGAAGTCTTGACTATCTGGACACAAAAGACATTTCCTTCAAATAGGAAAATGCTAGAATTTTTACTTAAAAGGATCAGAGACCATGGGTATGGGTGACCCACCTTTCAACATGTTTTAAGATTTGTGAACTCTGAATGCCAATTATTCTATCATCTGATGCTTGTAAGTCATGTGGAAAGCCAGGAAATGTGTTTTGCTTTCAGTGCTTTGGCTTCTCTCATCTGGGCAGCTGGTTCTTTTTTATGGTACCTCATATTCTTTTTTTTTTTTTTATTAAATTATTGTAGTACTTGAAAACACTGGATATTTACAAGTTCTTACAATACATCATAGTTGAATTCACCCCCTCCATCATTCTCCCTGATTACCCCCTCCCCTGGCAACTGGTTCTGAGAAGAGGGCTGTTTCTATCAGAGGAAAAGAGTTCTATGTATTTACACCAGTTCTTCCTAACTATGATGCCCTACTGACTTACCTGTCCCTCCCTCATTCTTTCTTGACCAAATGGGAATCCTTCAACTCTATTCAAAGTAAGTGCTGGCTACTTTGGTTCCTTCTCCTGGCAGGCTCTCTAAGAATCCTGGGCCAGCAAAGGACACAGGGATCCTAAACCCTGGTTTCAAAGAGTAGCTACTATAGATGTGGTTCACTTTGTTAAGGTTCTAGTAAGAATTAATGTATACCAGAAAAGAAACATATTAAAACATCCATATTCTTCCCTCTTGGTCGAAACCCACATGGGAACACAGGCAGGGCTGCACGTAAGACTTTCTAAACACTTTATTTTTATAATATTATTAAGCAAGTCAACACTGGTGTCTTCAGGCTTTGTGTCATCTAGTACAAGAGGTATCATCTTTCCCCTAAGTTGTGCATTTTCACTCCCAGGACAGAAAGTATACATTGCCCTGTGTGTCTCCCACAGCAAGCTGCAAGGTAGAGTTGGGCCCCAGCCACGGCTCCAGGCAGCTCACTGCCCCTTTACATTGGAACAGGCCCAGCTAAAACAAGAACAAAAATGAAGAAGGTAAGGACTACAAGTCTAGGACCTTTCTAACTCACTTTTCTCTCACATTTAAAAATGGGTAAATCACTGCAAAAAAGAATGAAGAAAACACTTTCATATCTTCTATTTTTTTTTCTTGTTAGAAAAAGGGAATTCTGCCAGCACCGGTGGGTTGCTGCTATAATCCTAGCTACTGGTGGGGGGTGGGCAGAGATTGGAAGGATCACAGTTCAAAGCCAGCCCAGGCAAATAGTTGGCGAGATACTATCCCAAAAATACTAAGTAAAAGAAAGGGCCAGTGGAGTGGCTCAAGTGGTAGAGTGCCTGAATAGCAAGTGTGAGATCCTGTGTTCGAGCCCCAGTTCCACCAAAAAAAGAAAAGAAAAGAATTTTGATCTGGCCTTCTTTACCCTAAGTTTGTTCTCTTGTAAAATCTTTTTTTTTTTTTTTTTGCATCCATTCATGGGTACACACACACACATGTACACACTCACTAGTTGCATACTGGGTCTCTCCCAGAGCTTCACATCTCTATCCTTTGAAGCTGTCACCAGCAACTTGGGCAGCACATGCAGAGCTGTGATGGAGCCCGAGTGAATCTGAGAGGAGGGGGAGAAGAGCACAGTGAGTTCTCAGGCACCCCTCTCAATTAAGGGAACATCAAAGTCTGCAGTGTCAGATTTAGAGCCTCCTCCCTACCTTTGTGATCCCTCCCTCAAACTCACCTTTCTACAGTGACGCGTCTTTAAATCCAGGGTTTCTGGCAAGATTTCCATAATGGTCCCTGGAGTCTGGGTTATAGGCATTTTCACTTTTTTCTGCCAGATGTTACCTATGGTCCACTCTCCTTCAGGAGTACATTCAGCCAGGTTCCATAGCATCCCATCAGAGCTGGCACACAAAAAGGAGGACTCTACCATTTTAAGGGCAGAATTAGAGGCAGGTCTCAGGCCTTGAAGGATCTATCAGCCTCCCCTAGGCCATCTCCGAGCTCCTCAGGTCTTCCCATTCCCACTCACCGGATTCAGGTTCAGCTTGAGTGATTGATATTGGGGACCCACTAAGATTCTCTAAATTCAGGCTGAAGTGCAGGCTCTCTTCGAACTCCCCTGATTCCTTTTGCCTCTGTGAAAGGACGGATAACTGTGTTTGGCTGTCCATATCACACAATGCTGCCAGACAAAGCAACAGGGTTCTGCCCTAGGATGGCCAGGACTTTTTTGAAACTATAACACAGATACAGTAAAGACACAAGCATTAAGTGGGCATCTAAGGAATTTTTACAAATGCATCCACCTCTGCCGTCACCCCCAGATCGAGATGGAGAACATTTCTATCACCCTGAAAGTTGCCCTCCTGCTTCTTCCTAATCAACAGCAGACCACCCCTAGAGCTAACAATATTCGGATTTCTGTCACCAGTTCTTGAACTTCATTTAAGAAAACCATACTTCAGGCTGGGGGTGTGGCTCAACTGGTAGAGTGACTACCTAGCAAGTGCAAGGTTCGGAGTTAAAATCTCAGTACTCTCCTCACCCCACCCCCCCAAAAAAAAAGAAAGAAAAGAAAATCATACTTCACTTAAGTGAAATCATATAGTATGGACTGTGTTGTGTCTGGCTTTTTTCCCCCAGAATAATAATATCTAGGTCATACGTCTGTGTCATTCCATCCATTAACATTCAGCATCACCTTCTTTTTCCCTACCATGTAGCATTCCATGCCAGTATGTGTCCTCTTCCTATTTATAGACATGTAAGTTATCTGGGATACTATCTACAAAGTTGTATGTACCTATCTTTAGAGAACATATGCACTTACTTCTCTTAGGTACATATTTCAGAATGGAATCATGGGGGGATGAACAGACTCTGTAGGTAACTGTAGTAGTTACCAGGTCAAGATTTAATAAACTTTCCAGAAAAAGAGGACCCCAGGAACCTACACCTGAAGTGAACATCTAGCTTTAGCACACACTAATCAGTAAGTGTCGAACATCTGTGAGGTAACCATTAAACATAACGACAGAGACAAGGTGCAGCCATTGCCCTCAAGATGATGATACGGTGGCAAGAGAAGAGAGACATGGAAAATGTATGCAGTTAAAAGACCCAGATTTATGATTTACCATGACTTAAAAAAAAAAAAGTACAACTTTTTTTGTGTCAATGTAACCTTACATGGAAATCCAATATCCAAGGCTCTAAAGTACAGATGCTTCAGCTGAAGGATAAGGACATTAAGAGCCAACTGCTTTTCCAGGCTCCTTGTGCTCCATGAGGGGCACCATATTTAAAACCACTGGTCCTGGACAAATGTTTAACACATACCCAAACATGACTTACCAAGAAAGAAAGAGATCCAGGTTCCCCCGACTGCAGGTAAAAGATACCATACTCCTTGCTGGTGGACAATATCGTAGGATATTCCGCATATCTGTTCCTGGTAAGAAAATAAGAGGCTGGGTCATGGACCACCTCTCCTTAAGACCCTAGTGTTTTGTCCTAAGTTAGACTCAAACTCACTTTTCTTCTTTCTCCAGCTCAGGAGGAAAAAGCATTTGGATCTTACCAGATCACAGATGGAGCTTCCCCGGGCTTCATGTGCAGTAATTCCAAATTTGCTTTGACCAAGATGAGGGACTGACCATCAGGAGCCAGGCCCAGACCTGTCAGGACCCCTAAGTCCTCCTGCAGAACTCGCTTCAGGTGAAGACTATACCTCAAAAAAATGTACATGGACAGAGAAAGATTCTGCTTTAGTTAACCTCCCTCAGACAACTCATTTCCCACATATTCCTCATGAGTGAAGGATAAAGCAAAATGTATTACCTTCCCTGCATATCCTGATCCTCCTCGTTTGTTTATTTGCTTTTGTACTGCCAGGGGTCAAACCCAGAGCCTTTAGCATACAGACAAGTGCTATAGCACTGAGCTATATATTCCCAGTCACTACATGTTTCTTATACCAATATTTATCATTACCATCCCCTTACTTGCCCCAAGTAGAAATATCTAACATTCATATTGTCTCCTTCCATCCCTACCTCCAACTGATCAATAAGCCCTGTGGATTCCACTAAAACACAGACTTAAATCTACATCTTTCCTTTTCATCGCTACTGCCCAGGTCAGGGCCCATATTATGTCTTCCCTAGGCTAGAACAACAGCTGTAAGACAGCTTCCTGTGTTTAATATCTCTCTACAACTGTGCATCCTCTACACTGCCACTATCAACAGTTTAAATCAGAGGGGCTGAGAGCTGTTCAGTAGTAGCGTGTGTAACATGCCTGAAGTCCTAGGGTTGATACCAGCACCAATAAACAAAGAAATAAGACAAATACAATGTTCAGATCATTATTCTATTCAGAATTGTTAGCACTGTGCACCTTAGTTTAACAGCACTGGCCCTAGCTTATTCCCCTCCCCCCAATCTCCACTATTCCCTCCAGAAGTCTAAGTATACAGAATACTATACACACCCCCATGCTTCCACACCTTTTGTTAGTGCTCCTTCCTTTTTCTAAAACACTATTCCCTTCCCTTACTGGTCAAGAAATCTTTTCTTTTTTGCTTAACCTGAAATATCACCTCTTTCCTACAATTTCTCAACTGAGAAAGCCTCATAAGCCACTGTAAGCTTCCTTAATTAAAGAAAAAAATTCAGCTGTGCCTCATGCCAGTAATCTCGGCTACTCAGGAGGTTGAGGCAGGAGGCTCTATCGCAAGTTCAAGGCCAGCCTGGGCTTTGAACATAGCAAGACCCAGTTCATTTGTATCTGGTTCATACTGCCTGGCCCAGAGCTTGGCATCAAGTAGGTACTCAAGAATTATTCATTTAAATTCTTCCAGAAGCATTACACAATTTCCTGCTCAATAACTAATATGATACTGATCTCATTCAAAGCAGAAATGAAGTGATTTGAATAAAATCCCAGGTATAAAGTAAAATCCCAGCTGCCTTGTTTCACCTGAAATTTCGGGATGTTGAACCTTTCAGCAGTTCCACTTTCCACTCACTGATTTTTTCATCAGCACTGAGAACAAAGAAGGTGTGCACTGAATACCAGATCAGAGCACTGACGCGGCCTGGAGCCTGTATATATAACAAGTTCAATTAAGTACTTCCGAGGAGCCAGGATTAACCTTCTTTCCCCTCCTGGCAGATTCCATTAAACACATCAGCAGGGCAGAATTCACATACGAAAAGGACTGAAGTGGCCACAATTCACCTGTGCTGTGACCACAGCCTTGGCATCTTGCCACAAGGTAAGTTCCCCAGCTTGATTTCCAGACACTGCCACAGACCCATCTGGTGCCCAGGCTACAGCAGTGACAGCTACAGAACTCCTAGGTATGTATGTGTCATCTGGAGAAGAAAGGAAGTGGTTCATTAGGGTTACTAATTGGCATACAAGAGGAGTTATCAGGTTACCCTTGACCTTCTTTGTCCCAGAAACACAACATTCTTACATGCCTACCTCTCTCTCTATACCTCACTCACCTACTTCCTCAGGTATCTGCCAGAGCCGTACAGAACCATCCTCTGAGGCGGTCAGCAGAAAACCTGAGGTCTCTGAAGCAGCAGCTGCAATGACTGGACCACTATGTCCCAGGAGAGTGTGTGTTTGGCACACCTAGGAAGCAGGTTTGCTGATGGACCCTTGGGGGTTGACCCAATAGAAGGTTGTCTAATGTACCCTTTTCTACCTCCTCCTCCACCCCAGTTCTTACAGGGAACTTACCAACAGTGGGTGCCACAACCTCGTGGCCCCATCCAGTCCAACAGTCACCACTAGAAACTCTGATCCAAGCTGTCCAACTGATAAGGAGACAGAGCCAGAAGAAAAGAAGCAGGTGAGGGCTGGCGGAGTGGCTCAAGTGATAAGAGTGCCTTCCTAGCAAGAGTGAATCCCTGAGTTCAAACCCCAGTACTGCCAAAAAAAAAAAAAAAAGCAGGTGAGAAGGGGAGAGGCAGCAGGAAATGGAGGGGCTGACATTTCCCTACCTGGGCGGGGCTCCAGGGCAGCTGTACAGTGGCTGATGGGTCCTGAGTGAGCAGGGATGCTGGTCAGCTCCATACCCTGATGGTCCCACACTTTCAAGATCCCATCTCGGCCCACAGACACCACATGCTCCTCCTGTCCCCAGAGCACAGGATCAGAGGAGGGTCACATTGAGCAGAACATGGGAACAGAACTCCCCCAAAGAGGGTGTCACAGATATAAGGGCTAATTTGGAGGGTGTCAATGGGTAAAAACTCAAAACAGTGGAGTTGGGTGGCTTAGGACTGCAATCCTGGTATGAAGTCATGATACTAACAGGCTGTGTTTTCATATTCTTCCCCCCTCTCTCTCCTCTTTATGTCCCCCACTCCTCACATCAGCCCTCAGCCTCAACACCATTATCCCAAGTACCTTATTCTTTTTACTCCTTTTGCCTTCAAGATTAGATACCCAGTGTGTCCAGTCTCCCAATGCCCCTTTAACCCTACCTAGTAAGAGACCCCTAGTGAAGTCCACTCCCTTCTCACCACAGCTACCACTGCGCTCACGGCACTCTGATGACCCAGGAACTGACCAAGCTGATGTCCTGACTCTGGGTCCCAGAGCCCCATAGAGCCATCACTGGAGCAGGAGATCTGCAGAGTCATAAGTTAGAGGAGCAAGATTATCAGCATTCCTCCAGCATTTTTTTATGTTCAAAATATGGAGTACAGAGCCTTATAGGTCCAAATCCTAGCTTCACCATTCATTTCTTTATGATCTGGGGCAAGTTTATCTCTCTGAGCCTTTGGTTCCATCAATTATTCAAAGAAGATAATGACACCGTACCTATCTTACATGGTTGTTATGGGGCCAGGTGCATTTATGGCAACATGCCTGGTACACAGTGAGTTCATAACAGGTACTATTGTCCTGTTATTTACAGAGTGTTGGTCAATGAGTCCAGATAAAGGTAGAAAATCTGCAGTGCTAAGGAGAGCTCTGAGTAAAAGGTAGGGGGAGGACAGACTGTGACAAATCTATTCAAATGATCATCAATCCTTTCTCTGAGAACATAAGGACTCTACATTGGGAAACTAGACTTCACCAACCCTGAGTGCACAATTTGAGTCTTATTTTGTGCTTTAGGACCAAAGAAATCATAGCAATACCTTGTAACCTGAGGGCCAGTACATCCCAAACCCTGGAGAGACACTATTATGTTCTTGTTAAGAACATGAGCTTTCTTCTCAAAATGTTTATTGGCTCAGCTTTATCGCTGACATGATCTTGGCAGTGTTCTTTATTCTGAGTTCAATTTTCTTGTCTGTGAAGTACAGACAAAAGTTGTATCTACTTTACAGAGTATTGTAAAGATTAAGTGTGGCCAAATATTCACAGAGCTCAGTTCAAATGCCTGACTCAGTAAATGCTATCTTTTTTTTTTCTTTTTCTGAGACAGGGTCTCAGTACATATTCCAGATTGGCCTCAAACTCATGATCCTACTACCTCAGCCTCCCAAATACCGGGATTTCAGGTGTGTACTATCACTCCTGCTAGCTGTGACTATTATTAATGGGTGCTAGAAAAAAATCTAGAAATGGAGTGTATTATCTGTCTTCCTCCAGGAACCCTGCTGCGCTCTGCACCACCCTTATCCTTTCACTCACCAGTAGATTGTCTTTGGTCCAGGTACAGCCAGTGACCCAGTCACGGTGGCATTCAGGGAAGGAGTGAATCAGAACAGGGGCTTGAGGTATCCTCACATCCCAGCAGAGGAGACTCTGGATAGGTTGCAAGGAGAAGGAACAGTCAGGACCATTGCAGGGAGTATGAACACCGGGTCATTTCAGGCAAGAAGTTTTAAGGAAAGAGGGAGCACAAGGAAAAGCAGGTGGACAGATTGACAGGGGTCTTGGCAGAGCAAAGAGCAGGAAAAAGAATGGGAAATGGACTGCTGAAGAATCTAGGAAGCAGAGGGGCTGTGGGGCCCTGGGTTGCATCCTTCTGCAGCTCACCCGGTCTCTGCCCCCTGTGGCCAGGGTGGCTCCATCAGGGCTGAAGCTACAGCAGCTCACAGGGCCCTCATGTCCCTGGAGCTCAGTGCCACAGGGAAAGTCTTCTGCCTTGTGAGGCTGTGTCAGCAACTGCCTCAGCCACAGCCGCACGGTGCAGTCCTCTGAATTGGAAATAGAGAAGGAGAAAGGCTTCTAGAAAGAGGCAAGAAAGGCCAGAGACAAAGACAATCATGGGGGCTGAAGGTGTCCTCTGAGGGTACAGCCCCAAGAGAGAGAGGCAGTGAGTCACAAGGATGTGAAGAGGCCCTGAGCAAAGGTCAATCATCATGTATGTACATGGGACAGGAACACTTGGCACTCCCAGCTCTGGCACTAAAGCTTAGGTTAAGGAATATGGCTTCTTGTCTCTCTAGCTTCCTTCTATAACTTCATGGCAGCTGTTCCAGACCCTCCTCTTCTCAAGGGCCCACTGTCACTTTTACCTCACTCTCTGTGAGGATCAAGCCTCTCACTTAGAGGATCAAGGCCATCCTGCATCTTCACCTCAACATTACTTTCTCTTTCCTTCTAAGAAACCCACTTATTTAAGCAAAGAATTCCACTAGACAAAAACTAGGATTGCCAGGTGCTGGTGGCTCACACCTGAAATCCTAGCTAGTCAGGAGGGAGAGATCAGGAGGACTGTGGTTCAAAGCCAGCTCTGGGAAAATAGTTCATGAGACCCTATCTCAAAAAAAAACCCATCACAAAAAAGGGCTGGTGGAGTGGCTCAAGGCTCTGAGTTCAAACCCCAGTACTGCAAGGAAAAAAAAAAAAAACTCGAAGGGTTAGTGAGAGTTTAAGAGGACCCAGCAAAAAGTCCTTTCTTATTTAGGGAATAAGAAGAAACAGAGTCTAGAATGATTATGGAAGATAAATATATCCAAAAGCACTTTGAAAGTTGTAAAAAGTTGCATGAGTGTGTATTTTCATACACATATGTGTATATATAGTATAAATTTAAGGGAGGTAGTAGCATATTTAAAAATAATGATACCCACTGATCAGCTGTACCTGAGGCAGAAGCCAAAAGTTCCTGGGAGGTGGCCAGTCCCAGCACAGACTTCTGGTATGTGGACAGGAGCCAGAGGGACTGAAGGGAGCTTTCCTTGAGCACCCAGCCCTGCAGGGACCCATCTTCTGCACCACTCACCAACACCTCAGGGCTTAGCCAGGCCAGTGTAGACACTGCCACATCTAGTGCTTGACACTGAGCCCCCTGGGAACCTAGAAAATGGGACAGTACAGGAGAGTACAACACCTGGAAAGGGAGTGGAGTAAGGGTGCCCTCTTTCCATCTGCTCCCACTTTGGTACCTGAAGAGATTTTGTAGATCCTAATCCCATCTGCTCGGTATCCAACAGCCACCTGGTCACCATCTGGGCTGAGAGCCACAGAAAGGGCAGGAGAGAGTGGAAGGGAGCCCAGGTACCCCTGGGACCGACCAAAGACCCTGACCACATCTGAACCTGGGGGCCAAGAAAAAGGTTTAAAGACACCCTATCTTTTATCACCTGGTCCTCTGCCCACCTCACCCCAAGCTAAGACCACCCCATTGAAGTCCTCTTTCCAGAAACTTTTCCTGAGAGCTACACATGCCATATCCCCATTCCTGTCCCAGAAGTTTCCACCATCCAAGATCCTCTAGTCTCTTTAACAAGGCTCCCACCCTCATCCAAATACTCCCTACTTTTCTATTCTCTTCTCGTAACCCACCTTGCCCTCTGTAACCTCACCTTGCCATCCTCTCCAGCCGTCAACAACTGACATCCAGCATGCAGGAAACGTGCAGCAGCAACAAAGCCACAGTGGGCAGGAAAGGCAGCCAGCCGTGCCCCTTCTTGCCAGGCCCACAGCTCCACTGTCCCATCCAGTCGGCCTACACCCACAACCCGCCCAGGTGCACTGAAGGCCAAGGTACGGACAGAGGCTGCTGGGGCCCCCAGTTCCTATGCAGGATGGTAGAAATGGAATGTCAGGTCCTGCTCTTAGCATAAGCCCAAAGTGTCACAGAAGGCAGATATCTATCATTCCTCACCTTCCACTCCTGTTCTCCCCAAAAGCTACACAGAACTTTCTTACCTTGATGACATTGAGTCCATCCACCTGAAAGAAGCTGATGCTGCCAGCCCAGCTGCCTGTGGCTATTAGTTGCTCCTCCGGGTGGAAGGCAATGCAGCTCAGGGGCTTGGGACAGGTGTGCTGGAAGGCTAGCTGCCCACGAACTGTGTCCCACAGCTGGAGGAGAGAGAGAAGAGGAATCAAGGTGCTGAATACAGATTCCAGAATTTTTCAGTCCCAAGGCTCTAGGGTCCACCTTGTCTAGTTCCCTGCTATATTAGTTACTTTTATCATTGCAGTGACCAAATACCTGACAGAAACAACTTGAGAGAGGAAGGATTTATTTTGGTTCCTGGTTTCAGAAGTATCTATCCATCATGAGGGGAGGGCAGGGCATGGCATGACAGAGCATTTCACATCATGGAAGCAAGGAAGCAGAGCAGAGAAACACATCATGGTGGACAGGAAGCAGAGCAGAAAGGGGCCTTAGCAAGATACAGTCCCCAAGGACATGCCCACAGTGATCTACTTCCTTCAACTAGGCCCCCTCTTGCTTTTTTCCACTTCCCAATAATGTCATCGTATTATGAATCCATTAAGGGATTAAACCATTCATTAGGCCAGAGCCATCAGGATCTAATCATCTCTGAAAACAGCCTCACAGACACAACCTGAGGTGTGCTTTACTAATCTCCTAGGTGTGTCTCAATTCAATCAAGTTGACAGTCAAGATTAACCATCACAGCTGCCTAATCAGGCAAGGCCTCCCGAGGCCAAGCAGTCAGCAGCTCTGCCATGTTAAGACAATAATTTCATAAGACTGACACATGGTTTAGAGCCTGTTATTACCTTCACGCATCCTCCCAGGCACACAGTGGCCAGCAGTCGGCGGTCTAGGCTCAGGCAGCAGCCAGTGATTTGGTACTGATGAGCTTTGGTCTGTAGCACTCTATCCCAGGAAGACAAAGTCAGGGCCCTGGGACTGCCTGGACACAAGCTCCCTCCTTGCTCTTTCCCCATTAGGACTTCCGAAAGGGAAGGCCCTCACTTGAGACCCCTTACCGGCAACCATGCTGCAGGTCCCAGAGCTCCAGGAGCCCATCAAAGGCAGTAAGGAAAAGGGCATTGTCGGAGAGAAATGCAGAAGAAGAGATTCCATCACAGCCACTCACCACAGACTTCTCCTCCTGTGAGGCCAGTGGGAAAGTAGGGCTCAGGCCATTCTCCTGACTCTCCAGACCCCAACCATAGAAGAGGCCAAGGCAAGGAAGGGCTTAAAACCCTCAGCTCTCTTCATTCCTGGCCCAACCACAGATTCAAGGGGCCTTATGATCCAAGTAGGACTAACTCTTCTCTACTCCAAACCCCATACTATTCCCCAAGTCACGGGTTTTCACGGTGAGGGAATAAGGTTACATGTATGCAAATGTATAGGTGTGGAGGATGCTGTGGGTAGGAGGAGAGACAGACTATGATAGCCATAATCCTCTCTCCAGCCTAATCTATCATTACCTTCCCATTACCCTCTGCTACAATCATTCCCAGCAATTACAGGAACATTCTCCCTTGTCTTTGTTGAGGCTCCTCACTCAACCCTGAAGACCTGTCCTTCTCCATCCTATTCCTCCTCTATCTACACAACTCACACAGATCTTAATTATGTCAACAGCTGTGTTTTTGTTCCTTTCTTACCTATATGCCTTATCTCCCAAAAGGCTGATCACTTGGTGGGTAAAGATAATGTACTCAGCCTTGTTCCTTGCAATGCTTAGAACAGTGCCTTGAATAGAAGCTGAGTAGAAAATATTGTCTGATTCTTTTGACCAAGCTCTTTGATCTGATATGAGGGGAGTAAAACTGCTGTATCAATCAGGTGATAGTGTGGGTTTGGCTTGCCTAGGGCATCAGGGCAATCTGTAAGGGTTTTCTTGTCCCTTCTGTCCTGCCTTTAGTGTCATACCTGCCAGGTTTTCAAGTCCAACAGATAAACCGTCCCATTGGCAGTGCCCACAGCTGCTTTTTGTCCATTAGGGGAGAAGGCCACAGTGGTGGGGGATGAGGAAATTGCCAGAGACAGGCTGGAGCTGGAGAATAAGTAGGAAGAAAGGGACAAATTGAGCAGCTGGAAAAAAGAAAAATGGAAATCTGCATTTCCGTGCTGGAGTCCTCCTCTCCATGGTAATGCTGGTCTATCCTTTCTTCTCCAGTTTCAGAAAAGGCTGAAGCCATTCTCTGCAGACTTACTAGCCCTAAGGTCAGGGATCTTACCTTTGCTGATCCCTCATGGTCTGGGGTTTATTAAGCCATTGGAGTGTGTGCTGAAGGGGCCACCGCTGGGAAAGCAGGGGGGCCTGGCAGCAAAGAGGTGAACCCAGAGGCTGGTTGGCTGCCTGCTGTTGCAGGAGTAAGGGATACTGGCTGAGAATTGAAGCCTGCTGCTTCAGGAAGGTACGGAATACAGCAACATCAGCCTCAGGGAGCTTTTGGTCCTCTTCAGGAACTAAAGAAGCTATGACAGAGAGGGAGGAGGGGAAGGGAGAAAAGGAGAGGAAAGGGGAGTCTAAGTATGCGACAGACTCACATCAGAAACACCTGTTCAAAGTATAAAGCTTAGGGCTCCACTCCAGAACATGGAAAGAAGAACCTAGGGATCTGAGGATCAGCAGTTTGAACAAGTTTCCTAGATAATTTTATGCCCAAAAATAAAGTCTGAAAACCTCTGCCCTGAAAGATCTGAATAAAAGACCTCCTGAGAATCACCTGATCTTTCTTTTGCCATTTTCAACTGGAACAGGAATTTGGCTGGAGTGGGAATTTTCCATCACAGCTCCCCTGAGCAGGGCCCTCATGAGCACACTCAGGAGTCCCATATCCCCAGAGAAGAAACCCAGTGACTTATCTCACCATAGAGCGCATGAGCCTCCAGCAGCCGAGAGACCAGACCCAATTCCAGGTGTGCAGCCACCACATGGATATTGGTAAGGAACTTTGCAAGAAGTCCAAGGTTCCCACTCTGGAACTGGGGAGGTCAGATTGGATTCATTAGGGGGCTGGGGATGTAGCTCAATGGTAGAACACTTGTCTAGTGTGTGCAAGGCGCTGGTTTGATCTCTATTACTGCAGGGGGAAAAATGACTAGATTCATTAGGGATGTTAAAGAGGCTGGTGGAAAAAGATGGTCCTGTGCAGCCAGGAGCTGGGATGAAGGACTTGAAGAAGGAAGGCAGGGAAAATGAAGGAAGAGAAATAGAGGGAGCTTCAATGGGGGAAACAGCAGGGGTGATGACAGCGGTGGTAAAGGGGAAAGTGAGCCTAAGAATCACCAGAGGTTGCTTTGGAAACGGTGTCTATGAGGTCTGAGGACTAACCAGGTGGTAAGGCAGGTCTCCCAGAGCCTCAGGGGAACAACTTCGGAAGGTGCCTGAGGCATCAGGGTCACATGTCTTCCAGAGCTGAGCTAAGAACAGACATTGAAAAGGACTCAGCCTTGCAGCATGCCCGGGCACATCCCTCATGCTATAGCAGTTCTGTGCCCCCTGGAGTGGCAGGTGAGGTGGCCAATGGATGGGGAGCACAAGTGGATGGTCTTGGCCCAGGGCCCAGGCTGACTAGGGGAGGGGGACAATCACCTGCAATGAGGATGTGTGCCGTGTTCTCCAGTCCCAGCTTCTTCCCATAGCGACGCTGAGCTGCTGTCCTCAGGGGCCCATCAGGGAGGCAGAGACGGGCACCAGGGCGCTCTAGAGGGCCCTCCCCTAGCAAACTGTCCTCGAGAGGAGGAAAGAAAAGGACAGGAAGAGAGGGAAGATCCTGTCAATGAGCATGCTGGTACGGCAGTGGGCTCCCATTTCTACCCCAAGTAGCAGTAACTGGAGCAGCAGAGCCTGGGGAGGCAGGTCGGGCTAGACTGAAGGAAGGGTGGGATAAAGAGAGGATCATATAGGGCCTTGGCTCAAAGATGGAAAGGCACAGTGAGGTTAGTAGAAACTCAGCCAGGGGCCCCTGTACCTGCGCAGACTCTGGACGAGGTAGGCAAATGGGGCCATGGGGTAGGGATCTCCACAGTTACCAGCAGCCACTGCTTCTTCCCAGATCTTAGTCCCCTTGGGCAGAAACCGCCATGCACTCAGCACTGCATGCAGCTGGTCCACAGTCAGACCTGAAAACCCAAGCTCTCTGAGGTCTAAACCAAACCACGAAGACCCCATCCCCATGCTGCCTGCTCCCTCCTGGTACTGCTGGCTGAGATCCCACCTGAACCAAGGTCATCCAACTCCTAAGCCCTCAGCCTCCCATCCTGCCCCAACCACTGACCACTATGTGTGACCTGAAGGATGGCAAAGGCTTGGGAAAGAACATTGTGGCCATGCTCTTGCTCCAAGGTGCTCAGGATGTGCTGCAGCAGTCGGGGGACAGTGGCAGGCAGGGCCCGCAGTCTCTCAGATACCTGGGAGCAGAAGACCAGGCTTTGGCAGTGGGAAAGTCAAGTGGGGTAGGAGACAGAGAAGTAGAAATAGTAGGAAGGGATGAAAAGTGTGAGGTAGCAATGAGGCAGGAGGGGAATGAGTGATCATAGTGACCAAAGATGGAAAAAGATGAGAAAGGGGATAAGCTAAGAAGCCCAAGGTGAATAGAGAGGGGGACTGTGTAGGGCTTAGGAGAATGATGAGCAACCAACCTGTTCATAGAACGTGAACAGCCTCAGGTGATCAGTGACTAGGTGCAGGTAGAGTGGCAGGCCTGAGCCCTGCTTCACCAGCAGCAGCTGCATCTGAAAAGACCCAAGGACTCAGTATGGGGACCAGGGAGCCTGCACAGCCTGCAGTGCTGTGCCAAGCTCACTGCAAGGTGGCTCCTCCTCTGAGAGTCCCACTGGGGGACAGGTCCGTGGCATCACCTCAGGACACAACCACCCCTCCCACGCCACAGACAGCCACTCTACCAGAGAAATTCCCACAGCTCAGTCTAGCCCACTGTAACCACAGTTTCTCTCATCCCTTCATACCGACACCTCCTGGAGAGGCCATTCATCCCAGAAAAACATCTGAGTGATCTTATGAGGAACCACAGATACGTTATTAACAAATTCCCCTATAGTGAGTCCTAAGCGAAACAAAAGATCAGTCTGTGCAAGTGACTGGCAGCCTCAGCACCTATACCCTTGTGGCTCCCAGATTTACCCCACATACCTCCCAGCCCTGGCTTAGGTCCAACCTGGTTGTTAAAAGGTGACTCCTCCAGCCGCTTCCCATACAGTGCCAGCTCTTCTCTCACCAGCTGAGCCCGGGCAGAAGGATTCAGAGGCCTCAAGGCCACCACATGGGCACCTTGGCTCTGCTCAAGGGTCTCTCCTAGGACTGAGTCTGCTGACACACTCAACACCAAGTGAACCCACTATGATATTTGGGCAAAGCAGCAAGGGAGTGGAAAAAACAGAGAATATTAGAAAGGCTCCTCTCCTGGCTGAGGTATCCTTCCTTCTCCCCAGCCTGCATCCCACCCCCACCTCTATCTCATGCTCACCCGGGGAAGAGACTTGGGGATCCAGTCTGAGATCAGCTGCCCATTCTGGTCCACCAACCTGTCAGCCCCATCAATGATCAGGACCAGTGTCTGGCCAGGTTTCAGGGACTGAGCAGAGTTGGGCAGCAGCCTTTGCTGCAGTTCCCACAGCAGGCCTCTGTGGTGGATGAGAGGTCAAGGTCAGTGGGAGAGAGAGATGTAGCAATAAGGCTGGCTTATCGCAAAATACACACCGGTAAGTACTGGGAAGTGCACCCGGCTCTTGCAGCTGTCTACGCAGATGGGCACAGAGGCGTCTGAGCAAGATGAGAGCAAGACTGTGATCAGGGCGGGCCGTGGAAAAGTGAAAGAAGACTAAGGGGGCCACCTTGGCCTGATCAGGAGCCTGTAGGGCTGACACAAGGGATGCCTGCAGGGGACAGAAATAAAAACATGGTCATGTTTCATTAAGCACATAAGCTCCCTTCCCCAGCTCCTTAGCCCATACAGCCCTCCTGCCTGCCTAGGCCCCTGAGATTTATACCAGGAAAGCAGTCTTGCCCTGTCCTGCCTGCCCAGTCACCAGGCTCAGTCTTCCATGGCGTAGCAGCAGCTGCTGCACTGTGTCCTGAAGGAGACGTGGCCGGGCAGGACTTCGTGGTCTCTTCAGCTGCTGGAAGGTAGCCTGGATCAAGTCATCATCTGGGATGGACACTGGTTGCTCCATTTGGTCCCCAGGCTGAGGGCATATATGACAGTGACTAAAACTCACAGAGCCCCCACTAAGTTACTTCTCACCCAGGATTACCCAGACCACCTACTCCCTTCTGGGCATCAGCACTGACCTGTAGGTAAAGCTTCTGGATCACATTCCACACATCCTGGAGAACCAACTGCCCAAACTCCTCCAGCCCCCCAACATAGGGCCGGCCAGCTGCTATGCCCCCCCATTCACAGGAGTACCTGTAGGCAAAGGAACACAGCCCGACTCACAGTGGGCCTGGCTCCCCACACCACATTTCTGTACAGGTGCTCTCTACCTCCTCAAGCTCACCTGCGACAGGTAATCTCTTTCTGTCTACACAGGTAGCTCTTCAGTTCTGAGATCCGATGTGCAGCCTCTTCAGACTCAGAAATAAAGTCAGGTCTCCAGGCATCTGGCACAGAGCTGGCCACCAAAGACACCCCAAGAATGGGCCAGACTCAGACTCCAGCCTCCCACCACCAACCATGAGAATGGCTATGACACCCTAGAACTCCTCAAGTGGAGCACTCCTGACTTCAGGTCCAAGGTGACTTGAGGCTGCAAAGGGCTGTTCTCCCTTTTAGCTCAACCCTCCTGCACTCTGAATGCTGGGGACCAACTTGGCCTGCCTGGCCTTCTAAGGGGAAAGACTTGACCCTGGAGGCAACAGAAGGTACCTCAGGAAACTGGAATCCCGGAAGTAGATGAGAGCTTGAGCAGAGGGCTTCAGGCACCGGTCCCGATTCAGGAACTGCATCACCTCCATCTCTGTCACTGAGCGCCCTGAAGGGTACTGCTGGGCCTGCAGGGAGAGGACAAGGCAGGCAGGTTGTCCTAAGTCATGCCAATCTGTCCTTTGAGACCTACAAAGGCCACAGGGCTCCCTCAGCTCAGTAATGTTCCTTCTTCCCTTCAGACACCAACAATACAATATAGCAAACAGCTAACATCTACTGAACACCTGACATTTACTGAGCATTTTCATAAATGTGCATGTGTTTGTATTTGTTTTTGTTTGTTTTGTTATTTTTGCAATATTGAGGACTGGACCCAGAGCCTCACAAATGCTAGGCAGGTGCTCTTATCACTGAACTACATCCTCAGCCCTTCGTATTTTATTTTGAGATGGTCTCAACAAGTTCATGGGCTGGCCTCAAATTTGCAATCATCCTGCCTCAGCCTCCTGAGTAGCTGAGATTACAAGTGTACCCTACTACATCCAGCTAAGTGGAGTTTTAATTCCCAGAATAGCCCTACAATGTTGATGTTGTTGCTTCTGTTTAACATGGGGAGAGACTGAAGATAGGTTACCTTGAGCTAACCTATCTGACAAAGCCACACAGCCTGCAAATGCCTGAGGAGAGTGAGAGCCCAGATCTGTCTGAGGGCTAAGCCTAAGCAGCACTACTCTCATACCTCACATTCCTCTGCCAGCTCCGAAGGCACTTCTCAAAGGAACTTCCCTATCTAGGGCTTGCTCTGTCACAGAATCTTCACCTATGCTTTACTTCAAGTGAAGCCCTCTGCTTCTGAATAGCTCCAGGATTCCTGACAACCTGTGGTTTTCCCACCCATTTCTTCCCTAGCCTCTGCTTACCCAGTGGAAGTGAGGATGTTCAGGGAGGTTGTAGTTGGGGGGAATGTAGCCATAGCGGGAGCCCAGTATTCCCACAAACAGCTGTGAGTTCTCCACCTCCCCAAGGCACACTTCTAGTTGTCTGCAGACATGATTACAGAACACGCAGGGACGCAGTGTCAGATAACACAGGCTCAAATGTCAAGAGGGCTCTGGCTCACAATGAGCAGGATGAAGGCAGGCTGCATGGCTGACAGTCAAAAGGCAACTCCCTGCTCTCATCCTGCCACCCAACCCTCTGCCACCCCAACCCTGTCCACTTTGGTTCCATCACTCAAGCCCCGCATCCCTGACCCAGCCCTACCTCCCTGTGGCCACCACACCTGTTCCTCCGGGTTTCCTCCTCAGTGATGCCCCAGCGCAAATCGATAGCATGAAGGCTGATGTAGTGGGGGGCTGCCTGGGCCTGCAGTGCCGGCAGCACAAACCTCAGCAGCAGGTCCCGCTCCCCATGCATGTCCCGGAAAGTGGATGAAATGAAGAGTCGGACGCTGCGCCATCTGGGGGCCAACAGAGGACTGGGCTCAGTCTGTGGATCAGTTCCGCTCTCAAATCCACAGCAACCAGTGCAAACATCCTTCAGCACCGGGCATCAGCCCCACACCACACAGCAGGAGGTGTCCTTCAGGCCTCCAGAGAATAGTCTGCTGTGGTCTCAACTGTACAACCCTGGAATTTAAGCCTCACTTGCCATTTATCTTGCATCCCTCCTTTTTCAGCTAATCATTATTCTTCATTACCAACGTACAACTTTAGGAAATTAAGCAACCAACCTAAAGTTCGAGCTATTGTTTGGCAAAGCCAGGATGAAAAAATTAGAGCCTGTGCTTCTAAGCCTTTCTTTGCCTAAGCTCTGGCTCCCTGGTGATAGTGCCCACTGCCCTCCCCACATTCTGATCTCCTTTGTCCAGTACAGAAAGGAGCAGGTTCACAATCTGATGACATCTGGTACCGGGGAAACCCCTGCTGGAGGAGGAAAATCTGAGGAAAAGAACAAGTACCATCTTATCAGACAGAATGTCAGTCACAGTTTCGTCAGGGTGTGGCTAGAGCCCTCCCCATTCTCAAAGGCACAGAAACACAGACTGACCCATGCTGAGAAATAATGGGAGCCAAGGAGCTTGGAGTATCCTCTTCCAGTGGCCGGAGAGTCAGGACCTGTGTCTTTCCTGGGGGTGGTGGAATCTTGAGTATTCTGTCAATTTGGCCCACATGTTCCAGAAGATGGGAGGCCCCATGCTCTGCAATGAACCTAACATAAATAGCAACAAAATAAATGAGAGCAGTATACTAAATATCAGAATCAGTAAGGTCTTCTAAGAAACCTAGGGAGCAAAGACATGGCCAGGTTAGGCCACCCAGAGCTCCTTAAAAAAAAATGACTATAAATAGTAAAGACAGACTTAAAATAAATAAGACTACAGAACTGTAGAGATGAAGGAAAAGAGAAGAAACCCAGCTCCTGACCCTCCTGTGCAGTGATCCTAGGATTTGTGTTGAGCCAGGGAAAACTGGGCAGAGCTAAGGTGTAAAGGTTAAGGCCATCCCAGTCTGGGTCTGATCAGCTCTGCACCAACCACAAACATTTCTGAAGAGGGAATGTGCTTGAGGCTTCCTATGAGGAGCTGAGGAAATGAGTGGAAAGGAAAAGCCAGGCTGGCAGTGTGGCTCAGTGGTAGAGCACCTGCCTAGCAAATGCAAAGTCCTGAGCTCAACCTTAGAAGCACAAAAAAAAAAACTAACAAAGGAAAAGGCAGAAGAGAAAACAAAAACAATAAAAGGCTAAGGCAGAGAGAGAGAGCATATAAAATGTACAGTCTCTTAAAGACATTCTAATAAAACTTCCAAGCACTTCAGTGTCAATTTTATACTCACCTCAGTATCCCATCAGTACAGCCTGAGAGTGTCACATCTTTGGGATTCAAATTTGGTGATCTGGCAAAGTAAGAAGCCATCACAAAGCATAAGAATCAATGCCTGGAGCCAGGCATGGTGGCACACATCCCAGCACTCGGGAGGACGAAGCAGGAGGACCTTGAGTTCCAGGCCAGCATTGGAGACACAGTTAAGACCCAGAGTCAAAAAAAAAAAAAAAGTTGGCTAGGAAGCATGAGGCTAGGAAGCATGAGTTCAAACCCCAGTACTACCAAAAACAAAGAAACAATGCCTGGGACACAGTCACTGCCCCAATATCCTAAGACAGAAATCCCACCTCTGTACTTTTAATAGGGTTATGTGCTAGACTAAAGAGGACCTTCACAAAGAGGTATGAAGCCTTCAGAGAAGATTCTAGAATCTCAAATGCAACAGAATTAAGAAGGCAGAGAGACAGGAGATGCCAAAAAAATGGGAGTTTCCCAGGCTTTGGTGGGAGTAGAAGAGAAGTATGGATCACTATCTTCTGATTGTGGGCAGGGAGCATAAGCATCCTTACACATATTGTGCTTTTCTTAGGAGGACACCAACAAAGAGACAGCTGGAATTCACATGCTGCCAGAAAATCTGTTTGGCTGCATTTGCCATTACCTCATTCATCATTTGGCCAAAAAGGATGACCCTGTCCACCTGTAAGATGAAGGATTGGGGGATTAGAAGAACTCTGAGGAGAGTGGGAAGTTGTCTCTTCTGAGAATACTTAGGATAAGGGAAACCACTACATCCTGACTCAGGGATGCATTAAACTGGAGGTTGAAGAGCAATGGCATGCTACAGCGAGCTCATTTGGGCTCACAAGTGCTGATTGTTTCATTTTTAGGAATTTTGTGAGCCAGTTGTTAAAAATGGCCATTTTATCTTATTTATTTTATTTTCTGATGCTGGGGATTGAACACTAGACCTTGCACATGCTAACAGTGTGCTCTACTACTGAGGTACACCTCCAGGCAACAAGGCCATTTTAAACATTGAATTGTGTAACCTTAAAAATAAATAAATTAAAGGATGAGGTATAGTTCAAAGTAAAGCACTTGCCTAGCATGTATAAGGAGCTGGATTCAATTCCCAGCAACACATAAAAATTTTTTTAATTAACTATATTTAAGACAAAGGTAATAAATCCTCTCAATTTATCATTTCCTAATTATCTAACTACATTTTACTATTACCTACTTGAGTTCATTTACATTTCCAGCAATATTCCACAATCCAATGGTATGCAATCCATTGCTACTAAGTATTTCTTCCCAACTCTATGTTCAGTGATACAATGTTGTTGGCTTGAACTCAGTCACAGCAGGACTATTTATATCATGGAAAGTAGTAAAAGCCATTAACCAAGATTTTTCCATTTATCATTATTTGCCACCACAGCTCGGAGTAGGGCCTTTAGAGAAGAGGGAGCTGATGTGCACACTGTACAGTGTGAAAGATCAGCTTTGAGGGGCAGGAATGAGAAGCAGCAGTTGCAGAGGAAAGTAGTGGGGAGGGGAGTTCCACGGGGACTGAGCAGTACTCACAGGGACCCTTTGGACAGCCAGAGACAGCAAGTATTTCCCAAAAGTAAGCAAAGACCATTCATCCTTTTCTTCCAACTCCTGAAGGAAAAAGACTCCTGTGATGTGGTTGTACATGAATGATCAATGCTCTGCTTAGGAAATGATCTGAATATGTTCCACAAGGGTTCATGTACTGAGTTGGACACCAGTGGCTCACACCTGTAATCCTAGCTACTCAGGAGGCAGAGATTAGGAGGATCACAGTTCAAAGCTAGCCTGGACAAATAGTTCGAGAGACTCTATCTTGAAAAAACACATCACAAAAAAAGAGCTGGTAGAGTGGCTCAAAGAGTAGACCATGAGTTCAAACCCAGAACCCCACCCCCAAAAAATGAGAGGTGGGCCAAGGGGGAGGCCCAAGGGAAACTATTCTTCTGTTCTTGGTTTTTTGTTTGTTTCTTTGTTTGTTTGTTTCTGTGGTTCTGGGGTTTGAACTCAGGGCCTACACCTTGAGCCACTCCACCAGCCCTTTTTTACGAAGGACTTTTTTGACATAGGGTCTTGTGAACTATTTGCCCAGGTTGCCTTCAAACTGCAATCCTCCTGATCTCTGCCTCCTGAGTAGGTAGGATTACAGGTGTAAGCCACCAATGGCTGGCTGTTCTTGTTCTCTGAAGGTACTAAGTTAGCTCAGCTTAGACCCTTGAGTTCTTGCAAGAGTGAATTGTTATAAAAGTCTGAGCTTGACCTATAAATCAATTCCTGTTTCAGGATGTGATATGACCTTCTCTTCCCATGTGTGCTCTCACCCACCCATCTGTCACAAGGTCCTCACCACAGCCAAGCTGATGCCAGGTGCCATAACCTCCAACCTCCAAGACTATGAGCAGAATAAATCTTTTATTTATAAAGTTAGCCTGCTTCCAATTTTTCATTACAGCAATGAAAAACAGACTAATATAATCAATAGAAGCACTAGTCTGTTGGGGATCTTCAGAACTGTATACAGCTATGCTTCTTTTTTTTAATTATTTCTGATAGGGTCTCACCATGCCACTCAGACTGGCCTCAAACTCACGATCCTCATGCCTCAGCCTCCCACGTGCATGCCATACTACACCTAGCTGTTCATGCTTTTACTGTTTGGGCAGTTCCAGGCCTGTGTGCATTCATGTACTTTTGGATGGTGGGATGAGCATCTGACCTGGACTTGGGCTTGGAGCTCCATGGCAGTCTTCAGGATACCTTCCTCTGCTTTAAGCACTGCAGTCTTCACAGTTCCTCTTCCACACAGCAAGAGTTCTGCCTTCTCAGCCCTCGCCATCATCATAGCAATCAGCAGCAGCACATAGTTCAAGGGGGGCTGACAGGGCAAGCCTGGGATGAAGTAACGCTCCCCATTTGGAATCCTCCCCTGCTCACCCAGCTCCGGAGGCCAAACATCCCCACTGATTTGGGGAAATGCAAAAGGCACGAGGTCCCAGCTACGAGGGGCCAGCTTCAGCAGTCTCAAAAAGAGCTGGCTGGGCCAGAGCCAGGGCCAGGGAGAAGCCAGAATGGCTTCCCAGATCCAATGCTGGATCATAGTGAGGTGAATATGAGACATATTTGAGGGGATAGAAATTTAGAGAGTATTAAATACCAACCAAATGTGAAACATTGGAATTATAATCCAAAAACAGGATTAAGACTACAATCCTAGGAATTATCCCTAGGGAATCAAAGATGACACTTGGAAGCAAATCCATGTTATTTCAGTCTGGGTGTTTCCCTGGGAGAACCAGGTCTAGCAAGGACCCCCAGGATCTTTCCAACCCCTTGGATGATGTTTTTTTTTTTTACCCCTTGTGTGTTGCTCTTGGGACACAGCTTGTCTGCATCAGCATCTGTTGGATAGACCAGGAGGGTGCGGCCTGGCAGTGGGGGCAGACTGTGCTTCACAGAGAGGTTCATAGCTGCCTCCAGGGCCTGGCGATACCGATCCAGCATCTCAGCATCATAATTCCACTGTCTGCGGGCAGGAAAGACACAGATACAGGGGCTCAGGGGCTTGTCTGCTAGCCACATGGAGATGCATGGGAAGATAACTTGTCAATCAAGTATTGAATCCTCTCCCTCCCTCTTCTGCAGTGCCACATCCTTCCACAGCCTGTCTTCACTGCTGCTATAGAAGCTTCCCTCTGCCCCATCACAGGACTCTCATAATCCATTCTTGTGGCAGGAGAGGGGAAGTCACCTGGAGAGCCACTCGATTGCCACACTTCCACATTAATATACTTCATGAGGCAAGATTAACTGCCTCATATTTTTAAAATTTTTTCAGTGCTCGGGATCAAATCCAGGTAAATGCTCTACCACTGAACTAACTTAAAATTAAACTTAAAATTGAATTTTAGGGCTGGTAGAGTGGTTCAGGTAGCACAGTGCTGGCCTAGTTAAGTGTGAGGAACTGAGCTCAAACTCTAGTGCCAACAATAAATAAACTGAATTTTAAACAACAAATATTATATTCGAGAGGCAGAGGCAGGAGCATGGTGAATGCAAGACCGCCGTTACATAGCAAGACCCCGTTTGGGGAAGAGGGTGAAAGAAGGAGGAAGCAGGGAGAAGGGAGAAGGAGGGGGAGAGGGAGAGAGAAGGGAGAATAGGAGGAAAAGGAAGAGGAGAAAGGAGAAATAAAGGAGGAGAAGGAAAAGGAAAAGAAGAGGAAAAGGAATACTATCTCCTTATCTAAAAACTGGCAAATAAATGAGAAAGAAGTAGCCTGGAAGGCTGGTGGAATGGCTCAAATGGTAGTGCCTGCCTGGCAAGTGTGAGGCCCTGAGTTCAAACCCCAGTACCACCAAAAAAAAAAGTAGCCTGGCATGGTGCTTCACACTTATAATCCCAGCAGTTGGGAGGCAGGGACAAGAGGAGGGAAAGTCTGAGGCCACCCTGGACTATATAGTGAGACCCTGACTCAAGAAGAAAAAAAAAAAAGAGAGAGAGAGAAAGAGACTAGGCTACCCACCTACTCAGGAAGCAGAGATCAGGAGGATTGCAGTTCAAAGCCAGCCTGGGCAAAATAGTTCAAGAGACTCTTATCTCAAAAAACTCATCACAAAAAAAGGGCTCAAGTGGTAGGGCACCTGCCCAGCAAGTGTGAGGCTGAGTTCAAACCCCAGTACCGAAAAAAAGAAAAGTAAATCTGAATGCACTTAAGCCTTTAGAGTTAATGCCCACGTGATATAAAATAGAAAAACAAGCTAGGGGACACCAGGAGGAGACAGATAAATTCAGAAGATGGGCCATTTTGTGGAGTCCTGAACCTGGCTTCCACAGCAAGTCAATGACATAAATACAAAGACTAAGAAATTTAAAGATGTAACAACCAAGTGCAATGTTTAGACCTTGTTTCATTCCTGATTTTAATAAAACATTGTGAAATCTGAATAGAGACTAGATAAAAAGAGCTATTTTCAATTTGTTAGTTACATCAGTAACACTCAGATTACATAAGAAAATGTCCATTTTTGTTACTTGGAGAGGGAAATGTGTCATATTATTTGGCATTTGTTTTATGATCATCTTTTAAAAGAGAAAACAGATCAATAAAGGAAATGTGATAAAATGTAAATAATCATTTAATCTAGTTAGTAGACTGTTTTGTTTTTGTTTTGAGTTTTGGAAGTTTGCTCTCAGGGCCTCACGCTTGCAAGGCAGGTACTCTACTACTTGAGCCACTCCACCAGCCCTTTTATAGTGAAGGGTTTTTGCCCAGGGCTCAATTCAAACTGCAGTCCTCTTGATCTCTGCCTCCTGAGTAGCAAGGATTACAATGCTGATTGTTTTGTTTTGTTTATTTGTTTTTGCCATGCAAGGATTCCAACCCAGACCTTCACACATGCTAGGCAAGCATACTAACACCAAGTTACACCCTTGCCCTAGATAATTTTACAATCGTCAATTATCCTATCCTAACTACCTGTGTATTTAAACTTAAACTTTTTCATTACATATATATTTTTTAATTTTGGTGGGACTGGGGTTTGAACTCAGGGCTTCAAGCTTGCAAAGCAGGTGCTGGAAAAGCAGGTGTTCTATAGCCTGAGCCACACCTCCAGTCCACTTTGCTCCAGTTATTTTGGAGGTGGGGTCTCACAAACTGTTTATCTGGGCTGGCCTTGAACCACAATCCTCCCAATCTCAGCCTCCCAAGCAGCTGGGATTACAGACGTGAGCCACCAGCACCTGGCTCGTTATATATTTTAATCTAGAGAACTCAGTAGTCTTACCACCACTCCAATTAAATTATAATTCATTATACTAAATTTAAATTACACACATAATTTAAAATCGTCTAAAGGGCTGGGGATGTGGCTCAATGATAGAATGTTTGCCTAGCATGTGTGAAACCCTGAGTTCCATCCCTAATAATGAAAAAAGAAAAGAAAGGAAAAGTGAAAAGAAATAGGTGAAATTGCAATTAACTTAGTACTACATTTTGCTTAAGTAAATATATATATCTATACATACACATACTTTTTTTCTTATATAGAATTTTGAACTCAGGACCCTGCCACTTGCTAGGCAGGAGCCTACCACTTGAGCCATGCCCCCAGACTTTTTTTTGTTAGTTATTTTTCATATAAAGTCTTGCATTTTTGCCCAGGGAGCCAGCCTCCCAAGGAGATGGATGAGATCATAGGAATGCAGTACCATGCCCAGCTCACTGACTGAGATGGGATCTTACTAATTTTTTGCCTGAGCTGGCCTTGAGTTGTGAAGCTCCTGATCTCTGCCTCCTGGATAGTTAGAATTAGAGGTGAGCCACCGTGCCTGGCAGACATTTTTCTTTTTCATGTCAACATGTAAGTAATACAAAAAATGTAAATGAGGTATTTTGTGTCCTTTTTTCATACTGTCTTCAATATGCAGCCTGTCTCAACTCAGACCAGCAGCAATTTAAGAGCTAAATAACCACACATGGAAGTGGCTAACCATACTGTCAATACAGCCCCCCTGCTTAGACTGGCGCCTTGTGCTTGCCTCGGAAATGGCCCTGTGGTCAGCCACTGATTCAAAAGATTATATTTCTGGTCACTGAATCCTACTAGAGGGTTAGATGAGTCCTGTTTGTCTGGTGACAATGGATATAAGACACTGTTGCAACGCTTCAAAGAATAGGGACCTGAGACCTCAGCAAGCCTACAGATCAGGTTGTCTGTCTGTCTTTGAACCTGCTTGATGATAACTATCTTCACATGTATGTCAAAAGAAAAGAGGTGAATGGGTCAAAAATACAAAAAGAAAAACACACTTGTCACAAGAAGGAAACCAAAGCAGGTCAGAGAGGACAGCAGCATTCACTAAAAGAAAGGGAGCTGTTCACAGACTACAGAGTCTAAGGGAACCAATCAAACAGTCAAAGGTATAACACAGCAAAGGCTTCACGATCTCCACCTTAGAGACAGGATTTGAAGACACCAAGCAGGTCTGAGCCACTGGGGTGGCTGACAAGACTATCACCACAGACAGACAACCCTCAGCCCCTCCAGCACACCACCAATTGCCCACTCTTGGCTCCCGCACGGCACACACACCTGGCCTTGTGTATTTTCAGCTTCTCCCGCTTGAGCTGCTTGTATATCACGGGTATCACCATTGCTGTCCGAAGCTGCCGACGACTCAGGTAGCAAAGGTGCCTTGGATTGGCAGGCCTCCTGACAGTTTTTGAGTTTCTAATCATTATCTGCCTCACCAGTGTTATATTGGAAGGAAAGGGCAATGCTGCAGGGTGATAGGTAAGCACTGAGTCAGGTCACCTCTATTCCCTTTTCTTATCTCACCACAAGTACATTCTTAGGACTGACAGCTATCTGACCTCTGCCACCCCACACCCTAGTCTACAAGACAAGAAACTAAAAATATCAGAGCAGCTGTGTCATTTAGATGTGAGAGGCAAATGGGCATTGGAAGAAGGGAGAGAGTACCTTTATTTCTGAGTTGAGCCTCAAGGTTATTGATAGAATCATGGGCATTAAGGAATCTGAATGGAAACTGCCGGCTTTGGATCACAGATTTCTGAAAAGCAAAGGAGGGGTCATGAGCATCTAGAGAACCAGGGATCCAGGACAATGAAGCAACCACTCTACTAGGTTTGCAGGCAGGTGAGGAGTGGGAAAATGGAATTAGAAAAGAGATATGGAGAAAGAAAAAGAGAAGGAAGAGAAGGAGAAGAAAGGAGGAGGAAGAAAGAGAAGGAGGAGGAAAAGAGGAGGAAGGGGAAGAGGAGGAGGAGGAAGAGGAGAAGGAGGAAGAGCAGGAGCAGGAAGAGGAGAAGGAGGACAAGAAGGAGGAAGAAGAGGAGGAGGAAGAAGAAGAAGAAGAAAGGAGGAAGGAAGAAGGAAGAAGGAAGAGAAGAAGAAGATAGAAGAAAAGAAGAAGGAACAAAGGAAGAAGGAGGAGGAGGAGGAGGAGATACTCACACTCTGTAACTTCTCAAAGAACTGACTGAACCCCCAGACTTGTCTTCCCCACTGTTATCAGTATTTCCACACCTAGTAGAGCCCACACACAACAGGCTGGTGGCCATGGCGTTTCACAGCCACCTGGTCTCACAGCAGCAGCATCTACACACCCACACCTAGTCACTGAATCTCATGCTACCTATCTGCCATACATACCTCATCCTGGAGTCTCTGGAGAATGAGTTCATGGTGGCGGGCACTGATTCCCACACGCAGCAGGTTGCACAGGTTCCGAAGCATGGCCATGAAGGGAAGCTTCCCATTGTCTGCAGAAGGTGGGGCATAGTTTGGGAAAAGCAAATGAGGGGTGAGAGAGAGGCAGAGACCAGAGCAAGACATTCAGATCCCACATGGAAAGCTCAAGATGGAGGGAATGAGGGACTACAAACAAACTATTCTACTCAAAATGTTTTAAATGTTTGGAAAGATTCGGGATTGGCCTGAAGTGGGGAACAAAACTTATACAATGCTGTTTATGGGATGGCAGTTTCAATAAACAACTTATGCTACCACTCTTACCTGTCAGCTCTAGCCCTGAGGTTGTGTTCAATGGCAAAATGTATTCTCTTGTTTAGAGCAATGGTTGCTAAACCTTTTAAATAGCTAAAAGATAATTTTTCTAGTATAAGTTTGTTTATACTTATAAGTTGTGTGTACGTAGCACGTTCACTAGTTAATATTTTAAGGCACAAAATATACTTTTGGTAAGGTTCACCATTTATAATAGTGACTAAATCCATATTTCAAATAGTCTTTTTGATGATTTTTAAGTTTTCTGGTGAAACTTAAAAGTTTTATGAGATCTGATTAGTCATTACTTTTCATTTAAATATAGGTGAAAAGGGCTTGCACTGAAGTACAACTTGACTTCTGTCCCTTTCTTACTGTTTACTCATCCCTGTGGTATTATCTTCAAGTATTTTTGATATTCTCTTCAAACCATAGTTTCTTAATGATAATCTTATTAAGGCTTAGGTCAATTTTAGAGGTTGACTTTGGTTAGTACTGAGTAATATCATTCTAAATCCATCTACAATTCAAAGATAAATTGCGACAAATCACATTTTGCAAAAACCAAAAAGGTACCACCAATGTCTTGGGATGGCAGAAAGCCTCCCCTCCCCTCCCCTCAGGAAACACCAACTATGATATGTATTACATAACCATGTGACATAGGGACTAAAGTGACTATCTGAGTCTAACTTACATATGGAAACATTATTTTCTCTTCGATCGAAGTAAATATAGACAGGAGGTAGGATATTTTTTCCTGGACACTCCCAGACATGTATTCAGACCACTTTTGAGACCAGGCCTCTGACTCTTCCACCCTGAATACTAGCCTGCACTATCAGCAGCCTCCATCGGAAGAATGGTACAACCTTTTTAAAGGTAATCTAAGTCTCACTGCAATTGTTATCTAGAAGCTTTCAGTCTCCTGGAAGTCCTGGGATCTCCAGTCATACATAATTCTTTTCTGTTGCTGGGGATTGAATCCAATGCCTCATACATGCTAAGATCATGCTCTACCAAATAATCTACCATAAATAATTGTGGGTTTTTTGTTTTGTTTTGTTTTGTTTTGTTTTTGAGATGGGGTCTTGCTATGTTGCCCAGGCTGGTTCCAAACTCCTCCTGCTTTAGCCTTCCAAGTAGCTAAAAGTATTGATGTGCACCACTGTGCACAGCCCCCATAACAGCTCTGACTCACAACGGCATGGAATGATGAGGCTGTGCAAATGCTGTAAATGACTACTGTGTCCATTATCAACTCAACTTTTTCTCAACTGCTGCTATGTATGAAAGGTTTTCCAGACCAGTTGTTTTTGTGTTTTTTTTGCAGTACTGGGATCTGAACTCAGGGTCTCATGCTTGTTGGACAGGTGTTCTACCATTTGAGCCACTCTGCCAGTCCTTTTCTGTTTGGTATTTCAATACAGGGCTCTTGAACTATCTTCCTGGGCTGGTCTTGAACTGCAATCCTCCTGATCTCTGCCTTCTTAGTAGCTACAATTACAAGCGTGAGCCACCAGCACTCAACTGCAGTCCAGTTTTTAAAAAATAAAGTCCAATATTACATTTGTGATATTATAAAATTAGACATTTATCTTCCAGAACAGGAAACTCAATAATTTCACTCCAAACATTGTTATTTATAAGTATTTATTGTTAATGAGACCTATAGTCTCCAAAAAAGGGGCCTGTAAACCCAAATTAATTTTATCTTATATATTGTGTATTTTATACCTATATCTATATATTTTCATATTTCCTTTTTACTTTTGTCTATTTATAAAATGTGTGTTTTGTGCTTTTCTTGAAGTACATAAGACAGTCATATGAGAATATGATATTTTAATTACATCACATATATTCTGAAGTTCTCAAAGATGTTTTTGTAGTACATGGTCAAAACATTCTGGTACTCAGTATGGTGGCGCACATCTGTAACCCCAGCACTTTGGGAGGCTGAGGTAGGAGGATCAGGAGTTCAAAGTCAGTATGAACTACATAGCGAGACTGTCTCAAAAAAAAAAAGAACTACAATATAAACCCCTCTGAAGCCAGGTGTGGTGATCCATGCCTATAATCTCAGCACTCAGAGACAGAGGCAGGAAGATCGTGAGGCCAGCCTGGGCTATATAGAAAAACCCTACCTCAAAACAACAACAAAAACATAACCTCTGAAGGTGAAACAGGACATTTGTCTCAGACAAGATAAAAAAAACCACTTAAATTTTCAGTCAGTGGAAAAGTGAAGATGGTGCATGCAGAATCATCTGCCTGTGCCAGCAGTCACCAACCCCCCTCATCTCACTACTGAGGAAGAGCTTGTCAGGCAGGTGTATATGTGTGTGTTTTAATTCCCAGGTGATTCTGACACCCACAAAGTGAGGGAGAGGAACAAGTAGCAGAGCAATTCAGGCTACCCTGAGTACAATTTATAATGGGCAGTGCACAGAGACATAGGCAAAAGACATTCAAACTTCTGAAGTTCCAAAACAGGAAGTCTACAAAACTCCATCAAAAGTCCAAAGTCAGGGCTGAAGGTGTGGCTCAAGCAGTGAAGCGCCTGCCTGGCAAGTAGGAAGTCCTGAGTTCAAGCCCCAGTACCACCAAAAAGAAAAAAAAGGTCTAAAATTAGATATTTTTCTTTGGGGAAGGGAGAAGGTATTTCACAGGGTCTGGTCTCAAATTCTCAATCCTCCTGCCTCAGTTTACCCAGTGCTGGGATTACAGGACTTAAAGTTAGTCGTTTTCCAACAAAGAGAAACTGACTTTAAATTTTCAAAAATGAGGCCAGACACCAGTGGTTCACACCTGAAATCCTAGCTACTCAGGAGGCAGAGATCAGGAGGATCCAGTTCAAAGCCAGCCAGGGCAAACAGTACCATGAGACCCTATCTCAAAAAAAACCCTTCACAAGAAAAGGGCTGGTGAAGTAGCTCAAGGTGTAGGCCCTGAGTTCAAACCCCAGTATAGCAAAACAAAACAAAACAAAACAAAAATTGCAAAGATGAAAGAGGATGCAAAAGGGAAAAAAAGGAAACAATTATGTATGTGAAAATGTAAAGACTCTTTTATAGTTATAAATAAACTAACAACAAAAAGAGAAAGAGAGAAGATTGAAGCTAACTTGGTTCTCCTCAATTTGAAATTTGTTTTTCCTTTATCAGTGTGGGGAAATTACTTAAAACTTCCATGCCCCAAACAGGAGTTTCTTAGAGACTCCAACATGCCAAAAGCCAGTCCTACCTTGTTTGAAATAAGTTACACAGATATTGATACAAGTCCAATCACAAAGGAGTTATCACTTTTGCCGTGTGCTGCTGATAAAGACCATGTATCCCCTAACTGTATCTGGAATAATGATCTGTCTGTAGTGTCAACTCTATTCAAAGCTGTCCACTTTGGTGTGGTCAGTGGCAAATCTTTTAACTCCAGTCATTTTTAGTGGGGTCACCACCAGGCAAGAGAACAATTGTATCACACCAAGGAAGTCTTCAAGTCAGGGTCCAAAAGGTAGAGGCAAGAATCAGGAAGAGAGGAAGAGTACATGATGGTCACCCTACCGATGAGCTCCTCCCAGACGGAAGCCCTGTTCCCCCGCAGGCTCAGCTCCCGCTCCCAGGTCTCTGGCCTAGAAAGCTTCATCCGCTGCCCAGCTCTGCTAGAATCCCATGGCCCAGGGAGGTGACTCTGAGAAAAGAGCTGTAGGCTAGAAGGGTACCTAGGACAGAGAATAAAGTGCCTATCATTTCAAAGCTTGCAGAAAATAAAAAAGGAAAGTTAGTTAAAGCCGGTCAGTCATGTTTACAGGCCACATCAGCCCAGGCTCATGATGCTGAGGTTGAGAACTACCACAATGGGGGCCAGGGATGAACTGTGATGGAGTCACCTTGGCAGAACACCTGTTTAGCATGTAGCATCTCACCTGTACCCCAGCAGGGCTTGGACATGCTGGGCAGGCTTGTGGATATGCAGTCGCTGTACCAACTTCTTCAGGGTGAACCTTGGCTGACTGCTTTTCTCTGGCACTGCATTATAGGCTGCTTCAAACTGTGGAAACAGTCCCAAGTCCCACAGGAGCTATTTCATTCATGTCATGGATTTTCTTCAGAAAGCAGAGACTAGGTCTGGAGGTAAAGCTCAGTGGTAGGGCACTTGCCTGCTATGTGTGAGGCCCTGGGTTCAATCCCCAGCACCACAAAAAAAAAAAAAAAAAAGAAAGAAAAGAAACAAAGAAAGGAAAGAAGGAATCAAGCAAGCAAGCAAGCACAGCCTATGAAATAATTTCTTTCACCAAAACAGATTTGGATGAAGAGTAGTAGATTATAAAAATCTGGTGCAGTGACCAGGCACTGCTGGCTCACACCTGTGATCCTAGCTACTCAGGAGGCTGACATCAGGAGGATTGTAGTTCAATGCCAGCCCAGGCAAATAGTTCCACAAGACTCTATCTCAAAAAACCCCTCACAAAAATAGGGCTGGTGGAGTGGCTCAAGGTGAAGGCCCTGAGTTCAAGCCCTAGTACCGCAGAAAAAAAAAATCTGCAGCAACAAGAGCTCCCATGACAAATATAAGACAGTAGACAAGTACTGTGGCAAGCCTGTAGTCCTAGCTTGAGCCCAGAAGTTTGAGGCCAGCCCAGGCAACATGATGAAACTCCATTTTAAAAAAGGACTGGAGGCATGCTCAAGTAGCAGAACAGCTTCTTACAGAGGCCCTGAGTTCAAACCCCAGTACTACCAAAAAAAAAAAAAGAAAGAAAAGAAAAAGAGCTAGGCATGGTAGTGCAAGCCTATAATCCTAGTATTCAGGAGGCAGAGACTGCAGGATTAAGTTTGAAGCCACCAGGGCTACTTAGCAAGTTCAAGGCCAGCCTGAGCTGCATAGTGAAACCCTGTCTCAAAACCCAGGTCTTTGGAGTTCCTGTGTTTCATTCACACAAGACTGAACTGTCAGTGGTTACCTGAGTTGGCTTGTAAAAGCAAGATACAGTACTTGTGTATGGAGAGGATGAAGGTGAGGGAATACAGTTGATAGGCTTTACATACATACACAAAACAGAAGGAGTTGGCGGTGGGGGGGGAAGCTTCAAGTGTAAGAGAGATAATGGGGGTGATCTAACCAATGTAAGGCTATTCAGAATTTTCACAATGAATCCCCCCTGTACAATGAATAAATACATCCTAACAAAAATTGGGGAAAAAAAGAGTACATTTGGGAGTGGGGAAGGTAAGTGGAGATAAAGGTGAGGATGTATGGTTGAAGGGCTTAGTATACATATATTAAATAGAATGGTGAAACCTTTTGCAACTGTTTTAAGTGGGCAGGTAGGAAGTTGAGGGGGGAAAATGGTGGGGACAATCTAACCAATATACAATGTAAGGCTACAATTGTCAGAATGAATCTCAGTGTACAATAAATACATGCTAATAAAAACAAACAAAATTGAAAATGACGTAGAGATAGCATGAACAGAGAACATCCTTGCTCCCAGAGGGAAAGAAGGAAAAAGCAGCCCCACTTAAATCACCAGGCCTCTGGACAGGTAAATGGAGGTATCTGTGAAATGCAAGCTGTGAAGAGTCATAAAAATTGAAAGAATCCTCTATGGCAGAAGAACTAAGTTTAGGAATATTAACAGGATGCAGGATGAAGAGAAAAGTCTAGTTGACCAATTGAGAATGTGTTTTTTCCTATAGTACGTGTGCGTGTGCGTGTGCGTGTGTGTGTGTGTGTGTGTGTGTGCTTTCTCCTAAGTCTCCTTTAACAATGATGATGATGATGATAGCTAACACTTACTTGATGCTAAGTACTAGTTGAAATATTTTAAATATAGTACCTGAATTAATCTTCACACCCCTACACTGCAGGTTCTGCAATTATCCCCAGTTTACAGATGAGGTGAGGCAACAGGCAAGAGAGGTTAAGTAAACGTTTGACCAAGATCTCATCTCACAGCCAGCAAGGAGTGGAGGTGAGATTTAAACCCAGATGATGTGAATCCACCAGATTCTATGCTCTTAACTGGTAAGTACAAAGCCTTACTTGTCATAAAAGTAAAAAAGATTTTGTTTGGTTTATTTTTTTAAAAAACCATCCTATGGAGCCAGGCATGGTGATGCACAGCTGTAATCACAGCACTCAGGAAGCTGAAGCAGGATATCAAGAGTATGAGGCCAGGCTGGGCTGCATAGGGACACACTGCCTCAAAGAAGAAAAAAAAAAACCCACCCTCCTCTGAAAGGTAGATATTTCATGTCACTCATTTAACCAACTGACCATGACACACGAGAGTAAATATAACACCAAGGAGAACAAAATGGAGAAAAAAATGAACCTCAAAACTGGACCCCATAATAATCCTGGCTGAGAATCTAGAGGCAAAAAACTGACATGTGGCTACCACATTCACTATTAGTTTTTTGTTTTGGGATGTTTTGTGGGGGGGCTTTGTTTGTTTTGTTCTCCTGTGCTAGGGACCAATCCCAGGGCCTTGTACATGCTAGGAAAATGCTCTGCCACTGAAGTACATCCCAGCCCTGTTAGTATTTTTAAACCTATAGGAATTCTGTTTATAAACATTAGCTCAGAAAAGATTGTACATGCACATATACGACTCCAGAACAAGGGACTCACCTTAATCTGTTCATTTTTAAGAGGCCAAAGGCTCCTTGGAAAAGATTGCAGTCTCTTAGAAAATGGAGGCTCTGTCTTCTACAAGAACAAGAGAAGCAGTTTCAAGCAGCTAAATTGAGTTTGCCCCTAAAGAAAACCTTCCAATAGCTCTGGAGGTCCATCTCTACCAAAAAGGAAGCCAATTGGGAAGAGGCCTGCCTGCCCTTTCTGCCCAAGCTACACCCAGCACCTCTGGACCTCTCTGACTCCTTTAGTTCCTGACATAGGAACTTGTTAGCTGCTCAGTGAGTGTAGGACCCCTCTCCAAGCTCACCGTGTTCCTTTATCCCTCCCTTCCCAGAAAAAAGGGGCCTAGGTTGTGAATGACAAGGGCTGAGACAGAGACTGACTGGAGGGTGGGATGGCCGGCGGGGGCATCTCTTGGCACGGTGTTTCCGTGGATTGTACTTAGCTAGTTGGTACTCATCAAACTGGGCAAATTTGTCAGTCATAGCAGCACGGAGGCAGGCAGGCAGGGGTACCAGCTTGTTCTCATCTCCTCTAGCCAGGCTCTGCCAGACAGAGAAGAAACCATCAGAAGGGAGACCCAACTAAGCAAAATAAGACTCAAAACAAGACAAATCCATGGGCTTATAGGAAACCACAGAACAGGGACAAGTTCCTAGCCCAACTCTACAATTGCAGTTTCTGTGGTACCGGGCAGTCAGTAGTCTTCTCTGATTTTTGTTTACATCATTATAAACATGAGGTCCAAAATAAGTGCTCTCCTTGTTAGGTAACCCCACCTCATACAGGGAAAGGCTGTCCTGCCTGGGCACCAAGGCTACAGAAGGCTGAGGGAGGCAAAACTATTTGAAAATTTTCTTGAAGGACCAAAAGAGAAGGAACCTAGTAAAGGCCAAAGCTCAGAGAACTGAGTGCCATACCTGGTAGAACTCTGCCACCTGAATCCAATCAGAAGGCAGGTGGACGATGGCACAAAAATACCGTCGCAGGTGAGGGCGGCACGCTGGCAAGGAGGCAGCGATGGCCAAGACTCTATTGGCCACATTCCGTATGTTCAGCTGATGCCTCGCGAACAAGCATGCCTAGAGCACAGGACGGAGAGGGTTGGCATCCTGGCCACTTCTCCCATAGCTTCAGGCTCTAAACCAACCTGCTTATTGAATCTGCCTGCTACAATCTTTCCTGAGTCCTCTATATTGCCTACAACACAGAAAACCCAAGCTTCCTGGTTTGGCATTTTAAGTCTCCATAATTTAGTCCTTATCTACCCACCTTTCCAGATGTCTTCTTCTAAGTCTAAGTCAGACAAGCCCTTTCCTTCTTTGAAAGACCACTCATATTAACATCTATCAAAAACCTAACTAAAGGGCTGACAGAGTGGCCCAAGTGCTAAAGTCCCTGCCTCATAAGCATGAGGCCCTGAGTTCAAACCCCAATGCTTTCAAAAAACACCCAACTAAGCGTTCAACCACTGATTAAACCTGCCATCTTCTAAAATTGCATAGAAAACATTTTTCCCCTCTTCTCTGCTTCTAAAAAATTCACTACCTACTGCTCTAGTTGCATTTATCTATTTAGGAAAGTGTTTTGCTTTCCTAACGATATACTATAGACTCGGTAAGTGCCAGATTCAAGTTTTATCATCTGTTACTGGGACTCTCACAGACTCACATTGTATGCTTAGCCTGTGTACTTATTAAACAAACCAACCATCCTATACACTTACCCAATTTCATCTCTGTCCACTCTTCACAGTCCCAGGGACTAGAGCTGACTCACCCAGAAATCCTACTCCCTTCCTAGGTGAAGTTCCTTCTACTCCCAACAGGAGGCCAGTCACCACCACCCTCACATACTGTAATCACATTCCCTACCTCCCTGCTTCCCACTCCCACACCTCCTTCACCCCACAATACCTTGAGGATGAACTCAGGCTCCAAGGGGGCCAGTTCACTACAGACTTTAAGAATGGAAGCTTGGATGGGGTCACTTGGATTTTGGATATTTACATTTGAGGCCACAAAGGAGCACAGTAAGCTCATTAGAGCCATCTAGAAATTGGGAAAGAAACGAGTGAGGAAAAAGAACTAACTTAAGCATACACACAGACCAATGTACAAAATAAAGGACAGAGATAATAAAACCCTGGATTTGGGAGGATGTCTATCCAACTCACAGATTAGAAAAGGAGATTAGGCAGTGAGAAATAAGGGTTGGGTCCTGTCCCCTTCTCCTTCCATCTGCAAATGCTTTTGGTCTCCCTCCCTTCCTCCCTCCCTCCCTCCCTCCCTTCCTCTCCCTTCTACCACCATCAACCTCTCCCCAACTCGAGGAATTTTACCTTCTTTTCCTGAAGGACCTGGTCGGTGGGCCCAGGATGAGATTCAGAGTCCCCAGAAGTGAGCTTCAGGGACATAGCCTCCACTTCTTCCTCCTCTCCCAAACTTAGACTATAAAAAGGCATCTGGGCCTCTGCCCCTTCCTTCTCTATCAGCCTTTCCTTTTCTTCTGAATAGCACCAACCACCCTGGGGGGAGTGGCAGTTGTTACAAATCACAGCATGTACCCATGACCCTCAAACAGGTGGCTCCCAAAGATAGGAAGGGTCCACATCTCTCCCTTCCCTCCCCAGCACTGACCAGCATTGGTCTGTCCTGTCTCTGACTGTCACGAACTCCTTTCCCTATTCAGCTTTCTCATCCTTTGACAGATGCTTCATGATCTTCCTCCCTGCTTTCAACTGTTGCCCTTATTGTTCACATCCTGATGGCCTAAGGCCCCTCACACACCTCTTAATAAATGCTATTATGTTTAGAATCAGAGGAAAAAGGTAAGTCCCGTATCAATCCCACCAGCAACCCTCTCTGAACCTCAGCTTGATCATTCACTACCACCTAACCTGGTAGACTGTTGGAAAATTAAATGCAATAATGTATACATGGTTCTTTGCAAATTGCAAAGCCCTAAATCAGTTGTAGTCCTGACAACCCTGTGAGATACATTTTCATTGACTTCATTTTAAAGGCCCCAAGGGGTTATTAGTCTTAGCCAAGGTTATAGACTTTGTAACCAGCAGAAACAGCAAGGGACTCACAGTAACTTCTCCTCATCCTAAACCCCAGGCCTACACAAAAGCAATGAGTGCTTATCTACCAGTTCTGAGCCATGTACTAAACGTGCTGTGTGAGAGTGTAAGTAGATGCATATTTGCCCACATATCTACAAGGAAGTGAGCCCTGGCATAAAGACACACGTCATGTCTGATCTCAAAATCATCAGACTGGCTGCTGTGGTAGTATCACGTGGCTTTCCTCCTAAGCTTCGGCTCGCTAAGGACTGCTTCTGATCTATTATCTAGAATCTCTGAACTAGAGAACAGTGATGCTGACGAAGGCAGGCCCGGGTTAAAAAAAAAAAAAAAACACCTCAGAAGATGCTCTGAGGAGGTACCAGTCACAGAGCAGCACTGAGGGAAACTGAGGTACTGAGCTAGTGACAAGAGCATACAATACACATGGCTGGAGTCAAGACAAGTATTGGAGATATTACCAAAGTTGCTTCCTGAACTCTTTCTGTAGCCGCAGTGGATTTTAGGGCCTTAGGCCAAGTGGGAAGCTCTGATTCCTCAGAGAGATGCTGAACCCTCCTACTTGGAGGCTCAGCGAGCAGGCAATTCCTGGGAATGTGGCTGCATAAATCAGCTTGCACCATGTGAGACACAGGGAGGCAGTGCAGCAAGGGGCTGAGAGACAAAGTGCTCTCTACAGTGGGGAGGGTAGCTAGGCACTGGTTCTCCAAGGACAGGATATCTGGGTTGGCAGACATATGCCCATGTGCTTTTTCCATGGTCTTCAGGCCAGGAATTTGGGCCAGGCAGTGGTTCTCTAAGGAGAGAATGTCTGAGTGAGCAGACATATGTCCACATAATTTCTCCGTGTGTTGCAAGTCAGGCAGCATGGCCAGGCACCGGTTCTCCAAGGAGAGGATGTCTGGGTGGGCAGACACATGCCCATGGAGTTTCTCCATGGCTGGAGCCAAAACTAATATAAGCCTAGAAAGAAAGAAAGAGAAAGATAGATATTGAGCATTTGACTGCAAATAGAGTATATCTGCATTAGGAATATGTCTTCCTCATGTTCGTCCTGGTTATGCCAGCGATTTGCAGATTCATCCAGAGAATATTCTAATGAAAAGGTAGGAAAGGGTAAGGCAAAAGCTTAAGAGCAGGGAAATTTAACAACAAAAACGGAATAACTGGAGACGGAGGGACATGTCTTCTCATGAGTGTGTTAAGGAAAACCCCTAATGACTATCAGTATGATTCCAACTGGTAAAGTCAGTAGAGTCCACGGTCTGGACTGTGGATTCTTAGCTCCAGAAAAACAAGCATTTTTATCAAGTTGTCACCACTTCAACTTCCTCACCTACTCTTTTCAACCAACTAAATGGGATTCTGTGCCCACTAGTCCACCAAGACAGTCCTCTCAGGGAACCTGTTACTACCATGAATAGAGAGACACATCCTGGCCCTGTCTTACTTCACTCCTCAAACCATGACACCATTGATCACTCTCTCACTGAAACTCTCTCTTCCTTTGGCTTCCACAATGGTACTGTCCTGATTTTCTTATTGCAACTCTAACTATATCTTTGTGGCAGTTCTTTCTGTGCCATTCTTTAAAACTGATGTGCCTTTCAGTTCTGTCCTAATCTTCTATATACTTTCCTGGGGTGGTCTCACCTACACTGTGGATTCAAATACTGTTTCCATGATGGCAACATGCAAATTTATTCCTAGATCTAGATCTCTCTTCTCAGCACTATACTCACTGTTGAAGACATCTCTTCTTGGATGACAGGTCCCAAATATATCTTCCCCTCATTTCTATCTCTCCCCCAAATTCATCTCCCCCACCCCTTTGTCACCTCTGTTCACAGGGGTTTGGAGGCAGACCTGACTTTGATCCCTGGTTCCCCCATCATGGACCTTAAAGAAGTTACTTAAATTCTCTATGACTCTGCTTTCTCCACAAACTTAAGAAACAGAACTGGGAGCCAGTGGCTCACACCTGTCATCCTAGCTACTCAGGAGGCAATGATCAGGAGAACAGAGGTTCAGCCAGCCTGGCAAATAGTTCAAGAGACCCTATCTAAAAAAAAAAAACCCACCCCAAAAAAAGGGCTGGTGGGTGGATAAAGATGTAGGCTCTGAGTTCAAGTCCCAATACCACCAAAAATAAAAAAAATCACAAAAAAGGGCTGGTGGAGTGGATCAAGGTGTAGGTCTTGAGTTCAATCCCTAGTACTAAAAAAAACTTAAGAAACTGGCCCACCTTACCGAGTTGCTATAGGAATAAATGAGAAAAAAAAATCTATGACACTTAGTAAGTTTCCAGTAAATGGAGACAACTGTTTGTTATTATTATCCAGTACTTTTTTTTTTTTTTTGAGAAAGGGCCTCCTCTGTAACCCAGGCTGGCCTGGACCTTGTGAGCCTTCTGTCTTAGCCCCCCCATTGCTGGGATTTACAGGCATGCAGAACCATGCCTGGCTACCAAATTCTATTGATTCCACTCCCTCCATGTCTCCCAGACCCATCCAGTTTTCTCCATTCTTCCTGCCACCACATTGTTGAAACCCACTAATCTAAATGACAACTGACACTGCATACGAATCTGCCTAAGGAGCTCTCCCTCCTATATTCTCCAACCTCCATTTATAATATCATTATGTTTATGTTCATCAAAATTAAAAAATCATCTTGTTTGCTTATTTACCTCCTTGGTCACTGTTTCTCCTTCCTAAAATAAAACTGGCTGGAGGCATGGCTCAAGTGGTAGAGCACCTGCCTAGCAAAAGCAAGGACCTGAGTTCAAACCATACCACACACACAAAAAAAAAACCTTCCTGCAAGATAAAGGCCCCTTTGTTTTACTCTCCTCTGTATCCCAAAAATCCCACATGATATGGCTTTTTATCACCTCTTATCTTACTGATACCACAACCTAACCCACAACACTATGAACCATATGTGATGGGGCACACCTGTAATCCAAGCACTCAGGAGGCTAAGGCAGGAGGATGCAAGTTTCAGGCCAGTCTGGGCTACATAGCAAGACCCATCTCAAAAAAAATTTTTTTTAAATAAAAATAAAAAAGGGCTGGGGGCAAATGGTAGAGCGCCCGTCTAGCAAGTGTGAACAAATATGAAGTCCTGAGTTCAAACCCCTCTACCAAAAAACAGAGCAACGGTTTCTGTGCCCTGCATACTTGCCTCAATCTTTGCACTATCTGAAAGGAATTTCTTCAGAATTCATCCAAAATTTTTAAAAAGAAATCTCAATAGGACATGTAAATTTTTTTCCATCTTGGTGTTTGTGAATGTAGATTCAGCTGTACCACAGTGAAAAGTCCTCCCAAACCCTAGTTTCCTTGCAGAGATTGCTGGGTTCTACATCAAGTTTCACTTTCTATGCACACAACTACGTGTGTGCCTCCGCTTCCCCCACCTCTGACGTGGGATCGCTTGACCTTGCGGAGCTGACACCCTCAGTTTCAGGCTGCTATTACCAAGTGAGCACAGACCCCTTTTTGCGACAGCCATGAGCACACAGGACAGGGAAGACACAGATCCCTCTTCCTGACCTTTCTCACCTTCCTTTCGCACACTCGCCGCCCTCCCGGGTTGGGCTGTACCCCCACCCGCGCCCGCCGGCCGGGTCTCAGGCAGACACTACTGGTCTTAGGCCCTCCCTACCCGGCTCCCCACTACCGAGTGCAGCTCCCCAAACCCCGACAGGGCGCGTTCTACCTACGCTCGGGCCGCTGAGTGATCCGGAGCAGCGAAGAGGGGCGGCGGGCGCAGGGCGGCGGGCCGCGGGTCGGGACGGCACAGGCTTCCGCAGCAGGACTCCCAGTGTGGGACGCGGAAGGAGCTCGTCCGAGGTAGAGCCGCGGGGGCGGGGCTGAGCGTGAGGGGCGGAGCTGAGCGTGAGGGGCGGGGCGTGAGGGGCGGGGCGTGAGGGGCGGGCTTCTGCAGCAGGACTCCCAGAGTGGGACGCGGAAGGAGCTCGTCCGAGGCAGAGCCGCGGGGGCGGGGCTGAGCGTGAGGGGCGGGGCTGAGCGTGAGGGGCGGGGTGTGAGGGGCGGGGCGTGAGGGGCGGGGCGTGAGGGGCGGGCTTCTGCAGCAGGACTCCCAGTGTAGGACACGGAAGGAGCCCGCGGGAGGCAGAGCCGTGGGGCGGGGCGGGGCGGGGCGGGGCGGGGTGGGGAGCGGGACGGGCTGTCACGGCAGGAAGCGCAGGCTCGGCCCTGGACTCCGCGGTTAGGGGAGTGAAGCTAGGGAGGAGCCGGCGGGATCACGGCGGGCCACAGCCACCTCCCAAAGCTTAAAGGTCTCCACAGACTTTTCTGAGGCCCAATTTAGCGTGTAGTTTCTCTTCTCTTTTACCTTCCAGGTTCTCTTTTCTCCTGTTCCTCAGGCTTTCCCCTCTACCAAAATGCCCTCCTCGTTTGCTAATGTGCTTCTCCTGTCTCCTCTTATATTTTTGTTTTGTTCTTATTGTTGCTAGGATTCAGCTTTTTTATTTTTATTTTTTGGCAGCACTGCGATTTGAACTCAGGGTCTCACACTTGCCAGGCAGGCGCTCTACCTCTTGAGCCACACCGCCAGCCCCTCAAACAACATTTCTTAAAGACTAGCATGTTTACTGCCTATCTGCATACTTCCCCTTCGACTCCCCAGTTATCAAAGATAGTCGACTATCAGTTCATCCCAAAGATTTTTGGCACACAGAAAGAAAGGAGGTGGAAGATCAAGCTGTGCCTGCATGGCAGTGTGGACACAGACACACAGGGTGAATCGAGAGCTGCCCCTCCCCTCCTGCCCTGGAGAGGAAGGAACCCTGGCCACACAGCCCATGCACAGGCAGCCATCCCTGAAGGATGGACTGCAGGAGGTCCCAAAAGGTGATAGGTGGTCAAGGAGGCACCTCTCCTCCCTAGGGAACACCCATCTGCATCTGAAAGGCATCTCCACCTTCAGGCAATGCAAAAAAGGCTATAAAACCCCACTGCCCACCCTGATTTGGGGGATCACTGGTTTCTGAGTCCCTTCATTCCTTCAAAATGCAGTCTTTCTCTTCTCTACAAATAATATCTTTCCGACCTCTGCTGTTAGAGTCTGTCTGTGCTTTCATTCTCAGAGCAGGCTCAAGAACCCTGAGCACCTGATATTCCTGCACCTGTCATCCGTGCATCATATTTGGCAACCACAAAGGGACCAGCTATCACCTGAGGTTGGTATAGGTTGTGCCAAACTGGGAAAAGCTGCCTAGGAATGTGATTGTAAGCGTTCGGCACTCCGATGGAGTCTTATTTTCCAGGAGAAACCCACCACCACAGCCTAGCTGTGGAATTCTCAGGCCAACCTTCTCTCTCTCTCTCTCTCTCTCTCTCTCTCTCTCTCTCTCTCTCTCTGTCTCTGTCTTGTTAAGGAGGGTTTCTCCTTTGGGAAACTGAGGAAAAGCTCCAAGCCCATTATAGCTGTAAGGCAGGCAATCTGAGGAAACTCAGATGCCAGGCAGGGGTTTATACTGCACTGCCAATGCTACGTGGGTGGAACTCGACTTCAGTGCACCGAGGCTTTCTTTTCCTCTCTTTAAACTCTAACACTTTCTCTTTCAAGATCTGACCCACTTAAGAGGAGGTCCGAAAACAGCCGGTGGAAATGAAAGTTTGTCTTCAAGCCAAAGAAAAAGGTGTTCTGGCCGGGGCACTCCCCAGTGTCACCCAAAGGCTGGAGATGCAACTTCCTGACCCACCCTGAGGCTCCAAAGCTGGCTAAGTCTCGGACGCCTCCAGCCATGTCCATAGCAAACAATCAGATCTCTTACGCTTCCTTCATGGTTTCCGTGGCCCAAGAGTGGAGGTCACCCCCTGCTTCCAGTGCTCCAGTACTGCCTTGGGCAGGATTAATCTGGACAGCAGTGATGACCAATAATCATTGGTTGAGCCTGGAAACTCTCTTTTCTCCTAACCCTCAGCCTTTCCTTCCCCTTTCCCAAGTAGTTCAGGATGAGTGTCCCCCTCCCCTCTTTGCTCTAAACAGCAGTGAGCATCTTTCTTCAGGAAGTTTGGGAAAAATCCTATAGGCACCAGAAAGTGCTAGTCTCCAATTTAGGCTTAACTGTCTTTGTCAACCTGGTTAAACAGATTCCACAGCCTGCCCTCAGGGAAAAGAAAAGAAAACACTTAAAAAGCAGAGACCTCATGGTCTTCTCTGTTTTTGCCCCTTACCAGAGCAAAAGCCTTCAGATGCTCCCTCTCTTTTCATAAAAAATATATGCCTCACAGGTTATATAGGGGGACAGAAGTCTACTTCATCAGGAGTCCCCATGCACACCTCTGGCCATGCAAGCCCTCTTGGTTACTTTGACAAAGTTATTTTAAACCACAAGCCTTCAGCTGGTAGAGGAGAACCAGGCCTACCTGGGTCACAGGGCAAACAAGCAAGTCAAAATAGATAAGAGATTGGTCAAAGATCATCTCGGTGGGGGGAGGGGGGTGTGCAACTGAGATATCTGTAAATCCTCCACGACTTTACCCACAAGTGACAGTGGAAGGAGCACTAGAGTTTCTCCTCATCTGGGGATGCCTAGATAAAAGGAGAAACCTCTGTTAAGATGACCAATTTTCCCTTATTTCCCTTTTGTTAGATGGGGAATCAAGCCTCAAGGATCCAGGAAGGATCCCCCCTTTCCTGCTTATTAAAACATTGGAAAGATCTTGATCCAGAAAGTCTTCAGCAAAAGCGACTCAAGTTTTACTGCACTCAGGCTTGGCCACAGTATCCTCTGGGAGATGAGGAAAGATGGCCAGAAGGAGGGAGCATTAATTATAATACCATTCTTCAATTAGATATGTTCTGTAAAAAGGAGGGAAAGTGGGCTGAAGTTCCATATAGTCAACTGTTCTTTTTCCTAAGAGATCACCCAGAATGGCTAAACAAATGCAGGCTAGATGCCCAGACCATTGTAACCTTTTGCAAAAAGCCCATCAGCTCCCCTCTCCCCCCTTACCCAGCTACCTCACACACCAGATATCGTCCCACAGATCTCTACCCCCTCCGGTTAATTCCTGGAGGGGATAGGGCTCACGTTCCTTTTAGAGTAAGGGAACTTAAAGAAATAAAAAAGGATTTAAGAAATTATACAGAAGACCCAGATCAGTACATTCAGGCATTTAGAGAAGTCGGCCAAAACTTTGAACTAAGCTGGAAAGTTGTAATGCTATTGCTGTCTCAGACCCTCACTTCTCTGGAAAAACAGAGGGTATGAGATCAGGCAGTCACAGCTGGAGACAATTATCACTTAGATAAAAGTGGCTCTACAGGCCTGTCTCAGACTGGGCCCTCATGGGAGGAGGAAGAGTGGGGAGGGAAAAGAAAGACAAAGGCATTGGATACCTAAAAGGGAACCTCAATTCCCAATTCCAACAGGAGATCAGGCAATACCTAGGTATGACCCTAAGTGGGGCCCTGAAAATGACAAGGATAAATGGAGCCATACCCATTTCATCCACTGCATTCTTGAGGGTCTAAGTAGAACCAAGTTAAAACCTCTTAATTACTCCCCAAGTCACAGCTGTACAGCAAGGACCCTTAGAAACTCCATTAGCTTTCCTACAGAGACTTAAGGATGCTTTACAAAAGCATATCAGCATTGTACCAGAGTCACAGGAAGAGGAAATCATCCTAAAAGATAAATTTCTATCACAGCATCAGATATCCATAAAAAGCTTCAGAAACTGGTGGCTGAAGGGAGCAGAAATCTACACCAATTGGTCCGTGTAGCCTAGTCTGTATACTATAACAGGGACTTAGAAAAAGAAAAGAAGGACCTGGAAAAGGAAAAGAGAAAGGATAAACAGCAGGAGGTTCTGATCGCAGCACTCAGAGAGGCTTCCCCGGTGCAAAGTCCAAACCCAAGGATATGCTTTCAATGAGGACAGGCAGGCCATTTTAGGAGGGAGTACCCCCGGAGAAAGCTACCGCTGGGACCCTGCCCCATTTGTCAGGAAAAACATTGGAAGGCACGCTGTCCCCGGTCCCCAGGGGAACCGAGGCCAGGGCCTCCCATCCAGGCTCCTGTAACCAACATAAAAGCAGGGGAGCCCTGGGTTTTACTCACTATTGAAAAGCACAAGTTCAGCCTCCTTCTCAAACCTGGAGCCAACATCTCAGCTATTCCTTTCTCTCCTGGACCCAGGTCCTCCAAGACAATTACTGTTCGAGGCATATCAGGCCAGCCTCTGGAGCGTTATTTCACTCAGCCTTTAGCCTGCTCCTGGGGAGATTTTCATTTCTGTCATTCCTTTTTAATTGTCCCAGAAACTCCTACTCCTCTGCTAGGGTGAGACCTTCTATCTAAATTGGGGGTACAGCTACTTTTATCCCCAGGAGGGTACTTTTGCTTGCCCCAATAGAGGAACAAATAGAGCCCACAGTGTGGATGGATGGACACACCATGGGATGGGCATGAACAGCTGTCCCAGTCTTAATTCATCTCAAGGACCCCTCCTGGTTTCCCCATCAAAAACAATATCCTTTAAATCCACAAGTTAAGGAGGGGCTAATTCCCATAATCAAACACTTAAAGAGACAGGGACTGCTAATAGAATGCTCCAGCCCATATAGTACTCCTATTCTCAGTGTCAGGAAGAGACCTAACAAATGGAGGCTAGTCCAGGGTCTCTGCCTGATCAATGAAGCAGTAGTGCCTCTCCACCCTGTAGTTCCAAATCCCTATATGCTTTTAGCCCAAATACCGCCAGGTACCGCTTACTCCTCTGTCCTGGATTTAAAGGATGTCTTCTTTTGCATCCCCTTACACCCTAAAAGTCAACCTATCTTTG